ACAGACACATCGACTCACACACACACATCGACGCAGACACACACATGGACTCACACGCACACATGGACTTAGACACACACATTATTATTTAAAAATGTAGTAACCTAATTGTTAAATATTAGTTGTGTACACACACACACACCACGCACACACATTGACTAACACACACACATCTGGACTGACACACAGACATCAACTCACACACACACATCGACTTGCACACATATCGACTTATACACGGACGTACACACACACACATCGTGGCAGACACGCACATCAACTCACACGCACACAACGACATAGAAACAAATTAATATTGTAATATTTCGCAGCTAAATTTTGAAATATTAGTTGTCTACACACAAACAATATTATTTTAATATTTCCAAACTTATTTTGTAAATATTCGTTTTCTATCTACGTGAGTTTAGCTAAAGAAGCAAGAAAATAGTACTTAACATTGCCGTGGTGGGGCCTAGTCCCGTGCAGAGCCCCCGGCCTTGCCTAGATTGCCCAGCCAGCCGAGGTGGCACCTTGGCAGACTGGGCTGCTACCCTCCCCCCCAGCCACGATCCCCCCGCCCGCTCTGCAGTAATATCTACGGCCTATAGTGGTAGCATCTACCGACTGTATAGTAGTAACTGCACGCATCGGGGTGGGGGGGACATCACACTGTGAAGAATTTGCCTCAGCGTTTTGTGTATTTTTATTGCATTTTTTACGCGAAAGAAAATGTCCCCCTTCACCCCCACCGAACGCGTGACAAGCGATGTGTTAACTGTCTGCTAACCGACTCTCTGTGTTGCATTGCATTACACTTCCTAATTTTACTAAATTTGCTTTCTACCGTGCTTGTTTATGGGTCCATCTCTCCTCCGGTCGCTATGGGGGCAGTAATTCCACACAACGCTCCGTGCTTATTTGTTTAGAAGTCCAGTGAAACTATCACCCCAACCGTTGGGAAAGAACCATCTGAGGACCCAATAAAAACCACTACCTTGCCATACATAGCAGGGGTCACCAGAAATATTTCCAAAATCATGAAGAAACACAAGATCCAGGTTCGATTGAACACAGTACATAAAATTCGTGATCTGATCGTCATCTGTGAAGGATGTGATCCTTGACATGCAATACCTCGGCATCTACAAACTAAGCTGTGTCTGCGGCAGTAGTTACATTGGAGAAACTAAGCGACATGTCTCGGACCGTGTTTGTCAACATAAGGCAGATCTGAAACACGGTAGGACCAATACCTCGGCCGTGGCTGATCATTGTGTAATAAACGACTTCCATGACAGGTTGATACTTGTGTCCTTTCTTTATTTAGTGATGACTGCTCGGCTCCGCACTCCCTTTCTGGATGGTCACCCTCTCTGTCTCTGCATGCGCGTGCTCACTGCTCCTCCGTTTCCGCGCGGCTTCACTCACTCTCTCCCGCGCACCGCTGGTTGACGGCACGCAGTGAGAGGGGAGAGCTCCGGCCCTCGAGGCTGCCACGTGGCCGGTGGCGTGATGAGGTGGCGTGACGAGATGCAGTCCGGACTCCAGGCTCCCACACCGACCTCGAGTCGTCCCCCTGCCTCTCCTTATATCCCTCTCGGCGGAGCCAAGCTCCGCCTCTAAGCACGCCTCCCTCAGAACCTTCCCGATGGTTCCCGCATATACCCACGAGCTCCGCCCATTAACTTTGGCCCAGATGGAACTGTTAGCTCTGATTGGCTACGACTGATGCAGCGGTGCCTATGCAGCCCTCCGTCGCTCGTCGGTGTGCTCTCTCATTACAATTGTTTTAATGCAGTGGGCTCACACGAAATTGATTTCTCTAAGACGAAGGTACTTTGCAAACCCACTGGCTATCAACAAAGATTCGTTCATGAAGCCATCCATATATCCAGACACAATTTCAACCAAGAAGATGGGTACAAACTTAGCAATCATTGGAAGGACATTATCAACCAGTTGAAGTCATAACTGGTTGTGATGTTCCCTTCCTGCCACCTTCCGATGTTATTTTTTTTATTTTTTCCCCGTGGCTTCGGCTCTCCGATTTCACATTAACAGGTTGAATTTCTCACGCCAACGTGGCCACCTATGGACGCCGACCTCTACATCACGGTGGCTCTGCGATCTCACATTAACATACTAATCCCTCACATTAACATAGCCACCTGCACACTCGTCGCAGACGCCGCTCTCCGATCTTACATTAACATGCTAATTTCTCACATTAACATCACTAGCCCCGCCCACTTCGTTTATGACCTGAGGACTACACCCTATAAAACAGTTTGCATTCAGCAGCTTTCCTCCTAATGACGGTCGCTTGTATTGTGATCGAAACGTCGTAGCTTTTTTTTTTAACCATCTACGTGACTTTACCAAAAGACCCGAAGAATAGTCTGATTTTAATTTGAAAAAGGCCAGAAAATTAAGTAAAATTTTCACGCCACCATAATTGGGAGGGCGAAACTTTTGGGTTTTTCAACGGTTTTACTTAACTTGATTCCTCTGTCTGGATCGAATCTTGTAATCAAAATTTGTCTACTTCCTGTTGTCCAATCAAATTTTGCACACGTAGTGACAATGCTTGCCTGCATTAAAATCGGCATCAATTCATCAATTAATTGCCTCCTTTCAAGCAATGACAATGACGGAATATTAATATCCTTTTGTGTCGGTGAAAAACGCCGCGGTCCCTAAACTGTAGAATCGCCTCGCACAAGAAGCAGGGGCCGCGTGTCTCTTGCAATAAAGATGTCGTCCACTTCCCATTGTCCAAGCGAGTTATTTACTTTTTAGTGCACTTTAAAATAAAACCGTTGTTTTTAAAGGAGTTTATTTAACGATAACGTCATACCTTTGATAGATTAAAATCTCAGGTACTTTTTTTGTAAGAGAGTGATACTAAAAGGCGATATATTAAAACAAGTGGGAAAATAATTGGCTTAAAGCTTTCATAACTGCAGGAATTCATATTTGGGTCTTTCGGTAAAGCCACGTAGATAGATCAAATAATAAAAATAATAACAATATCACGACGTTTCGATCGCAACACAAGCAATCGTCATCAGGTGAAAAATATCGCAGGAGAGCTGCTGAGAATGTTACGTGGGAGCACTGCTAAGGTAAAGAGTTATAAAGGTTTGGGATGGCTGTAGCCCAAGGGTCAGTGGGCAGGGCTAGAGATGAAATTTGCATGTAAATGTAAGATCGGGTAAATCTTGACAAGCGAAGCTGTGGGGGTGGCCATTGCATTGTGAGAGATTAGCATGTCAATGTAAGAGATTTGCTTGTCAATGTGAAACCTTTTTACAAGGATTCATTTCTGCATTAACCACAATACCTGCAGTCAAAATGCAAACAAAAAACATACTATGATAATATATGCATTGTCCTTGAAACTGATTGGGTCGAGGCTCAAAAGAAAGCCGTCCCTTGGTGTGGACCAATCAGTTTCAAGGACAATGCATATATTATCATAGTGTGTTTTTTGTTTGCATTTTGACTGCAGGTATTGTGGTTAATGCAGACATGAATCCTTGTAAAAAGGTTTCAGTTTTGTTGCCAGAAAAAAGGGGAAAACCCCTATTATTACATTTTGGTCCTGGCAAAGGAGGTCTAATGATGTAGATGCTCACCCCGAGCCCTCATTACTTTGATAGTGCATTGTCTTTGAGCTGTACGCCTTATGGCATCATGTGGTCGAGCACCAATTGGGTCGAGGCTCAAAAGAAAGCCGTCCCTTGGTGTGGACCAATCAGTTTCAAGGACAATGCATATATTATCATAGTATGTTTTTTGTTTGCATTTTGACTGCAGGTATTGTGGTTAATGCAGACATGAATCCTTGTAAAAAGGTTTCAGTTTTGTTGCCAGAAAACAGGGGAAAACCCCTATTATTATTATTATTAAGTAGAACGTGTTGTCAAAATGCATTTAAAGTTGTGCATTTTGATGTGACGTCATTTATCAAACCCCCCCCCCCCCCGTCACAAATGTCTGACCCCTCCCAAGGTGCGTGACGTCATTTATGGACGGCGCCTTTGTAAATGGCGGCTTGCCATCCTCTTCTACCTCCATGTGGCGATAGTCTTTCCAAGCTTACATTTACAGCAAATTTCATACATTGACATGTTAATCTCTTACATTGACATGCTAATTTATAACAATGCAATGGTCACCCCCACAGCTTCGTTTGTCAAGATTTACCCGATCTTACATTTACATGCAAATTCAATCTCTAGCCCATCCCACTGACCCTTGGGTTACACCCATCCCAAACCTTTATAACTCCTTCCCTTAGCATTGCTCCCACCAAATATTCTCAGCTCTCCCGCGATATTTCTCACCTGATGACGATTGCTTGTGTTGCGATCGAAACGTCGTGATTTTGTTATTTCTATTATTTGATCTATCTACGTGGCTTGACCGAAAGACCCAAAGAATATGGGGAAATAAGTATAGTACAATTAACGTGGGAAAAGTAATTTATCACCTAATACACACGGATGCCAAAAAAAACACATGGTCTGGATGTTGGATTGATTTCACTCTTTGGGTAGTGGTAGCTTAAAGCAGTGTGCGGGAGGTGAAACTGCACCGAGAAACATGGCCCGGAGGAAGCAGCCAAGCCACTGGGCTACGGACAAGACGGACATCAAATAGGACGGACATCAAATAGAAGGCCCCATTTCATTCCTAGCACCGGGAGAACCATGCCAACCGCGCTACGCCAGCCAATGGGGAGACAGTTTTACATTGCTCGAGTCTCGTGCAAAACACTTTCACAAATCTACAATCCCCATCATTGAGCACAAGTTATTTGACTCCCGTGGAATGCGACCATAAAGCCGATAGAAAACAAAGTCCACTTCCAGTTATTTGCACGACTGTATACAGTACATAAAAAAATGCAATGCATTAACATTGCATGTTTTGCTGTGCATAAATAGCTGTGATGTCATATAGCAAGTGAAACAGTGGATAAGCAAAGGCAATTTCAATTCAAAGTATTTTATTTAACCAGGTGAGAGCCATTGAGTTTAATAATCTTTCGAAGGGACACCTGGGATCCAGTAATTTTCTTTGGGGTAAAATAGGGATTTGTACAATTTTAAAACATTCTCAATAACACGTTTTTAAAGGAATATTCCATGACAGCATTAACCTGCATTACAGAAGTCTAGTAAACATCGCTTTAACTAAATATCAAATGTTTAATAACGTACATCTAGAACCCGCAAAAAAGAAAACCACCACCGCAAACCGTGAGGGGTGATGGGAAAGTCCGTGGCCTGGCAAGACGATGAGTGGCTGGTGAACTGATATGGTTGCAGGCACTGGTCCATCAATATCACAAGGATCTAGGAAATCCGAGAAAAAGCTTCATCTCACTCCCCACACCAATTACGTCGTCACGAAACATTACTTTCCCCGCAAGCAATGCTTAACATATGGAAACATGTGGAAGGAACCAGGCGCCTGACCTGGTGGTATGCTCTGGATTGTTTTTATAATGTTTCTACATACAAAAGAAAATCTCAAGATTGCTAAACTTTTTGATATTTTTTTCTCCCCACATTTCTTTAATTTTTCTTATTTTCCTTCGGATTATCTTTCTCTCTTCATAGTCTCTGCATTTTTGAGTTTCCCCAACATTCAGCAAACACAAACAAAACAGACACAAATAGGAGTTATCGCCCTGAAATGTGATCACCTTGAAACACTTTGCAATTCTTGATTGATATTATTTGCTACAGTGCCACTCTGCTTGTGTCCGGCCACGGTTCCTTGTAAATTGAAAAACATGCGAGAAACAGCTTGCGGCGAGATTACGTTTTAGACGTTAATTGTACAACTTGCGCACAATGGCACGTTAGATTGCATGTTAAGCAATCAGTATTTATCGTCGTCATTTTCAATGAATTTAAAGAGGAGCTGTAATGTGAAAAACGTTTTTACATCAAGAAATGTCGTGTAAACGCTACCAAACCGATACTCAAGGAAAGCAAACAAAACGGTAACATACATTTTTATGTTGTTCCTTTTTATCACAATTAAATTTTAGCAAAAACAATTCCACTTTTAAATTGTCATCTTTCAAAATATTTTAACAGCATTCAAATTGTATTACCGTCGATTAAAAAGGGAGTAACGCATAGACCTTCATTGCCCCTTGTGATTGACACCCTTATTCAAACCAGGTGGCAGCCCATATATCATACTTGTCTTTTTTATTTCTCATTAATGCCTGAAAAAAATGTAAGATGTTAACTGATAACGATGTTAACTGAAGTATAATCGTGTCAATAGGTTAACCGTCACTTGAAAACCATGCTGTCAAATACAACTGACACATTGAAAATGTTTTACATTAAATGGAAATACTGCTCATCGATGGTGATGTGAACTGGTGATATTGATTGCAATGTAATATGGTGGTATGTTCATTTAAATGTAACTACATGTAAATGTCTTCACAGAAAACTCATTATTCTAATTATGTTAATCAAAGTCGATGTGTCAATCGTCATAACTGTGTGCTAATTACAAAACACAAGAATGACAGACTGTTGAAAGTTCGTGGAGTGCTCGTGGAAACTTCTGGCAATTCCTGTTTGAAGAGTTGTCCCCGCTGTGCAAAGCAGCCTGTGAATTTCTAAGATGGCGGTAAAGTGTGCATCATGTGGGACCAGCAGCATTGCGTAGAAGTATCTGATGAAGTTTTAAAAAGGTTCACTGTAAACGTCGCTGATAGGTGTCTCGCATACAGACGTGAGGTGTTGAGCGGTGCTAAGGGTTTCAAGATGTACTCAAGTCGGTAAACAGGGATGAGGGTGCAAAAGCAGAATTCCTAAAATAGCACTGTTCTAAAGAATTCAATGTTTCTCCCATTCAGGCATTACAGCGTAAATTGGACATGTGTACGCGTGGCAGGGGAACACCTTGATAAACAGGGTTTCATTCAGTTAACTTTCAAATTTACTACAACTAAAAGTGGAGGTTTACCACAAATAACCCTTGCAGTGTCAAAATCCAACTTCGTCTCCAGATGCTGTACAAAATAGTTTGCCATGCATTATAGGGACCACAAAAAGGGAGATTTAAATATTTACGGTAAGGTACGATTGAAGACGCGTCGTAAAAAAGAGGGGTCAGTCATAAGCAGAGTAGAAGGGGAATCTCTTAAGGCTGGATTTGAGACTTCTAGGTGACGAGAACAAGAGCAAAGAAGGAGCGATCTCCCATTGAGCTAGGCTGAGGGCTTTGACAGAAGCCCTTGCGAGATTGGTGGAGGGGAGTCGAGTGAAATAAGAAGCACTAGGCAGAGGCAAAGACAATGAGGATCTTTCAGATGTCGAGTGCATGCATGTAGCTGATGTGGGACTGTATTGGGAACCAGTAGAGGGGATCCCAGGATGTGAATGATGTGGTTTTTGTTTAAGAGTGCGGTACTCTGGATCATCTGGCATTTGGAGAGGCATTTGGGGAGGATATAGAGAAGAGCTGCAGACAAGGCGAGAGGCGATAAAGGCATGGATAATGAAGGCATGGATAATGAAGGCATGGATGAAGGCATGGATAATGAAGGCATGGATAATGAAGGCATGGATAATGAAGGCATGGATAATGAAGGTATGGATAATGAAGGCATGTGTAATGAAGGTATGGGTAATGAAGGCATAGATAAAGGCATGGATAATGAAGGCATGGATAATGAAGGCATGGATAATGAAGGCATGGATAATGAAGGCATGTGTAATGAAGGTATGGGTAATGAAGGTATGGGTAATTTATATTATAAATTATTGTCAGTTGATGACATGGCGTCATAATTATGGCAATTGATATAGTTTTGTAAAAACATGTACAACGTATATTTATGTAATTATGTGTTGGCTTGTTTAATTATGTTAAGATCTTGACTTGATGTAATTGTGGAGTTTGATGTAACTGTTCATGTCCATAATTATATCGTGTCCACTAAACAAATGAACATATTTACTCAAGGAAAATAACTGAAAAGGACATCAGAGTATGTGTACCCAGGTCAGTTATTAAAGGCGGTCTGGGATGGAAATTAAGAAATAAAGAGGTGAGCGAGAGCAGGTCGGAGTGAATTTTACAATGAGAAGTAACAAACCAATGCACCTCAATAACATTTTCAATCGGTGCATATTATTTGCCTTGACAAATGGATCATAAACATGAAATATTACAAAAATGAAGCAAAAGCTGAAAAGTGTGCAAATAAAACAAACACAAATTACATTGCCTTAAGAAAAGTGGGTTTTGGGCAGGACACATGATTAGAAGACAAACCATATCAGCAAAAGGAGGCACATGTCCAAGACGAAGACCACCGAAGAGACCCAACGATGAGATCAGTTGGTGTGCAGGAGCTTAATGTGTCTCTTCGTCGCAAGACATTGAAGGATGGCGACGACTTGGGGATGCCTTCACGCAGCAGTGGACAGGTCATAGTTGTTGATGATGACCTCATTAGAGTAGATGGATGCACTTGTTCGCATTAATAGAACAAATGCTGGGGTTGTGTTCAACCACCCATCAGCCATTATGAAGCTCGCCTTTGTTTTCGCATCACTGCATGCGGAGCTGATAATCTGAACACGCAAAAAAAGAAAAATTAGACACAGGGTGAAGTTGTCTCTCTGCTCAAGAAAGTAATGTGGTAAACCGCTATAGACTGATGATGGTGCGGATGGTGATGCCGCAGCTCCTGCTGCTGATGGTGCTAATATTACTGCTATTTACGATATTAATTACGCTTCTGCCATTTCTGCAGATGGCTGCTGATCATGTCAGTGAAATTGCCACGGCTACTGCAAAGCTTAATAATACTGCTCAGTTTAACATGTAGGCTTTAGCGAACAATATTTCAACATGAGTACCAAGCCACAACATTACAATCTGAGTACTCAGATTGTAAATATTGTGGCTTGGCTCTCCAACTCACCGGTGTGTTATACTAGTAACGAATTGGCATGTTCTGTTTACGTGACAAACCTGGCTGTGTCAGGTGGTGGCGGGTGTAACGATACATTTATATATTTACACGATCTAACCCAAAAAACCTGGATTATGAATAATACTGCTTTGGCTAATGATGCTGCTGATGATGTGCTGATGATGATGTGCTGAATCAACGCCCAACTGGAATCTGAACTCGTACATTCTGATTGCAGGTTCAACCTCTGACCACAGTGACACCAGACCTGATATAATTTTTTCACATCTGAAAATGGAGCTGATGGCACAGGGTCTCCGACACACCCATTATGAAGATATCTCACCTCCACTCTGTGTGATGTACCGAACCCATGGTAGCGCCTGATATCCACTCTTCTCCATGATCTTCAGATACCGAACCTGATGAAACACGGGGAGACATGGGGAGGGGGGAAGATACAGGGTGGTAGAAGGGAAATAAGGGACAAAGGGGACATGGTGACATTGGAGAGAGACAGGTATAAGGAAGACACCTAATTAATATAAGGTACCTCCTACTGTACTGCTATAATCGAATAATTATAATCATAAAATAATGTATGTATGAGAGGGACAAGCACATTTGAGACAGGATAGAATGTTGTTTGCAGGTAACAGGATTGAAACTCTCATCATCTGCAGTTTTACTTAAGCATAGTACATTCCTCCACCTGCTGTATTGTTGTGGATGAGAGGAGTGCCATTATGTATTGAGTGTCACTCTCACCTGGATGCCAGACGTGGTGAAGTATGGGATCTCAAACTTGACGGTGATCGGGGCCCGGCCGTCAGATTCCTCTGCACCGACACTCGGCAGCCCAAAGTGAGCTCTTAGCAAGTACTCCTTACCACCCTGTGAGACATGGGGAGGAGAGGGGAATGACGGGGAGTAGAGGGAAGACACTGAGAGGAGACAAGACATGGGACGGTCAGTTGAGATGCAGGGAGGACAGCGGAGACACGGGGAGACATGAGGAAAAGTGAAGTGATACACAGGGAAGAGAAGGGAGACACAGGGAGAAGAGGGACACAAAGAGAAGTGAAGGGAGACATGTGGACAAGGGCGACCGGGGAAGACTTGAGACAGGAGGGGAAATAAAGGAGATGGGTGGCGACAGGAGATTGGGTGAAAGACAAGGGGATAAATCGAGCAGAGAAGTGAAGAGAAACACGGGGAGAACCACCGTCCCCATGTCCCTGTGACCTAGTCTCACCGGCATGGACTTGATTGTCCACACGAGAACTCCCTCCTCGGGGATCCAGGCCGTCGTCCCCGTGGAGACACGGAACTTGGGGGAATCTGCGTCGGCGGGGACTGGGACTCGAATCTCCACGCCGCTTGCCGTCGACTTGCGCTTGAACTGGCTCTTGGCCTGCGAGGGACATTAAGCCACTCAACACGACTTCGCTCACCCCCCCACCCCCACCACAGGTCCCACTGGGGCTTCCATTCAATAAAACCCCCTCTCATCCTCGAAGAGGGTGGCCTTTGACACCAAATCTTCCGACCGGCCATGCACTAAGAGGTGGGATTATATATAGTTGGATTAAATAATTGGTTTAGCCACCGATCCCTCTAAATGACAAATTTACAGATAACAGCAAGAATCAACTTGTAGATGACGGAATTGTGGACGAGAAAAGTTCCACATATTCAATTACCGAGCATTAATTATGATAAATTTCAGGTGGTAGTACATTTCATTATTTATTGATTTTATATTACAAATTAACGTGTAGGCAGTTCACAGTATTGGCGTGTTTAGGTTGGCAGAGCACACAAGCTCACCTTGACGATGTATTCAATTCTGCCCGAATGCCTCTCAATAGCCGACTCGATCCAAACAAGTGGCTTCACCTGGAGATGTCAACAGCCATCAGCATCATCATCATTTTCTTTTCTCCATGTCTCCCTCCCCCGCACGTGTTCCTGTGCATCCCCAAGTCCTCATGTCTGCATGTATCCCCATGTACCCTCCGTGTCACAGTAGTCACGTGTCCCCCAATGCATCTCTGGATTCCTTTGTGCCCCGCCACGTTCCTAACTCTTGTGTGCCCTGTGTGCTATGCGTGCGTGTGTAGATGGTAATTCAGCAGCTCAAACTCCCCATGTCCCTATGTCCTCCATGTGTTCCCTTTTCTTCGTGTGCCTGTGTCCCCTGTACCTTACTTATGTGTAAGTGTAGCAGGCCAAATTCCCTGTGCGTCCTTGTGTATCTCCATGTCTCTCTGTCCCCATATCCAGAAGTTCTTACGTGTGTGTAAAGACGGTAGCTCATGAGCTCAAACTCCCCATCCGGGGGGATGAAGGAGATGGTTCGATCGTTGTCGAAGCGAGAGAGGCGCACGCACTGATGGAACTTCACATCCTCCAGCTCCACTCCCTTACTCTTGTCTCCTGGGGGACACACAGACGCATGGGGACAGAGAAGGGAGGCATGGGATGCAGAGGAAGACATTAGCCATTAGGACACACGGAGAAACAGAAAACTGGGAGACAAGTGAAACAAGAACACGTGATCGATGGTGAGGGACAGCTGCGATTAAAGTGAGGATGGCAATGATGCTATTGCTATGCTGCATTTGCCGATTATAATTCTAGTGACGATGATGGTGACAGTAACGGAGATGCTGATGATGATACTGTTGCAGCTACTGTTGATGATAATAATATGCTGATGATTCTGATGTTACTACTGGTGATTATGATGATGATGTTCATGATAGCCATGATGTGATAACTCACGTCCCGTCTGCTCAAACAAGACCTTGTCGTTCAGTCCGAGTCTCAACTCAGGCATTCCCGACAGGAAAACCCTCATCTTCACCGTCCCCACAATCTCACTCCGCAGAACCGAGCCTGTCGCACTCACCTGTAAATACACATAATGATTAACAGCAATATCTTCATAAGTCAGCAGGAGCAACATCATCAACATTATTTGATTGAATGAACAAGGCAGCAAAGCAGCAGCTAACTAAAACAATACATCAGCCCAAAATGAGGAATAATCATGCATTTAAAACGGTCGGTAAAGTATGAAAAAATATATGACCCTTGGATATAGAAAAATTAATAAAGGTCCCACTTTTTTTTTAAACAGATAAAATTTGGGTCAATTTGTGGTAATTTAAAACATAAATAAATGGTGTAACAGCAATAAATATAAAAATAACACAAATATGTATAAATTAGCTCAAAATAGCGCAAACTTGCAGTGAATTGGATCCCAAAACTATCGGTTCATGAGATCAAAATATTTTGTTTTATAGTTACATTGAAATTATACCAATTTACATGCTGAAATCAGAACAATCAAAATGTTTGGACAAAAATGGTAGATAACCTAAAAACCCGATTACGAGCGGATATTGGGAACACGGCGTCGCTCACCAGGAGGTTGACGGACTCGATGACGTCGAGGAAAACCTCGTTCTTGCGATACTTGATACCCTCGGAGCGCCACGACACCGCGTTGGTTACGGTTGCTGGGGGGCGAGGTGCCCCCACCTCCAGCTTGTGCCCCTCCTGGGTGATGTATCTACACCAATCGGGTGATAGAGGGGGTGGCCGCAGAGAAGGGTATCAGAGGTGTGCCAATCAAGTACAGTGGGTGGAGGCAAAAGTGGGCAAGCCATATTTACTCCCCCCATGCTTCCCAGCACCTCTAGGTGTCTCCCTTCTCCCATGTTTGCATTCTTGTGTCTCGCTTTCACTTCAATTCTTGTGTATTCTCATTTCCAAGTCTCCATTCTGCTTGTCTCCCTTCTCATCCCCGTGTCTCCCTTCTCCTGTACCTCTCTTACCAATACCTGCCTTCACCGCACCAATGTCTCTCTTCTTCCTGTGTCTCCTTTCTGCTCCCTCTGTCTCGCTGCTCATCTGTTTCCCTTGTCCTTGCCATTATTTCCCCCCCTGCATCTCCCTTATTCTTGCGTCTCCCTCCTGCCCATGTTTCCCTTGTGCTTCCCGTGTCTCCCTCCTCCTCCTAGTACATCCGCATAGCTCTCACTCTTGCAAAACGCGACTCTCTGTCGTCTGGGGGTATCCAAAGTCCATGATCTCGTCCAGGAGCTCGTAGACGATCACAAAGTTGTCCCTTATGCTCTCCTCTTCCAGCTCCTTGAAGTACTCATTGAACACCTGCAAGGGGATAGATGGGGAGACGCGGAGACACAAAAGGGGAAGGATAGAATGGAGACGTGGGATTATGCGGAGACAATGAGACATTGAGAGATGGGAAGATATTGTGGAAGTGGATGCTATAACCGTGGTTCTAGATGTTAAGATATTTGTAGTTATTGTCATTGCTGCAGCATTGGTTGTGGGTGTTTGGAGTGGTTGTAGCTATTGTAGTAAAAGTTGTCATGGTGGTTGAAGTGCTTGTTGTTTAGATGCAGTGGTTGTTGAGGTTGCTGTGGTCACTATAGTAATTGCAATTTTCACTGTGGTTGTTACAACAATTATTGAAGTAACTGTTATCGTGGTTAAATTTTGATTTAAATCTTTCATGACTGCAGTGATTAATATTCTTGGTTCTTTCGGTAAAGTCACGTTGAAGAGAAACAATAAAATAATAAAATATATATAACATATATTATATATATATTCTTAGTTTTTTCGGTAAAGTCACGTTGAAGAGAAACAACAAAATAACAAAATATATATAAAACAATATTTTGTTATTTTGTTGTTTCTCTTCAACGTGACTTTACCGAAAAAACTAAGAATATGAATTACTGCAGTCACGAAAGCTTTAAATCAAAACATATATTGTTTAATAAAATCTATATAAACATATATTGTTTTATATATTTTATTATTTTATTGTTTCCCTTCAACGTGACTTTACCGAAAGAACCAAGAAAATGTTATTGTGGTTGTTATAGTAATGTTATAATTGTGAGATGTGGGAAGGACACCACTGGACAAGTGATCAGATCTTCTCAAATTGTCATCGATGTTGATGGTGTGTAATGTGCGATGGTGAATCAACAGTGATAACGTTGTGATATTGATGTTTATGGAGATGATAGTGATGGTATTGTAATATTGATGGTGTTGAAATATTAATGATCTTGTTAGTGATGTTGATGATGGCAGTAATGGTGTTGTAATATTGAGTCTGTTAATGATGGTGTTGATGGTGCTCACCTGAACAGTCTTGTACAGGAAAGCAAAGACGAGGGCGACGTTAGCATTCTTGTTGGTCGTCGCCACAACTTGACAAGACGTTAAGGACATCAAGCTTAACACGTAGGCTTTCGCGACCAATACCATCCATATCATCCACAAATCTGGCTGTCGCCTGATGAAGCTAGTTGTAATTACTGGCGAAACGTCGTACTCAGATTGTAAATGTTGTTGGCTTGGCTCTCCAACACACCGGTGTGGCTGTACTAGTGACGAATTGGCACGTTCTGTTTACGTGACAACCCTTACTAGTTGGCTGTGTCGGGTGGTGGCGGGTTTTAACGACACATTTATATATTTACGCAATCTAACCCAAAAAAACCTCTATTATGGACATCAAGCTTGTCAACTTTGTGCTCAAATTATTTAGCCTCCTCTTACACCACTTCAATGACTTCCACCTCAATATCCACCAATCTCTCAACCTTCCCCTCAATGTCTACTATCTTAATATCCTTCATCTCGATACCCACCACTGCACCGCGTCAATATTCACAACTTTGTCAATGTCCTTCACCACTTCAATGTTGTCCACCTCAACCTATAAACGTTCACCACCTCCTTAAACTCAACCTCATCCGCTTCCTCCTTCATTCTCTCAATCAACCACCTCAACATTTTACAAATCACCTCCTCCATCTCAACTTTTGCAGTTTTCCTTATTGTTCTCCTTGTGTGCCACCTCTTAGGTGCAAAACCCTCTGTCCCCACAACTCTCCCTGCATCTCTAACCCCCTCCCGCCCACCTTGCCCTCACTCCATCCCCCCTCCCCGCCTCCACCCATACAGGATACTGTAGATGTTGTTGTGTTTGATCCACATGAAGCGTACGCCACCGTGGGACAGCACGGGGTTGAGGGTGCCCTCCTCCTCGCGCTCGGTGAGCAGTGAGAAGAAGGCATCGACGGCACTGGTGGGGACGTCGCCCCTGTAGTTCCTGCTGATCAGGGTCTGCGCATGACACCGCACAGTCCACGGGGACATCCATTGGCAAGAAGTAAATGCAACTTGGAATGATGAGGTGGATGATAATGTTGATGCTGCTGATGTGTGTGATGTTGCTACTGATAACGCTGATATAAATTATGCGTTTTGTGTTTAGTTTGCTTTTCCCCCCGCACCTCCGATTGGCACGGTGTGCTATGCACGGTGTGAAAGAAGTTCAACATACATACATGATGAGAGTTGTTAACGTTTCAGCTATCTCTCATTTCAAAGGATATTCCTGAAACGGTTAGTATAAAAATTGGAATAGTATCAAAATTGGAATTCAAAATGCCTGCTAGTATTACTCAATAACGTTGTGTTATTACTTCCTTGTAAAATGTTACATGCGTGCATTAAGTATGTTCAATTATTCAGAAATGCGTCCAGACTTTCCGACTGCAGTCCGACGCCAACGTGACATTTACTAGATATTAAATTAACTTTTTTCAAAAAGGTGCCTTTCATTCAAATTTTAATCTGTTCGAGATATTGCCCTTTAAACATGCATCCTCTTAACGCGACACATTTGCATGCCCATTACTGTATACTGTATTGTGAAATAACGCATTTAGGACCTAGGCAATATTTAAGGACAAACTAAACAATTGGACATAATCGGGATAAATCCACGTCAATTCGATTACCTGCCACTGCGAGCATCAGCGGCGAGTGATATCTGACGCAAGCCTGCTCCCTCCCCAATTTACCAATCCACAGTGACCCGGAAGGTGAAGTATGGTCAAACAACCCCCTTGACTAACATCCAGTATTGGAAGAAGCGGCTGTGAATTGTGAGTATTCAGGTTAAAACTTTAGAAAAAAAACCTACGCGCAGTACATGAAAACAAATTGAATACGTAAGAGTCTATTGTTCTAAATATTAATGGAGACCAGTTAATGACAGTCCCCACACAACCTGACATAACATTTGGGGCCAATGGACAGTTCGGGAGGATTTGTGCTGCGTTATCCATCACACGACTCAGGAACTCTGCCAGAGAGAGGCAAATTTTCGTGTTAGGGGCCAACAAATTACCGAATTACCTCCTCCTTACCTGGGAAACATTTTAAAACGGACACTGCCCGTCCGATACAGGAGCTGTACGCAAATGTGGCAACGTGACGCCGATGAATCCATTTACCCGTGAACGATTCTGGACCTCGTTCCACGTTGGAGCAATTTTATTGTACGGGATGGCGATTGTTTGGGAAAAAAAACAACAACCACATGTTTAACACGTAGGCTTTCGCGACCAATATTCGTAATAAAGGTTTTGGGGTTAGATCGCGTTATTTATAAATGTGTCGTAACCCTCCACCACCCGACACGGCCAATCAGCAAACAAAAAGTGTCACGTTGACAAAAGACAATTAGTTCACTACTTTAGACCACCGGTGTGTTGAAGAGTGAATCCACAACATTTACAGTTTGAGTAGTACGACGTTTCGCTGGTAATTACATCCAGCATCATCGGGCAATTCGCCAGAATGGTAAAGCCCTCGCTTGCTCTTAAATAGAGCAGCAGCAGCAGGGTGACGTATTACTTGTTCCCGTGATTGAATGTCTGCAATGTATTTGATCGGTTTAATAAAGTTACCGAGGGAAAAAAAAGAACGAAGCACGATTACTTTGGAGGCACACGTAACGTATGTTTCTAATCATTTGTGTTGCATGTATGACCTCTGAGTTGTGACACAGGTGTGCGCGACGCGAAGGTTAGCGATTCAATGGCAGGATTGGATAAGCAAGTTGGAAGTTCTGGGTAAACGTGGCAGGGCCATGCTGGAGATGTAATCAGGAAGAGCAGGTTGAGGTGGGCGAGACGCAACGGGGACGGGAGCGTCATTAGCCATCAGTGGCACGACTCCCGAGTTCACATCATCATTATCATCACCAGTCACTCTGGGCCGATGACATAAACACGTCACCGGATCAAGCGTGTGAGGAACGTTATACAGGATAAACTGACCACGCCACGTGAACGTGTAATGTCCACCCACTGGTGGAGGAGGACCGCTAAACTCGCGCCGTGCCACGCTCCTTTGAACAGCTGGAAGGTCAGCGGTGTCTCCGACACCCCCATTATGGAGCGATTGCGAGAGAGGGGAAGACCCAGGACTCTTAACTCATCCCTCAACCGACGCGACACGGAGACCCCGTAGGGGGGGGGGGGGGGGGTACCCCGGCTTGCCAAACGCGGCCGCTGCCGACCTCAGGACCCCAATCCCGGCACCAGAATCAGGCGAGCCCGTGGCTTCCACCTAACGCGATCCTCCCGACACAATATTACGTCGTGTTTTTCCATTTAAAAAAAATGCGATTGTTGCTCATCTTTACCTTCCCCTTGAGGTCCAAAATGTACACGCCCGACGCCGACATGGTCCTTGCCGTTTTAAAATAAAATAGACAAGAACAATGAAATGAATATAAAAAAACAATGTTTTGTAACGATTTCTGTTGCCGGCCCGCCCGATTACACAAGGGCGTCGCCTCGGCCAATGGGAGCGCGACTTCCGTGGTGACGTCGGCACGATGGTGACGTCACCGGGTCAAGCGTGCACCACGTGTGGGCGGGGTAGCGGGAAGTTCAAATCTCAACGCGACACGAAAACCCAGTGGCTGGGCTGAAATATTAAACCCGAATTGTCCTGGGCTTAGATGGGGGGGGGGTGGGAAAAAAGTAATACTACTATATTCCCCCACTACACCCACATACTTCCGAGAGATATGAAGCCCTGCACATGTTCCATGTAACGGCTGAGATCAAGGCTCTTTACTAATTGGATTAGTTGGGACACCTTTCCTTGTACGAGATGAGGCTTCTGTACCGGATTAGAAGTGGACTTCTGGAATATTGGTTGAGGGTCAGTGGTGCTGGATTGAATTGGATAAAAGCAGCTCTCAACCCTTTGCAGGGTGCTGTGTCCGCTGCTATATTAGGATTATATATTGGATAAGACAACAGTTGTGCGTCAGATGAGACTATATTTCTGTACTACACGGGACGACGGTTCTGGACCATGTGTAAAATGAGAAGTTTCTTGAAGTATTAAATGGGATGAGGTTACTGTATTGGATGGGATAACGTAAGGTCATTTATAAAAAATGTTATTTTGGAGTACATGCTAATTATATTTCAGTAGATACTGGATTAGATCACAGTTATTGATTAGATGGCATCAGGGTACTTGTATTTGATGAGAATGGTTCTGTATGGGATAAGGGTTCTGTATGGAATAAGGGTCCTGTTGGATGACGCAAGACGATGGTCGTGCATCAGAGATGACATCGAAGTAGCTGAGGGCTGTCTCGAGAACTCAAACCTGCTCATGATGCGACTCAAATAACATTAAACCCGCGATGGAACCCATTTTAAATGTTTAATTTAATCACACAAATACACAGATATAAATAAATGGCAAATTACAGATAAACACTGAAGCCGGGTGTATTGGCCATTACTGATCACGTCTGTAATCCAGAGCTTTGGAGGCAGGGTTGGTGGATCACGCAGAGATCATTGAGGGTGCCTTCTGAAGACAATACAGCAAGCAAGTTAATTCCGACTCAATCCATCCGCACAGTTGGGAGTTTTCAGTGCTGTGCCCATGTAAACGTGTGGGTGTTCTCCAGGAATTCTGGTTACCTCCCAATGAGTGTAAAAAAATACGTGTCAAAAAAGGCCCTCCTGAAAGCGTTTTGGGACTTGACGAGGTATTCCCGTCATGTTGCGGAGAGCTAGTGATATATTTTAAGGTTATAAGAATGTTAGATTTAAAACATTGTGGGGATCTTAAGAAAGGAACTACTGGCTTTTGAGCGTAAGCAATGGCGGAGCCAGGATTTTCAGGTAGGGGGGGCAACCCCTCCAGAATTTTTTTTTATATATATAGGAGTTGTTAGTAAGGACTTGTCCCTTGCTTTTTATTTGACGCGTGTGCGGCGATGGCGCAGCCATCGATCGAGGGTCGAATTCGAACCGCGTTGTGTTATCAGCATCGCGCTCGCTGAATGCCTTCAGGGAAGTCGTGGACTGTATACACAACTGCGCACAATTCTGAGTCACTTATAACTGCTTTTCCGTTACTTATTGACAATTATGGACTCAGACTATTGTCCTATCATCTCATAGAGTCCCTGGCACGTAATAATATGCTACACAGTGGCAGTCGCAAAATGCCGATTTATTACTAATAAACCCCAATGATCCGATCGAAATTAGGGATTTGGATAGGATCAACTGGGGGCACGTGCCACCCCACCCACCCACTGGCTCCGCCAATGAGCGTAAGTGCACATGGACGACAATCAAAATTGAATGGCAGGACAGGGTAACTTTTAAGGTGAGAATAGAACGTGGCAAGAAAGTTGTTTTCTCGTTGCAATCTGGAAGAAGTTGTAAAGAGTGGAGATGTGTGTAGTGTGAAGGTCAGGTTACCGAGACAGGCATTACAGTGGCAGCCAGAAGGTGACGACCAATGGAATGACCTAAAGCTGAATAGTGGTGGTGATTAGAATGTAACAAGGGAACGACCGAAAGATGGTTATTGATGTCGACCAAAAAATGGAAAGACACTAAAGCGAGATGGTGGTGGTGATGGGACTATAAGAGTGATCCTTCAAGCGCTTGTCAACGGTGCAACAGCCGTGGGATTTCACAGGAGTGATGGTGAAGTGTGGTGGCATTGGCTGACAAGCTCTGGACTTTGTAGTGTCAATAATACTACTGTGAAAAATGATGAAAAGTTCCTTTTGCACTTTATTTTGTTTTAACGTTTCACACGCTCCCTTCTCCTCTGCATATGCGGGGGGGGAGGGGGAAAAATCATCCAAAACTGAAAAGAAAAATGCAATAGGAATTTTGAGTTCGTGAAATGGGACGTTAATAATCTCTAAACACAAGTTGTGTATGGACTCTCCAGTAGAAATCTGAATTAGCCACCGCCACCTCCTATCACAAACCTCTGAGAGGAACAGCTTCCGAGGCTTTTCCGAGTCTGTGGTTTTTTACAAGTACGAACATTTTCTTTAATATCTGCTTATTTTTAAGTTATTTGTTTAATATAATTTTTGGAAACTCTTTTGCAATATTAATAATTGTGTTTTAGTTGTTTTACGAGCAGCAATGGAAAAGTCTGTGGCCTGATACAGAAAGCAATGAGTGACCTTGAAGCTGTCATTTCACGATATGGTTCCACTGAATTGCAACGCATTCCATCCATCAGTGCCCAAACGTTAATCCCCACCTGGAAGAACTTTTTTCCCCTGCTCCTAAACCACTCGAACATAGCACACGTCACTTCATTGCCACAAGAAAGTCATTTTCTCTGCAAGCGATTCTTTTTACCTGTGGGGAGAATGTGGAAGAAACGGGGAGTCAAATATTGTATCGGTTTTTTCCACATTTGTCTAAGTTTCTCTGACGTTTACATAGATTTAACAAATTTTCTCAATATTTGTGTGTTCTTGATTTCTCTTCATTTTTTAAGAAAATTATTTCTAACACTTGTCAGGAAAAGATAAAGTTAATCTATTGCTTTCAAATTTTATCAATATTTTGTATGTACTTTTAATTGATGATTCACCCTATATTGTAGCACCACTCATGCTACGTTAGGCAGTGGACTTTTCCATCAACCCTGGTAAACTCTCATCTAGCCACACACAAAGCAGTTCCGTTCCAAAAACTTGGTTTTTGTTTATGAATGGGAGCAGTCAGCAGGAAACGAAGGGACGAGATGATGATGTTGAAATGGCTCCTGGCATCTCTGCCATCACTATCTTCGCCGCCATCACCACCATCAGCGCCACCAACACCATCACTACCGCAATCGCCAATTTAATTCCTCGCCTCGAGAAACAGAGTTTCCTGTGGAAAAAGCTTCAGTTCTTCAAACGACTTGTCTGGGTCAAGAACAGAGAGCTGTGAAGAGAAGACAGAGGGTCAATGGGTGAGTGTGTGTACGAGTAACTTGGTAAGTAAATAGATGGGTGAGTGAATGACCATGCCATTGAGTGATCAGGAGAGTGCATAGGTAGGGTGGTTACATGTGTGGTTGAGTAGTTAGATTTGAGTGGGCGGTGAAATGTGGGTCCATGTGCATGGGTGTGCCAGTGAGCAAGCGATTGAATGCATAAGCAGGGGGTGGGGTGAATGGATCAGTGAGGCAGGGGAGTAAGTGATGGATGATATACAAACAGTGAGTGCGAGAGACATGGAGGAACATGCATGAAAGAGGGATAAAAGGGCTTGGGGGGGGGGGAATGGAGATACTTGGATGAGGTCGATAAGGTGTGGGAAGAGAGAAGGTACACATTTAAAAACATGAGAAGGCAATAAGGGGTGAGGTGGCAGAAGTGAGACAGAGAAAAACGGGGTGGATACACAGGGAGGCATGGGAAGTGAAATATGGGGAGGGAAACACGAGGTGGAAGAGTGGTGAGTTCGGGGAAGGGAGATATATGGAAAGGAGAAACACACAGGTAGATACATGGAGGAGGAAACACTGAAGAAGACACGGGGAAACACGCACATCTCTCCGTGGAAACGTCGTGAGCAGCTTGAAGTCTCTCTGCGCGAATCCTCGCGATGCCACGAAGGTGATGAGTGCGCGGAGTGGCTGGGACACGAGGAATCTTCGCTCGAGAAATTCTCCCTGTGGCGTCCTCACGCGCAGGCGCGTCACGGGAGCCTCAGCACCCTCCGCTGCCGGCTCCGGGGGGAGAGACTCGGCAAGTGAAGCCATGAGAGCCTGGGGAACGAGGATGATGATGATACGGACATCAGTGTCATCGTCATTGCCAGTGATGTTGCAGCTTCTGTTGTCATGGTCACCTTTGCTGATGTCTTTGGTAACAGCAACAGAAATGTAATAATTCATTAACAAGGTCAGCTGCAGAAGGCAGCGCTTCTTCATTATCAGCAGCAAGTGGCATTACCATTATCAGCAGCTGCAGCAGCATCATCACCATGTTCATAGACAGCTACCTCAAAAGTATAATTAGCAGAAGCATCAGCACCACTATCAGCAATGGTAATCACCGTCAGGGGGTATGGCTCAAGGGTCATTAGTAGACAGGTCAAGGTGAGGGATGAAAGAACAGGAGTGTGGTCAAAGAACAAGGTGCAGGAACATTTAGGTTGGGCAGGTTATGGTGATAAGTCAAAAGTGGGAGGTTCAGGAGTTCGGAGTCAGCGTTCACCTCTTTTTCCTGCTGCTTTTCTTGTTTGAGTTGCTCCCTCTTTGCCTGCTCAGCAATTTCCTTCTCCTGTGCATCACGCTGTGATGGAAACATCAGCATCAGTATAATAATCGCCACCACCACCATCTTCATGGGCAGCAGCTTCATTAGCATTATCATTGCTATCATTATCAAGCAGTAGATGCATCGTCATTATCATTACTAGCATAATCACATCACAATCAGCATCATTATCACTGCCATTATCACCAACACAAGAGGAAGCACAAACTCATTTGGAAAGCATAAGGAAATGAAGCACATTAAGCATGAGAGAAGCATAGTGAAAATACGAGCAAGCACAAGGGAAGTATTATGAAAAAAAAACCATGGGGAGCATTTAAAAGTCCAGAAGCTGCAAGAGAAATGTAAAAAGTGTAGGGTTTAAAACACACGTGAATTATGGTTCCAGTGCTTGGAGTGCATGGGGGGAAGTGTTTCTTACTTTGGCGCGGTCGGCTTCCAGCGAGAGGCGGTATGCTTCATCTTGCTCCCGCTTCACAGTCTCACGAGCTTCACGCTCCTCCTAGCGACACAGATACATGGTGTGGTAGCGGCGGTGGAGATGGTGGGGGTGGTATTGGTCGTGATGGTGTTGGTGTTGACACAGGTATTATGATAGCGATTGTTGTAACAGTGATGATGTCCTCACCTCGTCCTTGATGTCCTGCCTCTGTTGCTCAGTGAAGATGTCAACCGCGTGCATCAACCTCATCATCATCTCATCCAGTGTTGTGTTTCCTGTATCAGTACACATACACCTTGTGTTAACTGTGCATGTGCGGAGAGCCGCTAATTATTGTGATAGTAGCCAGGTATTAATTTCTCACGAAATATTTTTTTGGTCACTGGTAGACTTAAGGTGACACGTAACTAGTAGCCACAGCCATGAGCAAGAGGTATTACTGGATGTGGCGTGTCAGATACGAATATATTTTCTGGGTTGCTGCCTTGGACAGACCCCACTGAAATCAAGAAATAATTGTAACGACTGAGACATTGAGACCTATTCTTAATCCTGCTACTTTTAATTTTAAGGCAATATCCAAAATGTCAACATCACCGGTCATGATCAAATCACTGCTGTATGAAGGGCTCCCCAATCCATCACCATACCTCATGATCCTGCAACAATTCATATAGCTCCTACAAACCAAAGCTCATTTAATCTCTGTGCTGGAAGTCCTCATGGGGTTGTTCCCTCTTTTGCTGCCACTCCATTGTTAGTCTCGACCACCGGATATTCCCACTTACTTTCTTACCAGTTAAATAATGTCTCGAACTTGTACTTACTCTCTAATCCATGTGTTCCCCTTGGCTGGCCTTGACCTAAAGGCTTCCACAGCCTTGATTTGGGCCTTGGCCTCATGGGTCCAAGCATTGAATTTGAGACTGGAATGTGCATCCATTTTAGCGGTTTCCCAATTAAGTAATTTGCGAGTGATTTTTCAAATTTGGAAAATTTACATAACGACCAGGAACACACAGTCTGCTCTTATTCAAATTAAGTAACAGAATCTTTACTGTCCACCATGAAGCACACGGCACCTATTTTATGGTTAATACACCAGCATCAATATTTACAGTGCTTGCCACAAATTTACCACAATACCTTGCTGATCTCGTCAAGGAGCATAAAGCATCACGTGAACTCCGGCCATCATCACAGCAGCGGCTTTGGCTAGCCATGGAACAAAGACTTGCAGTACTTCGCGCGCTTTCACTTGTGCTTTTGCGGCCGTCTCGAACACTCTTCCTTCCAATATTAGGAAGCCGCTGGATCTATGCACTTTTAAAACTATATTGAAAACTAATTTCTTTAGAACAGCTTTTTGTGTATAGTTTGTTGTCCTTCCCCCGCACCTCCAATTAGCATGGTTGGCTATGTATGGTGGAAAAGAAGTTCAACATACTTACATACATACACAGTGAATGTGTGTCTGTATGTGTGACTGTGTTTATGTGGATATGCGTGTATGTGTGTGTACATGTGTGTCTGCACGCTTATGTGTTGAGCATGTGTCAGTGAACTGTACCATGTCTAGGTTCGCTCAAATGTCACCGAGGGCCACTTGCAGGTGTGAGGCTGTACCTGGGATGACGGAGAGCACCTCGTTGGAGGTTCGCTTGCCCATGATGGCGAGGAGCAGGGGGAACTGGTCGGGTTTGTAGGAGCGCAGTGTCTGAGATGCCCCACTCCCAAAGTGCCTGGTGCAGGAGCTGAGAAACCTGGGCACAACCACCACAACCAGTCGCTCCATCTCTCCATTCTCTTCCCACAATAACTACCCTTCTCCCCATAGCTCACATTGTCACCCAATGTCCCTCCAAGTCTCCCGCTGTTTCCCAGCATGTCCTCTCCATGACTCCCTCCCCTCTGTACCCCCCATCCCCCCACCCCGTTTCTCACCGTGCCCTGTTTGCCTCCGCGGTGACATCCCATGCCCAGGAGATGAAGTTCTGTGACAGGTACGTCACCACCGACTCGGCACAGAGGAGGCGTGAGCAAAACACGTTGGTGAGGACGCTGCCATCGTGGTGCAGGTATACGGCCAGGAGCTTGCGCTGTTGACACACAACAACAACAGCTGCCATTCGCCAGTGACGGCGACGTCCACACAGCCCTTGTATTAGGTGGACTTTGAGGCCAAAGCAAGCGTCGGAGGCTTGCTGGCAGGAGGTCACGGCACAGACCCGGGTGTTATGGGTTGACTGACTTGGGATGACGGATAGAGACACCACCTGTGCTTCCTACTGTGCCAACTGTGTGTTATACACAAACCATATACATACAAACACACAAAACAGTTGAGGCAAGTGCTGTTAAGCAATTACCTATTGCCCAGTGCTGATGTAAATACATGCTCATTTAAATACACGCATACATATATACACTATCAACATCACTATGCCACACCTTTGAATATGTCACTGCATGTATTAAGTTCAACCGAAAGTATTTTATTCTCATAAGCGAAGCCTCAAACCTGTGTCATGCAGCCTGAGACATACAGCTAATGTGCGCAGCTGCTGCAGAACTAGCCATTGGTGTGTTAGGTTGCATCTTTTACTATCACTACATTGACTCACGTCCTGTGGTCGGCTGTAGAACGCCTCTTGTAAAGCTGCCTCAAGGCCCCCGATGAAAAACACGGGGTGGCACTCACCATATCTGACACAGAGACATCAACATCATCAACAGTCATCATTACCATCATCATCAACAGCAGCAGCAGCATCCACACCATTACCACAATATCTTTTGGCTGATGCTGCTTATGATGATAGTTACCATTCAAGAACCTCGTCCTCCTCATTATCACTACCACCACTACTACCATAAACCACCACTTTCACCACCACAACTCTTAAAACAATCACCATCATCTCCACAAGCACCACCATTACCATCATCACCTTCACAAACACCAGCATGTATAACACCACCATCATCTTCAGCACAACCCTCACTATCTCTACTACCAATAAATGTCAGGGTGCTCCTACCGTGATGAGAATTCCGTTGTGAACTGCATAAGTGCCTCGGCCTCATTTTCTGAGTTCTGTGGCACTAGGGGTTGGAGTGGAAAGGTTGGCACACAAGGGAGTAAAATACGGAATGGTAATGACAATCTTTGATCAAAACGAGACAATTATTAATGTTGAAAAACACAGGAGTCATGACAAGTCACAGTCAACCTCTATTGTAATGAGTGAGGGGCCAGACTTAAATCCATTGACAGCCCTGAGCCCACACTGGAATCTACATGTTTTCTTGGTCCCCAATGATGATGATTATTCTGACGAACATGACGGACAATGAAACTATTAAAAAAAAACTCTTTATTTTACCAGATAAGGCCCACTGAGTTTTATTGCGCTTTTTCAAAAATGACTTGGCAACAAATGATAGCTCAACGAAGTGGCTTATCATGTGAAAATGTATAGCATCCAAATACTCAAAACGCATGTTTCTAATTGTGGAGGGAAAAACCAGAGGACCCGGAGGAAAATCCACACGACAACGGGGGAGAACATGCAAACTCCAAATATACAGGCATCAAGCGTCAGGATTGAACCCACGAGGTATTTAACATCTCACCACCGTGTCGCTCATCATCACCATCCATTGGTAATGATGACAATGATGACGACAACTTCAAGCCAAGCACTTTTGACCACGCTGACACCCGTGTGGGTGATATATTACGGTGAAGGAGTGATGGTAAAGTGAGTGAATGAATGAATGTGAATGAGTGAGTAAATGAGCTCGCGAGTAAGCCAATGAGTGGGAAGGTGAATGGGTTAGTGAGTGAGCGAACTGATGAGTGAATCATCTGGTGATTCGTTAAATATGCGAGTGAACTTGAGTGGATAAATACGTGACTGAGTGGGTGGTTTTGTGATTGGTAATGTGGGAGACTAATCTAGTGAGGGGGTATTTGATTGGGTTGTTGAGTGAGTGAACTCGTGAGTGGAAAAATGCGTGCCTGGATGAGTGGGTGAGTTAGCAATTTAGTGGATGGTTGAGTGAGTGTGTAAGTGGATGAGAAAACTAGTGAATGGGCAGTTCATTGCGCTGGTGTGTTAAGCGAGTGAGTGACTGAGCAGCCTCACTCATAGGTGCCGTCTTGCGTTGGGTAGACTCAGACATAAACATCTCCGAGTCCTCCACTCCAAATGACTCAGCCGCCTCCTCAAACTCGTCACTCTCGTCACTGCTCACCATGTGCACGTCCACCGCCTGCGAGGATCAACATCATCAGTTGCATCATCATTATCATCGTTATCATCGTCGTCGTCACCAGCAACATCAGCAAAAATATCAGCTTCATTATCATGATTAATTACATAATAATCATCATCAACACTAACATCATCAACAGCAGCATCATCATCAGTAACACCATTACCAAAGGGAGCAGTTTCATCAGTATGAGCAATATCATCATTTGCAACATTATCATCAACTGGATAATAATCATCATAATCAGCATTATCATTGGCATCATCGTCAGTTGAAGGATTGTGTTCGGTGGGCATTCAACAATGCATCTATTCACAAGTTAACATTTGAGTCTTACACTCATGATACAGAAAATGACTCGGAGAAACACCGCAGCCAATGACAACTTCTTTTTGTGTTTAATTTGTTGTCCTTTTCTCGCACCTCTGATTAGCACGGTTGGCAAAGTACAGTGCAAAATAAGTTCAACATACATATATAGAATGTGTAAGACCACATGTCTGGCGCTGATGGGTTGATTGAGTGGATTCTCAGAGCCTTTGACAGGACTAACAGTCATAACCAGAGTTACTTCCCCTGGCCCTGTCTGGCCTTGCAGAGGAAGTCTTTCTCCTGTCCGAGGCTATGGAAAATCCACTTTTATTTCGTTCCTAAACCATACACAATTGTGCGGTTACTGCTGATGAAGCTCCTACGGCCAATGATGATGCTGTGCCTGATAATGAAGCTCGTAACAATGACGAACGCTCTTCCCTTTCTCTCACCTCGGTTGAACACTCTGCCGCAGTCAGAGCCGAAGGTTTTTTGGACACGGAGAGACGATGACACGGATACGAGAGGCCAGCGGCAGCTAAGGTCAACTGCAGTTGCACACAAGACATATAAATATAGACACACATATACATCATTACCATCATCAGCCATGTTCTATCCACTGTTGGATGAAAGCTGCACCAAGCTGTCGCAGTCTCTGACAGGATGAATTTGGCTCATGTGCAGGATTTGTTACATTGTATAAATATAGTACACACGTAAATATGTTTTTTACACGGTTGTTTTTAACACAGTTGGTGAGAACAGGTCCAGAGGCCAAAACAGCACTTTCCCAGTTATAACAGATAAGAGTTCACATATTTATTGAATTGTGTAAGCTTATAAGAGCTTGGAAATAGACAATGGGAGAGAATTGCTAAGTAAAGCATGTGCGTGGGAAGCAGCAGAGAGAGGTCTTTTTACCTGCAGACAGTTCATAACCATACACAAATACACACATGCACAAATGTATATACACACATACTTTATATTAAAAGCACGGTGTATTTAAACATATACAGTTGTCCCTCACTATAACGCGGTTCACCTTTCGCGGCCTCGCTGTTTCGCGGATTTTTTTTAGTGTAATTTTGCATGCTTTTTTTTCCTGCATACAGTAAGGGAGAACCGCACATGTCTTCTGCGTCCTGATTAGCTAAGGGAGTACAGAATGCGTTCGGCTAGCCAGATTTACATAAATGTTCAATCGCTAGCAGTTTGACTCTGAAGTGCTGTATGTTTGCAAGTTTTCTACCCGAAAAAACCCATAATGTCGATGAAACGAACTGCAAGGAAAAAGGTACCTGCTGTCGCACCCAAAAGGCAGAGGAAGATGCTAACCATCGCAGAAAAAGTTGGACTTCTGGACATGCTAAAGGAAGGTAGAAGTTACGCGGCTGTAGGGCGCCATTATGGAATAAATGAATCTTCGGTTCGTTACATAAAGGAGGAAAATAACATAAGGACGACAGCAGCAATAAGTTTTAACAGGGATGCAAAAAGGGTTGTAATTGTCCGCAACAAGACCATCGTAAGGATGGAGTCTGCTTTAGCTCTGTGGATCAGTGACAGCAGGAAAAAGAACATTCCGCTGGACACCAACATCATCCGCACAAAAGCTAAAAAACTTTATGAAACCTTTGCTGACAGCGAGGAGCAAGATGATGCGGAGCCCGGGCCATCAAAGAGTGCTTTTCACGCAGAACCAAGCCCATTTAATGCCAGCAAGGGCTGGTTTGACAAATTCCAGCAACGCTTTGGACTTAAAAGTGTTTCTCTGCATGGAGAGGCCGCCTCTACAAATACCGCTGGAGCAGAGGCATACGTGAACAAATGTAAAGTGATCATCGAGGAAGGGGGATATAAGCCTGAACAAGTTTTTAATATGGATGAGACAGGCTTATTTTGGAAACGAATGCCCTCTCGCACCTTTATAATGCAGGACGAAGCCAAAGCCTCTGGATTTAAAGCCCAAAAAGATCGTGTGACTCTGGTTATGTGTGGAAATGCTGCGGGCTTTATGATAAAACCAGGGCTTATTTATAGGTCAAAAAATCCGAGAGCCCTAAAAAACAAAAATAAGAATGCGTTGCCCGTTTACTAGATGCACAACGCAAAGGCTTGGATGACAAAAGTGCTCAATCTGGATTGGTTCCAACATTGTTTCATTCCGGAAAACAAGCGTTACTTGAGAGGAAAAGGACTGGATTTTAAAGTGCTTCTGCTCGTGGACAACGCCGGAGGCCACGCTGATGATTTGTCGTATGATGGTGTGCAAATTGAATTTCTCCCACCAAACACCACATCGCTGATTCAGCCCTTGGACCAAGGCATCATCCGCGCTTTCAAAGCGCTCTATACGCGCAACACCCTGCAGCATCTTGTTGAGGCTATGGACTCGGATCAAGATTTCTCACTAAAGGCCTACTGGCGTGAATACACCATTGCATCATGTCTCAAAAATATTCAGAGGGCCATTCATGAGATGAAAACTGAAACTTTAAATGTCTGCTGGAAAAAACTGTGGCCAGAGGCAGTGCACAACCCCACGGGATGCTCTCTTGATGAGATCCATCACTCTGAGATCCATCACTCTGCGGTAGATACAGCTGTGAATCCGGCTAAACAGCTTGGGGGAGATGGCTTTAATGATATGACTCCCAATGACATTAATGCCCTGATTGATGCCCACTCACAACCGCTGACTGATGAAGACCTGGCAGAGATGACAAAGCCACCAAATGAGGATGATGGAGAAGAGGAAGAAGAGGACACAAGTGTTGATAAAGAGGAGGAGGATGGACTAACACTTGATCGCTTGGCAACCATGGTGAGAATGGCCACTGAACTTCAGAGAGCTGCGCAAGAATGGGACCCTTTGATGTTCCGTTCATTACAGTTCTCAAATATAATCGAAGGTGCATGTCTGTTTATAAGAATCTTCTGGCCCAGAAGAAAAAACAGCGCCAACAACTACCCAAAACTATGTTCTGCACTCGGAAAAAAACACCTGCACCAAGGCCTTCAGTGGAAAAAGACGTTACAGCGGAGCGGCGTCAGGACAAAGAGGCATCTTCAGAGGAACTGTGAAATACGCGAGTTACTGGTAATAATTTCTTATGTGTCAAACCTCGTAGATTGATCATTAAAAATAAATTTGTTAAAAATGTTTGGGCTTGAAAACAGGTTTTGATCTTTGGTTTCATTTAATAATATTGTACTTATTTTTTTTTTAAATCTGCGAAAGTTTGAACTTTGAGAGTGTTTAAATAAGAGAGAAATGTGAGAAAATGTTAATGCCTGTCTGAGAAAAGAGTATAAAAGTGTGTGGTTAGGGGTTTTACAGCCTTAAAACATGAATAATTGTAAAAAATAAAGCTGATTACTTTGCGGATTTCGTCTATTTCGGGTTATTTTTAGAACGTATCCCCCGCGATAAACGAGGGACCACTGTACAACAAACATGCACATACTACAACAACACCAGCCATTCGCCACTAAGTGGCGGTGACGTCACCACGGTGCCTGTGCCAGACCAGGTGCACTTTGAGGCCATGTCAAGTGTCGAAGGCTCGCTGATAGGTCACGGGACAGACCCAGGTGCCATGGGTTGACTGAGATGACTGGCAGATGCACCAGCTGTGCCCCCTACTGTGCCAAATTGTTGCATTTTAGCCGTCCAGCACTCTGCTCGTTGTGAGCGTCGCTCCTCTGCCCTCCGTTGCTGTTGGAGAGTGACTGCTTCCAACTGACCAGTAGTGTCCTTAACGAGCCTCCTTCATTGGTACATTTTAATGTAATGTACATACACACGCGCGCACGCACACAATACAGACACAAACACATTTCGATACACAAATAAGAACAAAATATAAATGCACAACATTTACATGATGCCACTCATGTGCACACGCAAACACAACAGCCAGCCCCTGGGCTTGAACCAAGCATCTTAGCAGCAATGGAAACAGTGTGTCGCTCTCACCGCGTCGTTGTTCGCAGAAAGAGGCCATCCCTCCCACTGCTGCTGTCTTACTTGAATGTTGGTGAGGTCGGCAACATTGTATTTGACCTGAATGCACATAACAAAGATAAAAGGCAAAGATCCACCACATAGCCTTTAACAGACTGTTGGAGGCAAGTGCTGTTAGCAAGCACCTATTAAGGCCCACCAAGGCACACAAGGGGGTGGGTGGCCAGCATCATGCCTGGCCACCATTTGTCTCCTCAGTGTTGATGTTTACACACCGCACCAGGTACTAATTTAAGTAGATGCTAACTATTTAATTTATATTTAGTTAGTGTACACTTTTGTCTATTTTCAGTCTCTATGTCTCTCTGTCCGTCCCACCAGGGCAAGTGTGTGTGGTGGTGACGTCACCACGCATATCTGCGTGATGATGTCCCCCGTATCCCACATCATCGAGCCGGGTTCATGCCTCACCTAAGACGTCACCACGGTCCCCCGCTCCCCACCCCACACTCCACCTGCGCGGAGTACGCTATCATACTATATTATTAAAAGTTTTGCTCGCTGCCTGGCTGGCTGGTCGGCCAGAGGGATGGTCATGTCCAAAGGACGTGGAGGCTGCTAGTTAGGGATATATCTGTGAGTGCTTCTGTTCCTGTCAGTGTTCATGCTCGGGGCAGGGCCGTACATCTCTGATGGTCCGAGCGCCGGGGAAGTTGAGTTTGTACTCCCGCTGAGCTTCGCGGTGTCGCACGATGAGCAGGAACGTCTGATTGATCCGGTCTGTGAGGGCACTGCACACAGAGGGTGATGGTGATGATGATAATAATGGCGGCGGTGGTGGTAGCAATGGTGATAATAATGGTGGCAATCCTGTCGATGATGGAGATGACATTGCTGCTTAAGATAACAATGTCATCGCTGCTGCTGCTGAAGATGATGATTAGATGATGACAACGACTATGAGGACAATGATGAAGACGGTGATGTCAGGTGAGCTTCCGTACCTGCCAAAACTTGACCCGGATGCAGACTGGGGTGAGGCGACGTCTGTCGTCAGCAGAAAGAGGCTATTGTTTTTTGGAAGATGCAGTGAGTGTAGAACAGACTGCACACGCAGAAAAACAAAAACCCCCATATAGCCTCATCATACTTTTGGGGCAAGTGCTGTTAGCGAACACCTATGAAAGCCAGCACGGCATACGAGACAGGGGGGTGGCCAGCACCACACCCGACTGCTTTGGCAGCCCAGTGGCGATGTTTACACATCACACCAGGTACTCATTTGAGGCTGAGTCGATCTCAGGGAAGCCCAGGACCAGTTCATATAACTGTCACTGATGTTGGCCATGAGCAGGACAGCACCACGCCAGTTTTCTCTCCCTTAATAATGTTTACACACTACGCCAGGATGCTCATTTAAAGTTGCGTCAAGTTTAGATACCACTGAAGTTATCTGTGGCTGGGAATCAAACCCAGGTCACTGGGATTGTAGAGGGAACCACTGGTACACAAACACGCAATGCTAAAACACACATATACAGTACATCCTTAAAAACACATGGTGCTCACATATGCACTGACACCTACACAGTGAAACTCCTTATATGCAATAATATTGGGCACCCTGTCAGGGGTAATCACATTTTCAGAGAAGAAGAGTGTTTATCCATTTGTCCACAATTAAAACTTCTATTATCCGAGACTATAATTAACTATAATGAGATGAATTTAGCACATAGTACAGTACCATGACCGTTAGGCACGATATAATTTGGCTCCATTCAGCCAAATTGCACTTCTGGTACTAATTTACTCTCAGCTCAGCTGTGGGGTGTGGTGTGGGAGCCTACGGTGCTACCAATGGGCCATAACCCGGGAGTTCAACTTGAAAGTGAATCTCACCAAGTCCGTGACATCAGTTGCCTGCCACCCGCAGAGCTGCATTTGCTCAGTGGGGACCTGCAGTTCATTCTGTAGACACTTCTTGACGTCTCCTGCACACACACACACAAACGTATAGATTACACACCCAAACTTACACATTAGACATGTAACCAATCACTCCCCTTCAAAGGTCCCCCCCTTCATCCTGTGAGTTTGACTGAATGTCACGATTCAGGCAATTTCATTAATAAATAAAAGTTTAGTCTCGTTTGTCTCTTTTACATTATCTCGTCTAAACGGTCTCATTTATACTCTCTCGTTCGTACTCTCGCATCTGTACTGCCTCGGTTGTAGTCTCTTGTTTGTACTTTGACATCTTTTCTGTCCTGATTACTCTCTTGTCTGTAGTGTCTGTCCCATTTGTTGTATCTATACTGTCTTGTTTGTATTGTGTCAATTAAAAACAAGACAGTATGGCACATGTGCCATGAGCGTAATCGATGACTCACTACATACCACACCAGGGCATGCTAACACATGTCTATAATCCAGGGAGGCCACGGTTAGTGGATTTGCACCGATTTGTGAAACTTCCAAACCCACTGGGAAGTGAGGTGGCCTGTAGATGGCAGTACAGTAAGTGGGCTCATAAACCAACCTGGATGCACCTTTGAGTGTAATCCCTTCGGGTGTGTGGGTATTCTTCAGTACTCAGGTGTAATACCACAGGCCAAACGGCTCATTCATGGAAATGGCCAAACATCTAAATGAAAGGCACCATTGAAATGAATTTTCAAATTCAGTGTAGAAGTAGTATAGATAACACACATCCACTTTTCAATAAGTACATTTCACAAACACAAATATAAACACACATATACAAAGATGCTCCATTTAGTCTGTGCTGTCAGCAAGCACCAATACAGGCCAGCACCCCACCTGACTCGTGTTTGTGCTGGAGTTGCACAAACTTAAGACTGAGTCAACCTAGTGGAGGGCAAGGACAGGTTCAGACAGCAACTGATGTCGCCGGGACTGAACTCAGATCACTAATTTCATAGTGCAGCGTGAGAGTCACTGCCCACAAAGACATAGATCTCCATTTAACAGACTGTTGGAGCAAGTGCTGTTAGTGAGCACCTATTAAGGCCAAAAGAGCATATGAGAGGGTGGTGAAGCTAGCACCACATATCGGGCTGCCTTTTTCTCCCCAGTCCTGATGTTTATACACATTGCACCAGGTACTCATTTAAGCCTCAGTCGACCTAGAGGAGGTCCTCAAGGACCACTGTTGGCCAGGAGCAGAATTGACAGATTCGTAGTGCAGGTTAGCGTTAGCTAATAAAGACACTAAGCTAGCATCAATCATATGCTGGCAATAAGTTCTGAGTGAAAGAGTTGGATGTTTTTCTCTCTCGGAGACAAATAATGGCTGTGTTGGACACCATGAACCACTGGGGTGCACTCACCCACGGTGGAGCAGTCCTCCACGGTCAACTCCACGTTCCTGTTGCGGTGCTCCACCACAAAGTTTAAAAATCGAGGTGTCTTCTCTGTTGGCATTGGCCGGAATCCAGAAGCCATTGCCTTGGAAAGCCCTGACCCAGATGCGGATCTCGGGAGCCCGGATCCCGATGGCCGCAGCGGGGGTGGTGACCCAGACCCAGACGCGGACACAGGAAACGGGACCGGCTGGGAGCTGAGGGCTGGGGTTGTGGGGGGCACGGGGTCCAAGGGGAAGAGGAGGGGGCTGCTCTCTTCACTTCCTGCTCGGTCACTGTGGGCAGAAAGTGGCAGGTATGCAGAGTTAAATGGTGACATTGTTGAAGAAATATCATCATAATCGTTGGCAGCAGTAGTAGTGGTAGCAGCAATAGGACAGATTCAATAGCAACATACATGTATCTCGTTTCACCATTGTCTCCACCATCATTATGATCAAAACCGACAAATACTTACGTCTGTAAGACGCCATTTTCTTGAGGAATCACTCCATTGATGGCAGCCTTTCACACAAACACACACAGGCATTAACACCGAAGGATAAATACGTCATTCTGGCTCTTTGAGATTCATGGATTAATAGTGAGTCTTAAGGTGTAGTTAGTGTAGGCCTGAGTCATTGGGCGTTATCACTGAACAATAAGGGAGCCTTATTCTGGATATATGTCATTGACACTGAAAAGTCAAATCTTACCAATAAATCCCAGTTGTTCTGCTCCAACAGTGTGATGGCCTCATCTATATTTTCTATGCCTGTGCATGCCTGTGGACACACATACATGACAGCATATACATTAATATAATGGTTTAATTAATAACACTAACAGGGTTACAGAGAGGAAGGGTATATAAAAACATATTTTGGCCACCTGGCCAATATAAAGTATTGAGGTTTACAGACAGATAATATATACTGACAATATGCGTGACGTTGGGTTATGTCAAGCTCGCTGGGTAACGGAAACAACCTTTGAATGGTAATAATGCCATTTTCCATCATGTGTAGAACATAATGTGAATACGCACTTAAGATGGGAACAGAAGTCATGCACAGGTATTGTTTCTTGTAACCCTGCATGAGTCAATGGGACACCAACTGTGGATTGTACTGTACAGTAAAGTACTCTTCCATGTCAATGTAAAAATAGTTATTTTGCCAAATGTGTAGACACATATAAGGCCATCAAATAATCCATTCCCCACATGTATGACTTGCAGCCACGTCTGTCTACACACATGCATGACTAGAAATTCACATTCAACCTGCATGGGAATGTCTGTAAAAACATCAACTGGACAAGTCTTGCATTGAGACCAGGATGCTATTTGGTTAAAAGCAGCAAGACTCATATTGAGGATTGGAATCTGTTTTCCAAGTGAATTGATCAGCAAAATTTAACAACGTATCACATATGTTCATGTCAGGGAGGCTGTATTTTGTCGATATTAATTGTTCAGCGAACTTTATAAAATGTTCAGTGAACATTTTATGTCCACAGGGCATAGCCATTAAAAAATTGCCATGTGATTGGTTGTCCTACTCCCCCAATCTATTCTCTCAAACAGACAAAAGTAAGACTTTGTACACAACATGTGTCTACACATTGGCACATTTTACAATGACATGGTTGAGTATGGATTGTTGCATCACGAGTTCATGTTGGATGGGCAACTGCTTGGGGAAGCCTTCATGCAGTGGTGGACAGTTCAAAATAAGTAATGATGATGGCGTTATAGTAAAAAAAACTGTTGTTATTCTACACCTCCCTATCCTAGGACAAAACACCTGTGCATGAATTTTGTTGGCCATCTTCACGTGGCCTTTCCACATTCCACTTAGCATGGCTTTTCCAAGAGGAATTCAATCCCCCAGGCAGCCAGACGTCACCAATCACCCAACCCAGTCAGTCCATCTTCTCCAGTGAACATGCATCTGTAAACCTCAATAGTTCATGAAGAAATTAGTCAGTCCCATTGTCATCTTTCCTTCTTCAGACCAAAACAAACTTTTCAATAAACAATGATTCAGTTATATTTGCATAAGTTTACTGAAACAGCAACCTTAAAAAGATATGTAGAGTGTACACATAGTAAACACATACAAAAAGACTACATATGCTCACATAAACAAAGGAAAACAACCCAACATACTACGAGCATCACGTTCCACCACCATCCTCCACCAAGGCGATTCGATTACAGTACCGCTCTTCAAAAATCTAATCGTTTTCGTCTCGTTTCTGACAAAGTTATATTTGGGCTTCATTAGCCCAAATATAACTTTGTCATGCTATTTGTATACGTTTCACTCACCACGTTTTATTCGCTTAAGAATCAATATTAAATTATGATTCGAGACACCATTACATCTGGGCAACAGAGTGCAGAGCAGAAAAACCCCTTGTTGTATTGTACACTTCTGTGCTACCACGTTTATGATTCTGAATCTACGCCAATCCGCACTGAACAGCATGAAGTATGGCCAAATAACCCCACGACTGGTAGAGTCCCACGTTGTTTGTGGCGAGCTATTGCCAATGCCATTACGCAACCAGCATGGGCGGTCTTCTCATTGGGAGGTCACTCCTTCTCCGCAGCTGTCTCTGGCTCATATATACACACACAGTTACTGTATTATAAACAGGAGGAGGTAGCCATGGTATTGGGCTTCGAATTGAAAGAGGGCAGGTCGTCTCCAGCACGGATGACAGCTTGTGTGGTTATAATAGACATACTGTATCTTCACTCTAATGATCTCGTTTCACTCTATGTCCCGCGGAACCCCTTACTGCCTCGAACACAATCCTAAACATGCAACAAAGAATAATCCCTTCTCCCACCCAAGCCCTCTCAATGCGCTTGCTCTTCCATTTACATAGGGCACAGAACCGAGATTTCGACTACACTCTATGACCCTTTAAATAAAGAAAAGACACCCAAACCGGACTGTAACCGACGACAGCATTAGTTTCGCCGGTCACAATTCTGCTGATGAGACTCAGACGAATCGAAACCGCTCCCGAAACGTTCTGCTGCGTTAACAACCGCCGCCGGAACACGTCCATACAGTACGCCCAGGCCAGAGGCTCGTCGTTTGAGTGTACGTGCTGAAACACATATTTGTGTATTATCGCATACAAAGATCCCACGTATAGCCTGTAAACGGGACTGTTTGGGGCGAGTGCTGTTAGCGAACACCTATTAAGGCCGGTACAGCACACGAAGGGGTGGGTGGCCAGCACCACGCCCGGCCGCCTTTGTCTCCCTAGTGGCGATATTTACACATCGCACCAGGTACTCATTTGAGGCCGAGTCGACCTATCGTATACGGACACAGACACAATCAACAACAACAACCACCACCATTCGCCGTTAAGTGACGATGACATCACCACAGCGCTGGTGCCAAGTTAGGTGCACGCTGACACAGACGTACATTTTGACACGTACAATACACATAAGACAGCTTCCAGTTTGGTCACAGGCACTTTAAGGCAATGACAGCTATTATATAACACACACACACAGACACGTCAAGTTAGACCGTCTCCCCGAACCCACGCGAACACTGGCGCGCGGCACCTCGTCTCCTCCAGGGGTGTGGACTCCAAGGCCGACGGCTTCCACATTCCCATGCCGGGCGCCCTCACCACCACCACCAGACTTCCCATTACGTGACAAGACGACACTTCTGACACATGGCACCTCCGACGTCGACGAGCGAAACTGACGCGCGCGGTTCAGCTGCCGCCGTCGCCGCCGCAGTAAGACGGCGACGACAATGGTTTGGCGACAGCGAGGCGGTGAAAATGAGGGAAAAGGGTTGTATTGTTGTTGGGGGTTTTATTTTTTACCTGAAAATCGGCGAGAATCACCTCCCTGCCCAATGCCGCCATGACCGCCCCTCGGTCTTTAACGGCCCTGGCGATAGGGAAACAAGCGGAGCTCCCGCCTTTAACTCTCGTCGAGGTGAAATCAACCACTCGCGCAGCCTCCTCGTCCTCCTCCGTCTTGCCGCCTCCCCGCCCCGCCCCCGCCGCCCCTTTTAACTCCTCTCTGCTTGTACGAAATACGTTGGTAAGCCAAATAAATGCGGAGAGATGTAACAACACAAAAAAATCGCCTTTCAAGTCGGGCGGGCAAGTGAGAGCGGCTGAAATGTGCGAGCAGAGGAGCGCAAAGCCGAGTTTTTGTTTTTACGACGTGCCGTAGAGCAATGACAGTCACTGCCGTAAAGCGGATGGAGGGGGTCCGGGCGTTGTGTTGCCCACCCCAATCCTCCACCCCATACAGAATGCGACCGCAGTAAACATGACGTCATCGCATTACCTAGCGACCAAGGGGAGGGGGCTTGGGGGAGGGGGTGTGTGCGCTTTACGGCACTTCTCCCCACCACCACCACCACCCTCCGCCCCCCGTTAACGTAAAGTTCGAGAGTCACTGCCGTAAAGGGAGATGTGGCTCCCCCACACCCCAACCAGCTCCCTTCTCCCCCTCCATTGGAATGCATTGATCCGTAAAGCGTGACGTCATGTTTTTTGCGGTATTCTGGAAGTGTGACGTCACGCTTTTGGAGCGCCATCTAGGTGAGTTCACAATATGGCCCCACGACTTTCAAACGATAACTGTTGCCACCACTTACCCACCCACCCCAAAATCAAAAATACATTACATTTTTGGATTTTTGCGATTGTGAGCATAGACTCCTGCGACTATTACACGTGTGCCAAATGTCAGCTTCCTAGTACTTGTGTAGAACGTAAATTAGAACATGACCACACGCACGACTTAATATACTTACCTATATTATATACCAGCTTTACTACCCGGCTTCGCCCGGGACTTAGATTCACCACGCCCGGCCGCCTTTGTCTCCCCAGTGGCGATGTTTACACACCACACGAGTTACTCGTTTGAGGCTGAGTCGACATAGGGGAGGCCCAGGACCGGTTAAAATAATCGCCACCGGGGGTGGCCGTGAGCGGGAATCGAACTCGGGTCAGCCGGGTTCGTAGCGCAGCGTAGCGCTAACCACTACACTACCGCTCCCCCAAACACACACAGCGCGCTAACCTCTACACTACTGCTCCCCCCACACACACACGTGCTCGTCCATAGGTACACATACACGCGCTTGCTGCAGACACACAACTTTCAGGGTGCGTGCGGCAGTAAACGACTGAAACAATAAAGCAATGCTGCGCGAAGAACGTCTTAGACCTGCAACACATTTGTATGGCACTTTAGCCGCGGAGAGTTGGGGGGGTGCGTGACGTCAGCAGGCACACTGCGTGGCGCTTTGGCACACGGGTCACATGACAGATGTGACGTCACAGCTCACTTGCCGTGCAAAATATATACATAATTGCACCCCCTCCCCCCCAAATACAAAAGTCACGTGTTTTTATTTCTGCATGGTGTACAGTCTGGAAAGTACCCACATGGCAAATTTCAAGTTTGTTGCATGTCGGGAAGTACGCTAAACATTTTGAACAGACACGTATTCACAAATTTCCCTTTTATATATAGGTAAAAGATAAATGTGGGCATGTTATTGATGTATATATTATATGGATTAAAAAATAAGTTAAATTGAGGTGTAGACTTTTATATATATAGACTTATATATAGACTTACATATCTTATTAAATTAAAATGTGGATAGATGTTGGAAAGCTGTTAGCCATATCACATCCAATTAGAATTTAAAAACTAAATTAAGTGTAATGAAAGAGCTGGGAGGGTGGAGAGTGCTAAAGTACTGACGTCTAAAAATAACCCAAAACTCGACACGTTTGTCAATTATTAAATCTATAAATTGCCCCCTTGTTCAATAGCACATTAAATCGATCAATGAACGCATGTAAACGTGACCGAATTCCAGAGTGCGGGCATTGTATTGTATTGTTTATTCGCACAACAAGCAAGTTTTAAAAAGGTGTGCAGATGAGGTTGGAAACCCAGGAGGTCGTATATGAAAACCACACCAAAACAAAATAACAATGTACGTGTAATGGCAGGGTGACACCTTTCGGCCTGAAGGGGTAATTGCGGTTATGAGGGTATTGCGTCATGCCTTATTATAAGGGGGGCGTATCTGGGGTAAAGGTGAAAGGCGGAGTTAGTCCAGAGGCTCCCGGAACCTGCTTCAAGGTTCTGGAAGGGGGCGTGGCCAGAGGCGGGGTTTGGCCACGCCGGGGCGCATATAAGGGGGGCCGAACCAGAGGTTCGGGTGCTGTTGTGGGTCCTGGGTCCTGGTTGCATCGTTGCTCGTTGTCATCTCGTATCCGACCATGTGGCTGATCTTATGCAAGACCCTTTCCATCGCTGCGCTAGTTGGACAGCTAGTGTAGCGTATGCCGGAGATGGGCTATGTGTTAGGATCGCCTATGTGTAACTGCATTACGTAATGTATCGCCCCTTGTGCTTTTAATAAACAAGAAGCCTTCTACTCAACGTGTCTCAGAAGTCGCTCACTACTTCTGTACAAAACCAATTGATAAATCAATTAAACGAAGCATATTAATTACCAATAGACATGTTTAACTCAGTGTAAAAATAAAAAAACGTGTTTTTGTATGCACATGTGTGGGTATGGGTGAGTGGCATTATCATGCACATAGCCTGGCACAAGCACCATGGTGACGCCACCGCCACTTAGTGGCGAATGGCGGCTGTTGTGTGTGTGTGAGAGTTAGGCCATATGAAGGAGACTACTGGGTGGTTTGGCTCATCAGGCTGACCCGTAGTCTATGCTTGACATTATTGAGGGATGATGATCAGTTTAACACGTAGGCTTTCGCGACCAATATCATCCATAATACATGTATAGTGACTGTGATTGTCACTGTGTGGTGACAGGCTTACGAAGCCACGGCGGATAATGTGTTGGCATTATGTGTAGCCCACTTACTGGGCGTAGTACCAGCCCTCGCGGGGCTTGGGTGAGCGCTGGTCAGCGCGGAGACACCACGTACAGTGTGCGGTGCGGGCTCCCGGTGAGGGAGCGAGAGGGAGTGTCAGCCAGCCAGAGTTACGTTGGGGCATGATACGCTGGTTGAACTGCCGACACGTGACCGGATGATATTGGAGGGGGGCCACCAGTGGACAGGGGCCGCTGGGCGGTTACGTGGTATAGAGGAGCTCTCGGGAGCCTTTGAGAAAGAGCTCGAGAGATCTATAAGGTGGTCAGGGCAAGAGGCGGAGTCAACCCCAGCCCAGGCCGATATAACGGGGGCCCCGTGTGGGGCTCGGAGTTCTTCGTATTGCTGGTGATGAAGATTCACGTCGGGTAAAGCCTCTAGCCACGAGGTCCGGGACCCAGCTTGTGGTCTGGGCCGGGATAGCGAACCGTGTCTAGTTCTGCCGTAGCGTGGCTAGATAGGCATTCAACACCCAAGTGTAGGTTGTGTTGTTATGTTGAGTTAGGAGCCGTCCATAAATGATGTCACGCACTTAGGGGGGGGGGGGTCAGACATTTGTGACGATGTGTGACAAAGAGGGGGGGCGGTTTGAGAAATGTGACGTCACATCAAAATCCGCAACTTTAAATATAGACAACACGTTCTACTTAATTTAGACTTTTTAATATTTTTTTTCCTCCTACATCAGCGCACAGCGGCACATTAAATACACACAACAATGACAATAGTATAAAGCGATTTGAAGAATTCAATATTATTTTATTATTTCATTTTATTTTATTATTTCATTCTCATTCTACGTGACTTTACCGAAATAACCAAAGAAGATGAATCCTTGCAGTCAAGAAAGCTTTAAATCGAAATTTAACCGCCTCTACGGGGAGGGATTCCACACTACCTTAAGATCATTCAACATACTCCGGACAAGAAGGCTCAACTAATCGAGTCTCTCACCTTTCTGAAGAGATGCCGTGACTAGTCTAAGGTAATACCAACCGCATTTACACTTAACAAAGCTATTTCTGTCACAAGCGAATCCCTCAGCTATATCAATGCTAAATTCTCCTGCTTTGATATGTAAACTCCTTTGTCAAGGCGCTTCACACCTCTCACCGAGCTTAAAAGACGCTACGAATCTTAACAGCGCTCATTGAAGCACTGTCGTCCCGACAGTTCTGTTCTTTCACCTGAAGAAGGCTACTTCTGTTGTGGCTGAAACGTCGTGATAATTTTATTGTCTTATTTTATTTTATTATTTGATTCTCATTCTACGTGACTTTACCGAAAGAACCAAAGAAGAAGATTTGAAGAATGTTTGATTTTTTTTTAGGGGGGGGGCAGAGCTTTGTGACGTCATATTTGAGGGGGGTGTCTGACTTTTTGTGACGCCGTGTGACGAGGGGGGGGGGGGTCAAAAATCGTCCAAAATCGCGTGACGTCATATACGGACGGCCCCTTGCTGGAATAAAGTGTTGCTCTCAAGACGTCTGCGACTCAGTTGGACTCACTACACATGTTTTTGTTGGGTTAGACCGCGTAAATATATAAATGTGTCGTTAAACCCGCCACCACCCGACACAGCCAATTAGTAATGAGGGACGATGATATTTTGTCAACGTGAAAAGAGCAAGGAACTAATCAACATGGCCCGCTGCTGGCTGTGCAATCCCCGTGACATGACGTCACGACACCCACCTTTGCGTCATTTTCCCCCTTCCCCCCCCCCACCACGCACGTGGAGAAAAATCCACCCAGCAACAGCGGCGACTCTCTACGGCGTGTCGCAAAGTACATGTCCACCACCCACCCACACCTATCCCACACACCCCAAACCTACCCACACCCACAAAGATCCCCCCGTGTAGCCTTAACAGACTGTAGGGGCAAGTGCTGTTAGCGAGCAGCACCTGTGAAGGCCGGCACGGCACACGAGGGGGTGGGTGGCCAGCAATCACGCCCGACCGCCTTTGTCTCCCCAGTGGCGATGTTTACACACCGCACCGGGGTACTCATTTGAGGCTGAGTCGACCTAGGTGAGGCCCAGGATCGGTTCAGATAATCGTCACCGGTGTTGGTCCTGAGCGGGAATCGAACTCGGGTCACCGGGTTCATAGCGCAGCGTAACGCGCTAACCACTACACCGCCGCTCCCACGTCCACCCGCACGGGCTCCAGCGAATCACATTTTATGAAGAAAATTAAAAAAACAATAGGTTTGTACCCTTTCTGGGCAATAAAACAGGAGAGCGGTGTTAAGATGTCCAAACACCGAATGGAAAACCTTTTTTTGTCAAGGTATCAAGTTATTGCATTTAACCGCACGCGGTACTTGCGTGGTGAACATGCAAACAAGCATGGCTCTGTAATGTATTTATATATGGCATTGTCTTTGATACTGATTGGCCTACACTACAGATAGCCAGTCCCATTTTGTTGGGAATGAGCATCCCCAGACGTCGTAAAACACGATAACGCCATCTATATCGATCGTGATATATACAACACAGTATATATATTTTTTAAGTACGTCTGTGAAACTCTGTCAGTGCTGGATAGTGGCATCCCGTGGCGCTGTGCAGGTCACCTTTTGGTTATTTATGTATTTGGGGGGCACAGGTGGTGCATCGGCCAGTCATCTCAGTAAATCGACCCATGGCACCTGGGTCTGTCTCGTGACCATAGCCGTCAACCCATACGGTCTACTCCGTATTCTTGTGCAGGGAAATTAAGTTTTAAGGTCTATACGGCGGACAGCCGTTTCAATACGGGCAAAACATTTTTTGTTTGTGTTCTCCCTTGTGATGGGACTATGTAGGATGAACGTTATAAGGGCACGGGGCTGACCAATAAGGTCTGAATTGGTCTGTAATAAAGTCGGGCACTGATAAGTGGTTGACAGGTTTGCGTGACCTGCCTGAACGTGCACTTAGCCTGGCACAGGCGCCGTGCCATTTAGTGGCGAATGGCGGTTATTGTTATGTATTTGACCATACTTCCCCCACGCTGGCTTTGGGTGAAGGTGGGGGAGTTATCGGCGTGTGAGCATATGACTTAGCACAATAGCACGGTGTAAGATTGCTACTCTGCCCTCTGCTGATCCGAAGCAAGCATGTACATACCACTTGTTATTCATGGTGGTCTCCCATGCAAGTGGAGTGAACCCTAATATGGGACATTGAAATACGGTACAGTAGAATGACATAGCAAAGTAAACTTGTATTTATCGAATTGGTCAAGTGGTGGTCGACCAAATGCTACAAGATTGCTATATTAGTGGTGGGGTTAAGAACTTTCTGACACCCAGGGTCAGATGATATTTAACGACGACAGGAGCCCCAATAGATTGGCTCTCATCTGGAACTTCAAAATCATAATCTTTATTTATCCTGGAGGAATCCGATGAGCTATAAAGCTCTTTTCCCTACAGATGTCCAGTATGGGACAATGTGAGTGCAAAATAGAGCAAAGGTAACTAAATTCAATCTATTATGTTAACAAGACTTGACATCATGTATGTCACCCATAGATGTTTGTCCGTAACAGTTCTTTAGTTTGCATTAGTATGTGTTCAGTCACTACACAATCATTAACTTTAGGTTCAACCTGCTCTTATTCCTTTTTTACCTATATCACCTCTTGCCACGGCAGCTCTCGCGCCTACTTCAGCATTTTGTCTTTGCTGTGGTTGTTATACCTGATGAAAATTGCTCGTGTTGCGATCGAAACGTCGTGATTTGTTTTATATTATTTCTATCTACGTGACTTTACCGAAAGCATCAAAGAGTAGGGGGGGCATTTTTTTAGTTTTTAAATGGATTTGATCAATGACGTCACGCGTCCATTACAGAACCACGTGCTCCCCGCATGACCACACCCACCCGAGGGGTGGGGGAGTGGTTGGGGGCTGGTGGGGGTTGATTGGGGCGGGAAGGGGTTGGTGGGGTGGGGCTTGGTGGTGGTGGGGGTCCAGCTCCTCCAATCAGAGCGGCGGAAAAGTTTAAATCTCAACGGCGTCAGACCCCCGCCCCGCGCGCGCGACCTTCCTCGCCATTGGTTGGCCCGCACCACTCAAAATAAACCCCCCGGTTGGCTGAATCTAATCACGTGAGGCGCAGTTAACCAATCGCTGGCCTCGATTAACAAAAAAATCTATAAATGGTGGGCGGTTGGTGGTGGTGCGGGAGAGAGAGAGACAGACTGACTCTCTGTCGACGCTTTGAACGTCGTTGCGGTCCCGTCTCACCGCTCCGCCACTCGCCTCCGGTGTTCTTGCGATGGGCTATCGTTACGATGAAGCCGACGACGGCGGCGGCGGCAAGAACGCCAGCGATGGAGACCGCCTGTCGAACGCGGCGGCGCGCGGCGACGTGGGCGCGGTTCGCGAGCTGCTCGCGCGCGGGGTTCCCGCGGACTCGCCCGGCCGCTTCGGCCGCACCGCTCTGCAGGTGAAGCGGCGGGGAGGGCGAGCGCGAGGCGGTTTTCTTGAAGGGGAATTCTAAAACAAATAGATATGATGGGTGTAAAATAATTGTCATGATTCGCTGCCCCGTGTGTCAATTCGTTGCTGCACGTCGTGGCGGTTGTTTAGACCATACTTCACCGCTAGACCATACTTCACCGCTAGACCATATTTTTAGCTCTTTCGGTAAAGTCACGTTGAAGGGAAACAATATACCATACTTCACCGCTAGACCATACTTCACCGCTAGACCATACTTCACCGCTAGACCATACTTCACCGCTAGACCATACTTCACCGCTAAACCATACTTCACCGCGTAGGTAGGTGCGGGTTGATGGAAGGGGGGTGGTTGGAAGGGTCTGATGCCGCTCGCCACCGTTGTCGGCCGTGACCGGGACATTTAACTCATTCATAACGGGCAATATTACTTAATTACCATTATAATAACCATCAGCAGCAGTGTCAGCTTGACGTGTTGGCCGTTTGGTGAAGGGTGACCAGGTGTCGTTTGCGTCCATGATCAGAATCTTGATTTCGAATTAAGCAATTCGATGAGCTATAGAAGCTCTCTTCCACATGTCTAGTCGGGGCGGGTAAACAAAGTTACAACCACAAATAAGACAAAAGCAAGTCACTACAAATGAAGACCAAAATACAAACTGTTGAGCCGGTTAAAGTCGTCAAACTCGTTGGGGAATTGATTGCTTTACCGTGTGGCATTTATACTCTTTGGTTTTTTCGGTAAAAAAAGTAAAATTAAAATAAATGTGCTTTTTTTTTACACCTGATGAGGGAAGCTTGTGTTGCCTCCGAAACGTCGTGATTTAATTTAGTTGTCTTTATTTTAATTTTATTTTTTTACCTACGTGACTTTACCGAAAAAAACCAAAGAGTATGATTCCTTGCAGTCACGCAAGCTTCAAATCTAGAACGTGTGGTATTTGTCACACACCTTCAAAATGCTGGACTTAATAAGGGGCGCGCCTCTGCAGCTGCCTAATTAAGTCGCAGTTCTTGAGCACCCCATCCATCCACATAAATGCTGTACAGTTATGCAGCTGTTTTATATTTTTTTAAGTCCTGGATAATTTGATGGAAATCACATCCATTTTTAAATTGCAGTATATGTGGGTGTATATATTTACGATTGCTCAAGGGGACCTTCCTTTCACGAGTGTCTGCAGCATCGGCTGCACTGCCTGTACCCAGGGCCTCTTGTTTGTGCTGGGTCCTGGTTGCTTTGCCCCTGGCTATGCCATAACGTTGCATTTCCTCCCCTCTCCAATCCCCACCTTTAATAAAGCCTCACGAAATACAACAATATAGCGGAAAGCCCGCTATTCGTGTGTTATATATTTTGTTGTATTCGCATTGCGTGCGTCAGGTAATGCTCCTGGGCAATGTCTCCCTCGCACGGATTCTGCTGGAGGCCGGTGCGGATCCGGGGGTGCAGGACCCAGTGTGGGGACTCACGCCAGCTCATGACGCCGCACGCGAAGGCTTTGCCGACACTGCCCTGGAGCTGAAGATGTACGGGGCCCCCATGTGGGTCAAGGATGCGCTCGGACGCACGCCCTCCCAACTCGCAGAGCTGAATGGGCACTCGGCCCTCGCCCTCGCCTTGGTCGATGATGAGTAGGAAGATGAAGATGTTATCCCACTGCGTTTCCCTCCTTTATTCAATCCACAAACGGAGGATGCAGACGACGAGGAAACGGTGGAAGAGGGAGAGGTGGAGGAGAGTGGAGAATGAAGATGGGGAAGAGGTTGAGATGGACGGAGTTGATGATTAGCTTGTGCCCGCATTTTTTACCATCTTTTTTTTGGTTGAAAGTTGTTGAGAAAAAGGCTTGAACTACTGAATCAGAATCTTAATTAATCCAGCAGTAATCTAATTAGCTGTGAAACTCTTTTTCACAGATGTCCAGTAGGGGCGGGTCAGAAAGTTACAATTAAAACAATCCAAAAAAAGGTAAGAGCCCGAAGTATAGGAAAGGCAAGGAAGTCTCTGAAAAGAAATATAACTAAAATATATAAGTACAAATTGCATAAGTACATCAATTCCTGCAACTGGTATCTTGAGGAGTGGAGGAAGTGATGACAGGAAAGAGAAGATGATACTTCATTTCCTGTTAGTGATGATGACTGGTGATGATTCTGCAGATATTTCTTTTTTATGCTGTATAACTTAATTTACAAAATCAGCATCATAATCATCACCTGTAATCCATAATTTGGGTGACTATATTTGAATAGTTGAGATTTATGAAACTTTCACGTCTTCTGGGTCTCAAAAATGGCTTGGAGACAGCAGTACAGCAGATGGAAAATAACCCGTATGTATGAAGCTCTTAGTGTTATCCCTGTGTTTTTTCTCTGGGTATGCCAGTCTCCTTGCAAATAGCACTCAATAATGTGGCCAAACATCTAAATTCTGACCCTCCTAATAATTCAGTAAGACTTTTGTCAATATCCACCACCATTGTAAACAGCAGTGACGGTAGTAGGATTGTCACCATGTTTTGTGGGGTTCAGCTTTTTGTCTCAGATGTTAAGAGTTTTGTTGAAATCAAATCTGTTATTGCATTGGTCATATTCTCTACTCCGGTGCAGTTAGTAACTGTACATAATGTTTATATACACTTTGCAAATTTATTTATTTGTGAATGCATTCAAGAGACAGAAGGGGATCCATGACCACCTGGACAAACATATTTCAACAACTGGCAGAGATATAGCCATGGGGGAACCCATGTAGGCCACTTATTGGGGGGGGGGGGGGGGGGGGGGCACAGTATGGCTTAAGCTTAGTTGGTGGTTGGGAGGATATTAGCCTCCATGTCTCTTATGCTCGTAAATATTGAAAGTTATCGCACTTTATTACTATTTTTTTGTAATGTGTTTTTTAATTTAATATTTTAAACATGACTTTACATTGCACTTTTATTGATAAACTACAAAGAGATTTAACTAAAAAAAAGAATGCGCTCATTTTCAGAGGTGTCTGATCAAATGTGGCTTTGTTGCTCAGAGAGTTCAAAGTGGCCATATTCAAGATATTATTAAGCCAGCACCACTGACATCCACGGTTCAAGCCCCAGGATATCAGGTGTCTGTCTCAGGGGGTTCATAAATGGCTATCTGATGCGCTGAGCCACCATAATTTTAACGCCTATGGAAAATCAGGTTGTTTACAGAATCGTGAGTGATCTCTCGGCCCTGGTAACCAATGACGGCTTATTTATTTTACAAAAGCAGGCGTTACATTTTATTTTGCACTTAAGTACCTTGTGGTACTGTACTCTTAAATTATTTTTTAAAGTATCTATTTAACTTTTATGCAATTATCCAATGCTTGAATTTGCAAGTAATTTGTTTTACCAGATGCTTTTTAAGTCTGTTATTTATGCATTTCTTAATCTGTATATGTTGTTGACGGAGCTCGCTTCAATGAAATGTGTAGACGGCAATAACTTTAGAAGTCTTGGCTTCATATTAGTCGCTTTTGGCTTAATGGGCTTAATGAAATTAATGAAGCTTTTAATTGGATTGAGTGTTTAGGACAGTCTTTTACCCATGACTGAAACCCGAGTTTAAAGCATATCGCGCCAATGCACAATTATTAAATTTGTTTTAAAATTGAGCCTATTTAAATTTTGGTAAGACAATGTTTACGTGTGATCTTTTTTAAAGTGTATATTAAAGGCGTGTTGCTCGTGTGGATAACAAAGCTATGGGAGTGATGGGAAAAGTTGTTTTGAGGACCGTATAACTTTTTAGAATTCTGAATGGACATTGCAAATTGAATTTGGGGAAAAAAACGTCTGAACAAACTCTTTAAATGAATTCCAAATGTTTTAAATTAAGTAATATGAAAAGTTACATTTGCACTTGTTATGCTGTTGGCTATTGTTAATGAATTGATGTTGTGAAAGTTACAATGTTATATAAGAGGAAAATATGTGAAGAGTTTTAAGATGTCGAATTGTTGTGCTGTTAACTATTTAAATAAATAAGGCATCTTTTGCTAATTCTATTGTCTTGGACAACTTATTTTTACTCATTTACACTCACTGATGTATTACCCAATCTATGAAATACAATTTCTATAAACTGGCAATTTAATTTCTCACACATCTAATTAGAATAATAACAATTGGGGGGAGCGAGAGTCCTTGCATCAACATGATTATAACAAACAAAACTCCCAACGTTCTTCATTCACATTGCCTGAGAAGAAAATACTGTATATAAATGCTATAGGAGAATTGACCTATATATAGGGTCATTGCCCGAAACGTCTTTTAGTGTTTCCACCCCTTTTACATTATTAACGTGTTGGAAGTTTAATAAACTTAGGCATTTGCACGACTGCCACCGCACGAATGACGACGTTATATTGAATATGAAAATAAAAAAAATAACCCAGGCATGTGTGGGAGGTTTGAACCGGGATTGTTTATTGCAGCATCTCAACGGTAGGGAAACCCGAATTCTCATTTAAATATCGCGACCGTTGGCGCAGTCGACCAATCAGAGGCGGCGGCGGCTCGCGCGTTTGAAGAGAAGCCGTTGGGGGTTGTTGTTTCTCTCTTCCCGCGCTTATGCGACAACAGCGCCATCGCACGGTAAAACAAAAAAACGCCTTTTACAAGTACCTGTAGACGTTTGAAAGCTCTTTTAATGCTCTTTAATATTTAATGCTCTTTTAATATTGAAACAATTTTTTTTCGCCCTCGGCTGGAAGTTGTTGTTTTTTTTGTGTGCGTGTGAGTTAATAAAAGTTAGCAAACGGTTAAAACATTTGGCGCGTTAAGCTCCGTAAAAAGGATCCTCACGTTTCGCACAATGTTAATATTCGTACGCACTGTGTTTGTTTTACCTCTTTGCAGAACGGACGATGGGTGACATCCCCATAACGCCGATTATCGTAATTATCGGCGCTCTTTTTACCTCGTTTGGGAATTCTCTCAACGCCACCACAAGTGAGATTAATAAGCGTACCGTGATCTCGTTGCGCGTCCGTATACATTCACACGATACTACCTGTGTACAGACGAAGATTTTGCTTCGGTTTATACGTTACGCTTTTTTTAAACGTACAATTAAAAAGGTGGCAAATGCTTTAACATTGCGGACGGTATGAAAAATAATTCGCTCCAAACACACATTTTAGTTTGGATGCAAGAGGAAATTGTGTATTTTTAATAAGTTTTAAAACGACAAACATAAAAAAAACCTGCCCCCTCGTTAATTTTTTTATTTAAAGCTTTCGTGACTGCAGTGATTCATATTCTTGGTTCTTTCGGTAAAGTCACGTTGGAGGGGAAACAATAAAATAATGAAAATATATATAAAACATATATACTCCCCCCCGTTAATGTTATTAAGACTTCGTTAAAAACCGTTAACTTGCATTGTAACGGCGCTGTATAATGACGCCCGAATGCCTCAAGCCTCTCGTCGATTTGATGTTTATTCCTTTACTTGCCATCAACATATTACTTATCTATTATGATTATTATTATTAAACGCGGGAACTTGCCACCTGTATAACTAATATCCCGAGAGTTTGCCACTCGCTAACTCTCAACCTTGAACTCACGGCAGCAGCGCGCAGGGAGACTTGTTGTGAGTCTCCTTTGTCGTCCCGTGTTTATCTTCTCGGCTCTCGTGTTTCAAATGTGCGGCGTCTTTTATCAACTCTTTTTGACGCTCTTATTTGTTTTCTCTGCACGGGTCAGGCAACTGGTTACACAGCCTTACTCAACCCAAATGGTCAGACATCAAAGTACGGAAGGGCGTTCGGATTTTGTAACTACGCAGTATTTTTTTAATACATGAATACAATAAGTGATGTTTCCACGCGAGTAAACACTGGATTGTTGATTTCCAACACAATGGGGCTCTGTAGTGACTCAAGTCCCACACCCTGCCCACCCTTCCCTCGACTCTCACACTGCGGCCCAAAAACGATTGTTCCAATCACCACTCTTCTCACCCCTCGATACTTTCCATTGCCAAAAGGGGCCGCTGATAGTCCACATTGCTGACTTACCTGCCAAAGACATTTCCAATCCACCACCCCCTCTCTTCTCCCTCGTCTCGCCATTCTCTATGCACTCCCTTCCCCGCCCCACACCACCGATCACTTTCTCTCGTGTGTCCACCCCTCCTGTACAATTTAGATATTTTATGAAATGTTATATGTAATGTGATGTCCCGGTTGCGCCTTATATTCACCATTTGACACACAGATGCGCCCCTGAAGCAGCCCACTCTCTGGCTTGGAGTCGTAAAAGTGACAGCGGAGTCTGCAAAATGGCTTCTCAACCCAAACTGGTTATCCAACAGTAGTGACGAAAAGGAATGGACAAATTTGACCATTCACTGCAATGACAGCAAGGTCCCTGTGCTCCCCTTTCTCTCCTTGGCAAAAAACTTCAGCTGCCGTCATCCCACCAACACCAGCTCAGACGGCCTCCTCGCATGGTGCATTATAGATGCCAGAGAGGCATATGGCAAACTTAAGCAGACTCCTGTGGCACATGGCTCTGACAGAATACTCAGTGCCGTCATTGACTTCATCAGAACCATGAAACACCTTTATGTTTTTAATGCCACCAAGGAAGAAGGACAGGACTCAAAATTGTCATCGCCGACAGACAGCACAATCTTGCAAGTGGAAGGGCAACCCCTTGGATATAAGGAGCTCCCCGAACTTAAAAATCTGCTCATGAAGCGGTATGAAGTGGTGATTGACTCCAAAGAGATACAGGCAGGGGCAACAACTCAGTCAAAGATCCCAACAGATCAATTGGTGACCAACATGGCCCTATTGAAATCTGGCAGCAGTCTATCTCCGAAACCTACAACTGACGAAAATGCATCCTCAGGAGAAAAGCAGTCTATACCTAAACCACAACAGACGGCCACAGTATGGGTTTCCATCTTCGAACAGCTCTTAAAATTGAACCAGTTTAATTGTGAGTCCAATAACGATCGATTTACTGGAAACTTGGGAATGGACTCAACAAGCGCTAAATCAAATGGGCTGAGCAAGACGGGGCAAGATTCACTTAGCCATGAATGGGGAAAAAACATCTCATTTAATTCCACAGCATTAAAGAAGCATAAACGATTCGTGCATGAAGCAAAGTCCACGAGTGGAATAAGGCATGTGCTCAGGAAGCCAAGAGACAAGCAGCCGAGAGGAAGTAAGAGCAATAAGAGCAGTCATCAATCGCCTCCTACCATCAACAGCGATGTGATAAATTCACAAGTGAAGCACCCAACTCAAGGAACTGCAGATGAGAGGACTGGAGGGAGACCAGAAACTAAAAAGCTTGCAGATACAAAGCCTGAGGTTGGACCAGAAGTTAAGAGACCTGAAAATAATACAAATGCAGTGAGATCAGGATACATGACAGCAGGAGGCAAAACATCTACACCAAAAGACGAAACATTTAATATAAAACTAGGACAGAAAGAACCTGGTGTCAAATCAGGAGATAGAACAGGGATGGTTAAACCTAAAGATAAGAGACAAGTGGTTGAACCAGGAATACGGCGACCAGTTCTCAAGCCAGAACAAAAACAGCCTGGTGTCAAATCGGGAAACAAAACAGCTACACCTAGACCTGGAGAGAAGAGGCCAGTACTTGAACCAGGAACAGAACGACCAGTTGCCAAGCCAGAACAAAATCAGCCTGGATTTAAATCAGGAAAGAAAACAGCTACACCTAGACCCATAGAAAAGAGACCAGTACTCGAACCAGGAACAGAACGACCAGTTGTCAAGCCAGAACAAAAACAGCCTGGATTTAAATCAGAAAACAAAACAGCTACACCTAGACCCGGAGAGAAGAAACCAGTACTCGAACCAGAAACAGGACGACCAGTTCTCAAGCCAGAACAAAAACAGCCTGGTGTCAAATCAGGAAACAAAACAGCTACACCTAGACCCATAGAAAAGAGACCAGTACTCGAACCAGGAACAGAACGACCAGTTGTCAAGCCAGAACAAAAACAGCCTGGTGTCAAATCAGGAAACAAAACATCTACACCTAGACCCATAGAAAAGAGACCAGTACTCGAACCAGGAACAAGACGACCAGTTGTCAAGCCAGAACAAAAACAGCCTGGATTTAAATCAGAAAACAAAACAGCTACACCTAGACCTGGAGAGAAGAGACCAGTACTTGAACCAGGAACAGGACGACCAATTCTCAAGCCAGAACAAAAACAGCCTGGTGTCAAATCAGGAAACAAAACAGCTACACCTAGACCCATAGAAAAGAAACCAGTACTCGAACCAGAAACAGGACGACCAGTTCTCAAGCCAGAACAAAAACAGCCTGGTGTCAAATCAGGAAACAAAACAGCTACACCTAGACCCATAGAAAAGAGACCAGTACTCGAACCAGGAACAGAACGACCAGTTGTCAAGCCAGAACAAAAACAGCCTGGTGTCAAATCAGGAAACAAAACATCTACACCTAGACCCATAGAAAAGAGACCAGTACTCGAACCAGGAACAAGACGACCAGTTGTCAAGCCAGAACAAAAACAGCCTGGATTTAAATCAGAAAACAAAACAGCTACACCTAGACCTGGAGAGACGAGACCAGTACTTGAACCAGGAACAGGACGACCAATTCTCAAGCCAGAACAAAAACAGCCTGGTGTCAAATCAGGAAACAAAACAGCTACACCTAGACACATAGAAAAGAGACCAGTACTCGAACCAGAAACAGGACGACCAGTTCTCAAGCCAGAACAAAAACAGCCTGGTGTCAAATCAGAAAACAAAACAGCTACACCTAGACCTGGAGAGAAGAGGCCAGTACTCAAACCAGGAACAAGACGACCAGTTCTCAAGCCAGAACAAAAACAGCCTAGTGTCAAATCAGAAAACAAAACAGCTACACCTAGACCTGGAGAGAAGAGACCAGTACTCGAACCAGAAACAGAACGACCAGTTCTCAAGCCAGAACAAAAACAGCCTGGTGTTAAATCAGGAAACAAAACATCTACACCCAGACCCGTAGAAAAGAGACCAGTACTCGAACCAGGAACAGAACGACCAGTTCTCAAGCCAGAACAAAAACAATCTGGTGTCAAATCAGGAAACAAAACAGCTACACCTAGACCTGGAGAGAAGAAACCAGTACTCGAACCAGAAACAGAACGACCAGTTCTCAAACCAGAACAAAAACAATCTGGTGTGAAAACAGAAAACAAAACAGTTATGCTGAGTCCTGAAGAGAAGAGACTAGTAGCTGAACCAGCAACAGGACGACCAGTTCTCAAACCAGAACAATCCGGTATCAAACCAGAAAACATAACAGCTGACATGAGTCCTGAAGAGAAAAGACCAGTATCTGAACCAGCAACAGGAAAATCAATTCTCAAGCCAGATCAAAAACAGCCCGGTGTCAAACCAGAAAATATAACAGCTACGCTGAGTCCTGAAGAGAAGAGAACAGTAGCTGAACCAGCAACAGGACGATCAGTTCTCAAGCCAGAAGTAAAACCACCGGGTGTCAAAACAGAACATATAACAGCTACGCTGAGACCTGAAGGAAAGAGACCTTTGATCGAATCAAGAAAAGGACGACCAGTTTTCAAGCTAGAACAAAAACAACATAGTGTCAAAACAGGCATTAAAATGGCTAAGCTTAGACCTGGACAGAATAAAACTTCGATCGAACCCGGTAAAAAACAACTAGGTCTCAAGCCAGAACAAAACCCTGGCATCAAGTCCGGAGACAGACGAGCAGACCTCAAACTAGAAGAGAGGACACCTTTGATTAAACCAGTGGGCACAGAAACTATATTGCTTCGACCAAAGGACAAGAGACCTTCAGCCAGGCCAAAAGACAGCAGACCGGGATTCGAACCACTACCGTTAGCAGGAGGCTCCTCAATAAACTACAACAAACCAGTGGCACACAGCTCAATTGTGGTACTTTTCCCTTCTGGACATATTCCAAGTAACACAATGACAGCAGCAAATGATGTGAAAAAAAGACAGCATCTGCACAACAAAGTAGGTGTCTCCATGGGTCAGGGAGACACAAGACACCCCAGGCATTCTTCCCGATTTAGCAGAAACTTGGGAGTTGATGCCACAAGCACAACATCTAATGTGCTGAGCAAGAGTGGGCAAGATTCATTTCGACTTAAAAATGGCAACTATACATTTTTAAATTCCAGGGCACTGACAAAGCATTTAAAATCTGTGCATGAAGCAAATCTCGACAGTCAATTGAATGGGATTGAAGAGTACTTGAGTAGAATGCCAAACCGTGAGCTAAGGAATGCAAGGGAAGAGCAATCAGGAGGGAGGGAGAGCAGTAAGGGAGGTCGTCAGCCACCTGTTGGCATCAATAGTCACGCGGGCACTTTACAAGTGAAGCACCCAGCTATAAAAATTGCTGAGAAACAGGGTTTGCAAGCTGAAGGTGCTGCAGGTAAACAGAAAGTAATTATAGTAGATGAGAGGACTGGAGTAAGATCAAACACTAAAAAACGTGCACACATGAAGCCTGAGGTTAGACCAGGAAATGAAAGATCTGGAAACAAGACTTCAGCTGTCAGAGCTGGAGACATTGGGGCAGATGGCAAAAGACCTAGTCCGGAAGACAAAAGGCCCGGTCTCAAACAAGCCTGTGTCACACCCGGAGATGGAACAGCTATACTTAGACCCAAAATGAATAGACCTTTGATCGAACCAAGAACAGGAGCAGTTCTCCAGCTAGAACAAAAAAGACCTGGTATCAAATCGAGAGATAGACAAGCTGAGCGTAGACATGGAGAAAATATACCTTTGATCAAACCAGAAACAGGACGACCAGTTCTCAAGCCAGAACTAAAATCTGGTATAAAATCTAGGGATGGAACAGCTACGCTTCGACCCAGAATAAACAGACCTTTGATCGAACCAAGAACAGGACCAATTCTCAAGTCAGAACAAAAACGACCTAGTATCAATTCTGGAGGCAGACAAGTTGAGCATAAACCAGGAAAGCAGAGAGGTTCTATTGGACCAGTCACCAAAAACCCTATGCCCCTTCGAATCAATAATAAGAGACCAAAAGACAAACCCGTAGGATCTCAAACACTACCGGCAGCACCAATTTCCTCAGCCATCTACACGAAACCAGAGGCGCACAGCTCAATTGTGCTGATTTTCCCCTCAGGTTATTTGCCAAATAACCCGATGATGGTGGAAAATGATATAAGAAAAAAACAGCATCTACACAATAAAGAAAGTGTCTCCATGAGGCAGGGAGACACGAGGCGCTCCAGCATCCCTCCCCATGCTGGAACCCTGGGCTCACGAACACCTGAGCCCGCAGCAAGTGTCCAGATATCAAATGTTGTTTTAGTGAACCCTCATGAGGCTGCACTCCAGATGGTTAGAACACGGTGTGGGAACACTGTCCGAGAAGGTCCTAGAGCATTTATTAGTTGTGTAAAGGATAGCGGGACGTTGGATGGTGGCAGCAGTGGGAAGCAGTTAAGGGTGGAGACGAAGCGGGAGGCAAACGACTCTGGAAATAAGTCCTTCCCTCTGGGCAACCCAATGAATGCATCTCAATCGGCAAACAAGCAAAGGAACACCCTTGGACAGAGTAAAATTGGCAATATGGTGAATGAATTACAAGGAAAACTTCTGACGGGGATGATGACGCAGTTAGGGACAGAGAGACCGCCGCAGTCATTCGTCATCCAAGAAGGTGGCTCAGCATCTTCAAGATTACCATTGTCAACGACTGTGGAAAACAAACCACAGCTCAACATGACAGTGGTGGCAGTGCAGGTGGCAAAGCTCTACCTGGAACTGGGCGGCTATCTGAACAAAGGCGCAAAGGCACGGCTGGCCGTGGAGGACTGTTCAGTGGCTGTGTATGAAAGCCTGCGGGAGTTTGTGGAGTGTGTGGAGAAGGCCCAAACCTATGAGGTCGGAGGTCCGATTGAGAGCATTCTGCCACAAAGCAGCCATCGAGACCAGGATTTGGTGGTTGTGGCCAGCAGGGCGCAAAAAAGAGATAAACATGCAGGTGAGGTATGAGTGATTGGCATTGTAGTAATGTTCAAAGACACAACTCAAAAATGTAATTGTACTTCTCGCTACATACCTGGCTATGTTTTCCAGGCTGCCATGGTTTTGAAACTTAGTTTAACGAGTGCTATTTATAGCTTGTGAGTGATATCACTGTGACATAACTATCATACATGTCATTACATACCTGAGCAAAGCTCCATGCGTGCTATTTTTCTTATAACTTTTGCATTCATGAAGTTTCAAACATTAATAGCCTGGGATACAGCGAATAATATGCAGGTAATGACAAGTTTTATTTGGTTATTGCATTCCGTCTTATTTAGAATACTTTTAGGAATTTTCCAGCTTCAAATTGGGATAACCACTTTATGTTAATTATCTTAGAATTCTTCAATGTTCACGCCCTATTATATTGATTCCTATAATTATTCACTGGTTCTGCCTTGTTTAATAATTCCCAGAATTCATCCCTGATGCTGCTGTTTAATAATAACTGGTTACATTTCAAAGTAAAAATTCCAAGAATCTTTAACTTCAGCTGCAATTCCTGGAATATTTTACGAGTATCAATCCTTTTATAGAATAATTACCAAGTCCATCATTGTTAATAGATGAATGACCCTCCTGGAAGACACTGCTTGTGGTTATGAACCAACATAGAGCGATCGCTGACACCCAATTTATTTTGTTTGGCAGACGAAAAGGACATGGCAGAGGGAGACATTTGGCTTCCCTAAGTTTCTCCGTCCACGTGTCCCACACCAAACACTCCATATATCACAGCCAACTCAGACACAAAAGATTTATACTTATACATACCTATTATACACATTTGTATACACATGCACATAGATACATATACAGCACATACAAATAAAAATGACACCAGCTGTCATTAACTAGGAATTGGAAGCTGCTATCATTACTGATTTTACCAGACTTTGGTTCATTAAGGCCACATGCAAGTAGCCTCAAACATACACATGTATAAAGACACACATGGGTATGTACTTACAAACGGATGCATAGAAAAACAAATAGAATACACATGAATATGCATATACACATACTCGTTTTCAAGAATAATCTAAAACTTGTGTGGTTGTTTCCCAAAATTATTTTGGATGAATAAACATTTCTCATACAAAAAAAACACATCCTAACATACAAATATCTGTTATTTAAAATTGGAATAAAGTTTGTGTCAGTGTTTCGGTGCTTGGATTTCACAATTTAAAATGCTTTCCCATGCTCAAGTCCTCATGACCTACCGGTCTGCATTTATATGCTTCCAAATCTTCTCTATTGAAATATAGATTATCATTACATGCTCCATGTGCCTAATGATTGGGTAACATCTCGCATGATTGAGAAAGATTATTACATTTTTAATTACCACTCAATGTCACGTGATTATCAAAGTCGCTTTACAATTTTAATGGAGATTGGTGAATATCGAAAGATGGGTCAGGAAGACAGGAACTTGGGAATTGAGGATTGACTGGAGAGGTGAAGTGTTGCTCACAATCTGAAAGTGCAGTGGTTGTGTCTCAGGAGGTTAAAGACCCAACCCAGGTGAGTTGGTGGAGTGATGAAGGCTGCCTTTCAGAAGTGTTAAAACATAATGACATTGGTTGACTGATACACGAAATATGTAGCATTGGCTGAGAGCTCTTAAGAGTGGGGTCTGTTGACGTTTTCAGGATCCGTTCCCTGATGTGACGTCTTCATAGGGCTCTGTCCCCTTTAGTTTTTCAAGGTACGTTTTAACAACATGAATAACAGCACAACTGGCACATAATGGTCAATAAAAAATTCAACAAAACTTGCATGTTTAAGTATAAAAACTTTAATTATGCGTGTAAAATTTGACAAGATTGATTTCAGCTGTCAAGAGTTAAACAACAAGTATAATATTTTTTTACAATATGATGTGCAAAAATCTTCACGAGTGACACTTCTCAACATTATGTAAAATTTGAGGTCTCAACGAAAATGAAAACCTCTCTCAGATTGGAAAATACTCATTTGCATTCTCCGATCGTGAAACGAGGGTGAAGATGATAATTTTGGAAGATTTATTTTTCAAAATCTTTGTTTGGCAACGTTAAAGGAAGAGTAGGTGAGAGAGATGGAGTTGGTGGTGAGGATAATTTCAATAAAGCAGTGTCTTCAGCAAATATATTACAACAATATCACCATCACTGTAAAATTCTGAAAGATTTTCACAAAAGGCTAATCCTGATTCATAAGCTAAACCAGTTCAGGAATATATCTTATGTGAGACACTGAATCCTGCAATAATGTTTTTGAAAAGTAAATATTACAATTACAGTTTCCAAATGCATTTTGCCTGGCCAAATTTGATTTCATTTAACATAATTTATATTTTTCCCATCTTCCAATCTGTCACTTTCTTTCACACCATTCTGTACCAGCTCATTTGACTTGCATGTCAATTGAGGTTTTTCCTTCTGTGATGGCTTTTCCAGTCGTTAAAATGAGGGAAACATCTGCACCGTCAGTGGTGGTGGAAGCACGGTTAAATAAAAACGCGGTTGAACGTCCCTTGATAGATTTTCCTTTTTAGTCTCAAATGTTCTCCGTCAATTCTCATCCTGCAATAGACACAAGGGCAGGAAGAAAGCAGTCAAGATTGTGAACCTATGAGTGCCTGAGTTTGAACCTTGGATCAAAGTGTTTCTTTCAAGGGATTCATAATGGCCATGCAAGAGATATTGAGGCAGTGATCCTTCATACCTGGGTTTAAGCCATGGGTAAGTTTATACACATCTGAGAGGTTCATAATGACCCAGTAAAATAGATTTGTGCCCTCGTCTAAATAAACCAGCTTTTCATGGTTGCTGTTCCCATCAGGGTACACATGAGTGAGGACAGGGAAAGTCTCACAGTAGGAGCTCAGTAAGACACGTGAGTGGGTGGAAAGGTGAAATTCACGCACCTGGAAAACCATGAATGATCACATTAAAGAACCACCAAATGGATCGTCTCCCAACAAATCCCCTCCAGACGAAATTGATGCAGCAGATACTGCTGCTTCAGTGGGGTTCTGTTATGTAGGTGAGAACATACTTAGGTTATTATGGCATTCATGTGTATAATTGCATTGACTATTAACTGATGTTCCTTAATAAAGGAGAGTATAATATTAATACGGATACTACTTGATAGCCAGAACCAGCAACATCACCAGCATCATAAGATAATCAACAATGATTACAGTCAAACTCTTGATTATCTGGGGTAGGCGAAGGAATGGCCTGGATAAAACCAAAACCAACAATGCAAACCATATAAAAAAAGAGGCTAATAATACATATTTAATGTTGGCCGAGTTTTTATGGGGCTGAAGACTATTTTCTTTGTAATGATTTGTAAAGTCATTGGTTACTGAGTTAATAATTGAAGAAGCAGGTGTGTAAAAAGGCAAGAATGAGCATGGAATACTATATTTTCTATGCCTTTATCGCAAACAGTGATTCTACGACCCAGGTAATCTACCCACGCATAAGTGAGCGTTATCTCAATCATTAACATCACCACCACTGCTCACCTGTGTTGGTGCCTTATCTCCAGTAGCTTTGGGACTGTGTTCGAATGACCTTGATGCGGGAGTGGGAGCATGGCTGGGTGTGGTGCTGGGTGTAGTGGTGGTGGTTGTGGCGGTGGTGGTGGCGCCGGCGCCTGTGGCCGGAGCCTCGGCCCTTGGTGGTGAAGCCGGTGCTGATGATGCAGCCGACAGAGATCCCGAGGAAGGATCTGGTGAGTCACATGGGTTTATAATGGCTGTGTCAGAAACCGAGCAAACACCATTGAGATCCTGAACTTGGTGTTCAAACTGGGAGACTGGGTGTTTCCCTTTCTCTTAGGTGGCCTAAATGATTGTGACAGAGACACTTAATCCATCACTGCTAAATCCTGCATTTGAACCCTGGATAATACAAAATCATGTATATTAGTGTATCTTTCGCTCAGGATTACAATGGCTGTGACTGGTTCATAATGGCTATGGATGGCATACACATACAATGAAAGAGATCCACATTATTTCTTAACAGACCTACTCTTCGTGAGGATCTGTTAAGACTGGCATGGCGAGCACCACACCCCACTCCATTTGTCTCCCACACTGCAACAGGTGCTAAAATAAGGCTCAGTTGACCAAGGGAATGTACCAGCACTGGCTCATATATCACTCGCCACTGATTTTAGACATGGCCAGAATTGGAACTCAAATCACCAGGTTGGTAGCACAGTACATAAATAAGTGCCTGAAAAACATTTCGGGTGTGTGTTTACCAAAACTGTTTTTTAGCCTCAAGGATGAATGTAGGGACATGAGTGGGGACAAGCGGGAGGTGAGGGGAGGTATAGGAGACAAGGCAGAGACAAGGGAAGATAGCGGCGATAAAAAGGGACAAGGGTAGGTAGATAAAACAGGAAATAATAGGAAGACAAGCAGAAGATAGAGGAAGGAAAGGGAGACAAGGGCAGTTACACAGGAGACGGGGAGGGCAAAACGGTGGGAGATGGCACCTGAAGCGGAGGGCGTGACGGTGAGCTGTGAAATGTCATAATCGTCTGTGTCGTCGGGTTCCTGCGCTACGCCGATCCTCTCGGAGAAGTACTCGGCAAACTTATCCGAGGTCCCGGCGAGTGCAGATGCCCGTGGGTGGCTCCGTGCCGGCACGGGGGGTGGTTGGGCCAGCTGGAAGTCCTGGGGTAAGGTGGGGGGGGGGTAGCCAGTGAGCACTGTCATCATAAACATACTCAACAGCAATATCAGCAGCAGAAGCACCACCATCATCAGGAGCAGCTGCACTACCATCAGCACCTGCAACACTATCAGCAGCTGCACCACCATCAGCAGCTTCACCATCAGCAGCAGCATTAGTACCATAATCAGCAGCTGCAGATATATAATCAGCACAATCATCAGTAGCAGGACAGACACATACACGTTTCTTAAAAGTTAAATGGCTGAACAACCCAATGGAAGACCATCCTGAAAATCAGCGAGGCACTCCTGGTAAAAAAAGATTCTTATTTATTGTAAACATTATTACCAGTAATTATTGGCCACAATTGTTCCAATAATCCTGGAGTGTGATTCCACTCAATAAAATATTCTTGTCTTATTTTTGCTGTTTCATTTGCATTCTTTCTTGTATTTTTTGTCTTTGTCGAACAGCTTTGTCGACTCCATTCTTTTTACCGTAACAGAACATCATTTACACATGCTTCACACAATCATAATACAATCTCACATGGACAGTTTGACTTGTATATTGAGAGCGTAGAATCGATTTAAATCGAAAAGGTGACACATTGTTAATTATCTGACAACTTGGGTTGGCAATATTGTTGGGCTGCATTGCTTGGCAATGGGGTAAATACAATCATTCAAATTATTAGAGAATTCTATTATTGCAAGGCTATCACGAAGGCATCAGGCTTCACAAGCATGGGTGCTCTGGTGGCGAGATGTAATCTCCCTTGCTTGGTATGCAGGAGGTCATGGGTTCGATTCCAACCCTGATACCTGCATATTCCCCATGGTTGCGTGGATTTTTTTTCCAGGTCCTCCATTTTTTCCCCTCCACATTGAGAACCTTGCATTTAGTTTAGATTATTTGGCAACTATAAATTCCCACATGATAAGCAACTGCGATAAGCTGTCATGTGTGGCCAGATCGCTGCTGAAAAAGAGCTAATAGCTCAGTGGGGATTACCTGATTACATAAAAGTTTAATTTAGTAGTTTTGCAACAGGGGACAATGCTCGATTGAGTTAAATTCACCTTAAATGCGCTATTGTTGGCTCCTCTCCTCGCCTGGGCCCCTGCCTGTATGGCAGCGGGCAGAGGCTGAGGGCGGGCCGTAGTGGGGGGCATGGCAGCGTAGGGGGCCACAACGAACGGGGAGGTCACCGCAGCAGCCACGGGCCAGGACGCTTGCTGGGGGGCCACCCACCCCGCCGGGTACATCACTACGGGGCCCATGGTGCCCCACGCTGCGGCGGGGGTGGTGGGCAGGCTGTAGGCTTCAGGGAGAGGAGGAAAGGGAAAGAAGCAGAAAAGGGAGTGAGGGAGGACAGGTGAAATTTTGTCAAGCGTTCGTGCATATGTACAACTGTATGCACATCTACTGTATATGTACACCTGCATATAAGGATATAACATCATATATAACTATTTATTCCTAAAAATATAACGGATCTTTGTCAATTCACTACTGAATGAAGACCTCTCCACGCTGCGTTGGTAATGGGCAATGGTTGACCTTACTTCACTGTGCTGGTCAAGTGCAGGTCACCAGGTTCAGAGTAAAGTGTGTTCACTACTGTGCTTGCACTCCTCCAAACATCCACATACGCATTTATTTTTCTGTCTCTCTGTAATTCGAAGCTTGCTACTGCTCTCGGTGCTTTTTTTCATTCTCGTAATTTGTCAGATCCATACGTGATATATATTGTTGTGTTGCTTTTCATTACATATTAAGGTCAGTTTCCAAAAAACACTCCGACCTGCCAACCGCCTCCTTATTTATTAATTTTTATCCTGATCTGCCTTCAACAACTGGTATAAATAATCTGATGTTTTTCAGTTGTGTCTCCCACAGATACATTCAATTGTTTATCAAGCATGTTATACTATTGTTTTGTTTATATTTACTTTTAGAAAACTCTACAAGCCTTCTTACATTTCTTCGATAATTTCCCGTCGTTCATTTCCATCCGTTGTTATGACAGATTTAGTGGAAATTGATGCAGCCATAGAAGCTCTCACAAACCGAAGCCTAAATCCAGACATTTAAAAATGCTAAAAACCACGTATTAACCATAAAAGTCCACACCGCCTGCTTCACAGTGAACACTAAAGATCCCCTGACATAAATCTTGACTTAAAGCTTTAATGACTGTAGGAAGTCATATTCTTTCGGGTCATTCGGTAAAGTCACGATCGCTTGTGTTGTGATCGAAACATCGTAGTTTTTTTATTCATTTGAACCTATCTACGTGATTTTACCGAAAGACTCAAAGAATATGATCCCCTGACATCATTAAAAAGAAGTAGGCCATTGTGTAACAGCGCTATGGTACAAATTTGCCAAATAAAAAAAAAGTACTCACAAATTATTAAAATGGGAATCCACAAAGCAATCATCGACCCCCCGCGAATGGTACACTCATGCCCATTAGCAGGCCAAGTGCTGAGTCACCTTGTTCCCAAAGGGACAGCTGCCACCGGGGTTCCCTTTTTCGAATGTTTGAGATCAGATGTATGCAAGTCGCTTTTCGTGTGTATAGCGTTATGAGATGCCCCGTCGTAATGGGTGCCAAATCGAAACAAATCATTATTAAAAATGGAATTACTACAGTGAAATTGCATGATGAAAGTAATACAACACAATATATAATGGGAGTCAGACAAGATTACACAATTTCGCCAATTTTATTTACAGCCACATGATGTTTTTTGAAAATTGGATTGGAGAAAAAGAATCAATTTAAATCTCAGATATATACACTTATACACCCACATACAACATAAATGAGCTGGCCATTATACGCATTCTCGACTTACCCAACCCACCTAGGGGAGCCATCTTGTTTGGAGGGGGAGGCGGAAGCTGTTGATTGGTCGAGGAGACATCGCCAAGTCCAAACAGATCTGGAGAAATAGGGGTCTGAGGAAAAACAAGTAAAACATAAGCCAAGGTGGCTCTGGGATGTGGTTCATAATGGCAGAGTCAGGGACACTGAACCAGCAAGGCTCAGGTTTTCGGTTCATGGTTCAGGCACTAGGTCTGGATGTCTCCCTCATTCAGCGAGTTCAAAATGGCTGTGTTAAAATATCTGTTCTAAGGACACCTGTAATTGACCCCAGGATCTCATCGTTGTTGGGTCAGTGTTTCTGACACACCCATTATGAATCCTTATGAAATAGTTTAACACATAGACTTTTGCGACCAATATTATCCATATGAAACAAAGACACTCCATACCAGGGTTTGAATCCAGGATGTCAACAGTGCTGGCTCGATGTCTCTGACCGTCATTAAACACCTCTTGAGAGACACGTCCAGAACCAATGATAGAACCCAGGAATTCAACTGTGCTGGCTCGGTGTCTCCAAGAGCCTCTTCAGAGAGACACTATTTTACCTATTTATTGGAATGTTTTACCAGAATAATCTCTTGAGATGGAATATCTCATTTGCAAAGGTGTTCACACGCACCCCCAGGGCTCGCACCTTCTCGCTTGAGGCTCACTAGCAGACTGAAATAGTTAGCTTGCATATACTCACGGGAGGGGAGGTGATGTCCGGTGGTGTAGTGATGTCTCCAAATAAACCAAACTGAGAAGAGTCCTGAAACAGAAAAAACAAATATCCCCCATTTAGCCCTGTAGGCTGTAGGAGCAAGCAATGTTAGCAAGCACTTATAAAAGCTGCGACGTGTGTGGCAAGCACCACGACCGGGCTACTTTTGTATCCCAGCACTTATGTTCACACTTGTGCCAGTTCATAATTTATGGCTATGTTCACCCACGGGAGGCCCACGGCATTCTCTGAAGCACTTGCCACTGGTGTTGTGGCTGGTGGGAAGCAATGTGCCACCTCTGCCTATACATATACATGCTTACACACAGTACGTATGTAATAAACATATACACGTAACACATACACAATGAGGCATAGTATCTCTGATTAGAATACTGTCACAAGTAAACTTACCAACAGCATTCTATCCATTTGGGCTTCTAGTTCTAACAGAGAGCTTCCATTCTGACAAAAAAGAGACATCAAGATCAAGACAACATCATGGGCACAGCCGTTGATTCCACAACACTTCCGTCACTGCTTTGTTATCCTATGCCGTCAAACTCACAACACAAGGGAACCTGGTTTCATCTAAGGTGGCTGAGAACTGGTTTAGACAAGGGAGGCTGGAACCTGGATTCAAACTTGAGAGCTTAGCAGTGGCAGCTCAGTGTATCTTAGGCAGTCAATGACGCCAACCATTATGAACCCGACCTTGGCCAATATGATGAACCTCCTGCGACAGAGAAAGAGATGCCCAGACCCAAGGCCTGAAGCAAGGTTCTAAGTGATGATACCATCTCGGTGTGTCTCGGACGTGGCTATTAGGAATCTAGATGTATCATTATGAAATGAACGTGGTAATTATGAACACCCTAAGACAGAGAGAGAAACCCTGTCCCAGGACCCGAGCCTTCAACCCAAAATTCCCATTCTCCTGGCTTAGTATCTCTGACAGAATCATTATGAACTCCCCAGAAACACAGACACACTAAGACCTAGGGCTCGAACTTAGGATCACAAAAGTGCTGGCTCAGCCTCTCTGACACGGCCATTATGAACCTCTCACCTCAGAGGCTTTGTAGATTGGGATGTCGTACACTCCATCCTTCAGCTGACTTGATGGCACCTGTTAATAAGGCACATAAGAGTGGTTACCATGGTAACTAATGAGAGCAAATGATATTCAATCACTTACTTACAAATCATTACAATCACACACACACCGCTATGCTGACAAGGATCGGCCATTACGAACATGACATTGCCATTACAGTAATCAAGTCGTTTACAACCAGGTAAGAACCCATTGAGACAATGAGGAAAAACATGTGAATTCAAAGCACAGCCAAATAAATGTGAGGCGCATTTACAAAAAAATAAACAAGATGATATAAGTCCCCGGTCAACCTTAGATATACCAACTGTTTCTGTACAGCGTACAGCAATGTGGTGTCCTTTCGATGCTACATAAAGACATTATTTTGATGGTCCTCTGCCTGATTCAAAATTACGGTGAAATAAAATCTTACAGCTAAATGACTGTCGTGTTTAAATGCAGGCTTGAAAAACATTAAAAAACACATTATTCTTACCTGAGATTTATATAGCGCCTTATTCCAAGGGGCTTTAACGCAATTAGAAAATTGTCCATAAGATTATAGCGGTTGAGATAAAGAGTGGGTTATTAAAAGTGGCAGCGTAGTTATGAATGCTCGCAATGGAATGATGCACGGACTCCCGAGTCGCCCTCGGCGATTGAATCAATAATCGCAATACAGTGTCACTATTTGGTTCAAGAATACATTTTAAAAATCACATTGCCGTAAACTGTAGTACCTCAAATGGGTACAAAAGTGACGTAAATCCATACCATACAATATGTAATGTTAAAACATAGAGATTCTTGCACACATACGATTTGATGCGTGTTTTGTAAACTCGACTAATAGAAACGGCAAAGCATCATTCCACTGCGAATGCACTCACATCGCGGACATCACGTGTGTAGCGACATCGTGGATGTCACTGGGTAATGCCGGCTCTAGCGAGGCACGGCGTGCGATGTATTGCCATCGCGGACACCCCGTACATGTGGGTGTAGTACCAGCTCTAGAGGGGCTCGGTGAGCGCTGATAGAGAGCGCTGAGTGGCACCGCGCTCGGCGTGCAGTGCTGGCCCCTATAGGAGGGGGTGTGAGGGTGCCGGCCATAAATGGGGTTAATAAAGGCCATGGCACTCTAGTTGACCCTGGAAGGCACGTGACGGGTAAGATCTATACAGGGGCCCCAAGTGGGGGCTTGGGGTGGTCACGTGTCGGGGTGAGATCTTGCTAGAGGGTTCTAGAAGGTGGTCGTGGCCAAGGGCGGAGCCAGCCACGACCAGTGAGGATATAAACCGGGTCCCGAGAGGGACCGTGGTTCAGCGTTGCTGTTGTTATCCTGAAGATCTATGTTCTACGTCCGAGAAGAGTCACCAACACGTGGACCGGGACCCAAGCCGGGGTCTGGTCCGTTGTAGCTACTCCTAGTGTAATTAGCGTAGTTAGCCTGGTGATCACGTAGCTAGTTACGGTGTAATTAGTGTAGTTAGCCTGGTGGTCCACCACCATAGATTGTTATCTGGTAAAGTGGCAGTTACCCGTTTGTGTTGGTATCAATAAATGTGTTGCCCGTACGCCTGCAACTCAGCTGAATCCACTACAAATCCACTGTCGCATGAAAGCCTCTCCATGCCGTCCTGTTCATGGGAAGAGTTTTCATCATATTTCACCACACTGACCAATCCAAGTTTATGGAGGATGTGTGGAGGATTCAGTCAGATATCACTCACCACTGATGACCAGTGTTTAAATTGACATGAATAGGTACCTAATAGAAGCTAATGAGTAACAGACTGTTACATCATGGGACCTCCTTTGCCAGTAGCAAAATATGATTTGTTTCCCTTCTACGTGACTTTACCGAAAGAACCAAGAATATAAAAAACATACTCTTATAGTATATGATGCATTGTCCTTGATACTGATTGGTCCACACCATAGACAGCTTTCTTTTCAGCCTCGTCTCAAACAGTGCTAGACCAGAGGACACCAAAAGGCATACACAGCCCAAAGACAATGCACAATCAGAGTAATGAGAGCTCAGGGTGAGCATCTACATCATGGGACCTCCTTTGCCAGTAGCAAAATATGATCATAGGGTTTTCCCCTTTTATCTGGCAACAAAACAGGTGTTAAGATGTTAAAACACCAACCTGAAACCTTTTACAAGGAATCATGTCGGCATTAACCACAATGCTTGTGGTCAGAACGCAAACAAAAAACACTCCTTGAAACTGATTGGTCCAAACCAGAGACAGCTTTCTTTTGAGCTTCGTTGCAAACGGTGTTAGACCATGTGAAAAGAGAATGGAGTTTGGCTTATGTAGTGACATCGCGGATATCACTGTGTGGTGCCGGCCCTAGCGAGGCACGGCGTGCTATGCATTGTCAGCGTGGACACCCCATAGGTGGGTGTAGTACCAGCCCTAGAGGGGGCTCGGTGAGCGCTGGGATAGCGCAGTGGCACCACGCGTGGCGTGCAGTGCTGACTCCTACAGGAGGGAGTGTGAGAGTGTCAGCCATGGGATGAGGTTACCCTGGGCCTTAGCACTCTGGTTGACCCTGGAAGGCACGTGACCAATAAGATCTACACAAGGGGCCCCAGGTGGGGGCTAGGGGGTGGTCACGTGTCAGGGTGAGATCCTACGGGAAGGGTTGAGAAACGACAAGAGGTTTCTCGAAGGTGGTCGTGGCCAAGGGCGGGGCCAGCCACGACCCAGCAGCTTTCAAACTGGGTCCCCACAAGGGCCGGGGTTCAGTGTTGCTGTTGTCATCTGAAGATCTACGATCTACGTCCAAGAAGAAGTCACCAACACGTGGACGAGGACCCCAGCTAGGGTCCTGTCCATTGTAGCTACTCCCAGTAACTAGCGTAGTTAACCTGGTGGTCCACCACCATAGGTCATCTGGTAAAGGGGCAGTAACCCCTTTGTGTTATGTGTTGGTGTTAATAAATATGTGTTGCCTCCAAAGAGTACGTCTGCGACTCAGTTGAATCCACTACACTTATATTTTCTTTTAACTAATCTTCAGGCTTAATGAAGGCTGATTGGTATGGAGGACTTGCCAAATGTAACGTAGATACAATATTATCACACAAGTGAAGAGTATCAAAATAAAAATTTTGAATTCACTTCTGAATTGTGACTCAAAAAAATGTAGAAGCCCTGTCTGGAGTTGCTAAGGTTTGTGGATTTTAACAAATTAGTCAACTGTGGCCAAGGGGCACAATCGTGGTCAAGAGCATCAGCTGGTGAGACTCGCATGCCACATGGCACCAGCAGGGAGGGCGGTGGGGGGTAATTACGAGCCTGTGTGAGAGACTAATGTGTGTGTGAACATGGCTATGTGTGTGGGGGTGATGTGTGTGACTGATGTGTGAGACACTGCCGTGTCTGTGTGACCATAGCTATGTGTGTGGGAGTGATGTGTGTGTGAGCATGGCTGTAATTCTGTGAGTGATGTGTGTGTAAGAGTGGGGAGCGGTAGTGTAGCAGTTATTGTGTTGCGCTATGAACCCGGCGACCTGAGTTCGATTCCCGCTCCTGGCCAACACCAGTGACGATTCTCTAAACTGTTTATGGACCTCCCCTAGGTCCATTCAGCCTCAAATAAGTACCTGGTGTGGTATGTAAACATTACCACCGGGGAGTCAAAGGTGGTCCGGTGTGGTGTTGGCCACCCTCCCCCTCGTGTGCTAGCTTACAACACTTGCCTAAACAGTCTGTTCAGGCTATACGGGGGGATCTTTGCCTTTGTATATATGATTAATGTGTGTGTAAGTGTGGCTGTATGTGTGAAAATCATGTGTGTGAGAGGGATGTGTGTGTAAGCGTGTCTGTATGTGTTTGAGTGATTTGCGTGTGGGTGTGTGTGACCATGGCACTATGTATGGCTGTATGCACCTAGTCCCAGAGCTTAAACCTAGAACCTCATCAGTGCTGGTTCTATATGTCTGACATTACCATTATGATCTTCCTGAGAGAAAGATACTGGGACTAAGGGCCTGAACCCAAGACATTAGTGGTACTGGTTCAGGGTCGATGATACCATCACTATGAACATGACACAGCCATTATGAATGGATATTATAAATGCTCTGACAAATAAGGATATCTAGACGAAGGACGTACGATTTGCACGGTTGGCTACGTACGGTGCGAAATAAGTTCAATATAAATGCATACATACTGAATCGAGGATATTTGTTTCTCCTGCATAGACATAAACACAACGCAGCCATTATGAACCCCACATCAGACCAAAAAAGACACCCATACCCAGGGTTCAAACCCAGGGCCTCGAGGGTTGGGACCTCACCTGGTAGATGGACTCCTCAGAGTCCGGACTGGGCTCAAACATAATGTACTGAGTCCAGCGTGAGTCACAAGAGAAGAGAGACATTGAATAAGAAATCACCAGTAAAGAGAATTCTGTAGAATAAACAGCAGTGACCTGTATCCTGGGGAAGAGTTAATTCATTGTGGTAGCCAGCAATGCATCCTGGGGTACATACAATGCATGCTGGGAGATATGTGACGCATCCTTAACAATGCATCATGGGATACCTGCAATGCATCCCACGATAAATATGATGGATTCTGAAGAGGAAAAATTATTTCTGAGAAGCCAGAGCCCAGCAGTGCAATTTGGAAGCACAGATAGGCTCCTCAAATGCATTCTAGTATTTTTATAAAAACAATCAACCTTAGGATGCTCAGCAATGAATTCTAGGAATCCATTAAGGCTAATGCAATGGAATCTAAAGTAGAAAAATTGAAATGGCTTAAGAATGAAGCCATGCATCGTGAGAGGGCAGCAACAGCCCCTCAATGCATACTAGGAATAAAGCAATGTAGTACACAGGACAGCAATGGACTCTGGGAATTGAAATAACGAACTGCATTCTGGGAGGTTAGCAATACATTGTGGGAAAAAAGCAACGCAGTATTGGAGTAGAAAAAAGATGCAATCTTGAAAAAGAGGCAATGCACTTAGGGTTACGTGTACATCAATGGGCATAGATTGGATTAGCCTAGAAGTAGATCAAGAATGGTTCATGACACAACACTGACATAACGCACATCCATAATGATTTCCGAAAAATTCGAAAATATTTTCCCATGATGGCCATTATGAGGCCCCTGAGAAACAGTCCCCCAGACCCATTCATCGACTCAAGGTTCTCAGAGGTGCTGGTTCTGTGTCTCTGAAACAGCCATTATGAACCCCTGCATGCACCAGATAGACAATTCGTTACCTGGTAGACTGGGTCGTCTGTGTCGTCGTCAGGTATCGTCTGCCAAGGGCGCAGGCATGAGGGAAGCAAGGGGAAGCAAAGAGAAGCACAAGGAGGGATAGGGGAGCGAGAGCAACAAAGGGGAGTATGGTATAGCAAGGGGAATCCAGAGGAAGTGAGAGGGAGAAAACAGTAGCAAGGGGGAGATTGGGATGCAAAAAGGCATCGTAGACAAGTGTGAGAAGGCAATGGGGAGTGTGGGGGACCATGGGGAAACAGCAGAGAGCAAAATGAAGGAAGAGGGAGATGAGAGAGGCAAGAGGAGCGAGTGGAAAGATTCAGAAGCAAGGGAGCGGCAAGGAGGAGCAAATGATTCAGGAAGGAGAGGCCAACAGGTACGAAAACGAACCAGAAGGCAGAGAAACAGAAAGGGTAGGCCCAAGAAAAAAAAACAATCAGAGAGCTCGCAGAGATACGGCACGAGCCTGCTGAAAATCTATACCTGTACACGTGAATTAAAGAAACACGCAACCTAAACGAAGATGAGAAGTCACGCTTATGCATCGCTTCTGTAACTCTTTCCAACATGTGTTTGTCTGCGAGTGAAGTGTTTAATTAGTGACAATGACGTTACGTTTCAAGCCGCGCAATGACACGATGTGATATTACGATATGACATCACGCATAACGATGTCATCGGGAGGTGTAGGGGGGGAGGTCATGCATGCCTCGGTCATTATGCCACAACACTGGTTTTAGCGTCCAAACTTTTTCATCAATTTGGTCAGTTTTCTTTCTGGTACTAAGTCCCTATTAGCAACAAACTTTGTTGACTACTATTGGATAATCTTCAAGAGAGTTATCGTACACCCCTATTTGGGATATACTGACGGACCAGGGAAAATGTATAAATGCTTTCAAACTTAGTTGGAAAGTTTAAAAATACCCAGGTCATTTCTAGCAGCTGCATGTCTGGGCCGTGTGTGCCAGACTGTCTGGCATGTGTTTAAAGCTTAGCTAATTAGAAAAAACACACTATATTGACTTTCGGGAATGTGAAGACGAGCTGTTTTTGTGTATTCGGTCTTCTTTTATCAAGAGGATATCTCTGAAATCCCAGAGAACACTCACAATTGGAGAGGATAACGCATCTCAACCCGCTTGCGTCGGCAGTGCAATTTCTTCTCAGAGTATTTTTTTTTATAATCTGGGAAAACTTGACTGGCAGACTGAACCCTGGAGAAAACCCTCAGCAAGAATGAGGAAACATCCATCAAGAGACACCATGTGTGCGAGAGGGGAAAAAAGCTCAGGCAAGTGAAGCTCCATAACCTGGTAAAGGGCGCACGAATCGACCTGCTTATCCTTGCTCTGCTCTTTGTCCGTGCCTTCCTGCTGCTGCTGCTGCTCTGGTTGCTGCGGACGCTGCTTCTGCTGCTGCTGCTTTTGCTCACGTTCACGAAGGGTGAAGATGAGCTGGAAGAGGTTGCGAAGGTCCATCACTAGACCCTCGGCCTGAAGACGGGGGAGGAGAGGGTTGACCGTAGGAGGAAGCGTTGGGATGTGAGGGAAACAAATAGCGGTACCAGTTACCATGGAGCAACAAGGACTGATGGTGATGTTGATAATCACGATGTTGCTTATGATGGTGCTGATATTGAGTGTTCCCTATCTATCTGTATCTCTTTCAGTATCACCATTTCCCCCATGTCTCAGGATACACAGTAATGGCTGCCCCTCTAAGATGACGATGATGACGTTTACTCTTGCTGCTGCGGTTAATCATGATAATAATGATGATGCTGCTAAGGATATGATACTGATACAGTTGATGCTGATGAGCAGTGAATGCGTCTCTGCCCAAACACGGCAACCCTCTGCCCGGGTCACCATGTCTGTGTCTTTCTGCTTCTGTGTCCCCCTAATCCAAAACGTGACCCTGTGTCTCACAGCGTGTCCCCCTCATCCCCCGTGTGTCCCCGTGTCTCACAGCGTGCGCCGTCTTCACGGCGTAGAACCGGTGATCCCCCTCCGTGCCGCACACAAAACCAAACGCTCTGTGGTCGCTGACGTCGCGTGCGATGAATGACACCTTGTGCACGGGGTGCTCGTGTTGTAGGACCTGCAAGCACAAGAGTCTGATTCAGTCAAAGTACAAAGTTGAGGCTTCCTTGAGAAAAAAACGACTTTCCATTGACTTTCTGGAGTGGTGTAATGTCACTGCATGGCCGTATTAGAACGTAAAAGTGATGTCAATCATCATCAACACCATCAGCCATTATTTAACCAAGCTGCCACGATCTCTAACCATCTTATCATGGGACCCTTTTCCAGTATCAAAATATGAACAATAATAATAGGTTTTACTCTTTCTAGCAAAAAAACAGGCTCAAACACCAAATATATACCGTTGGCAAGGAATAAAATCTGCATAAACCACACGTATTTGTGGTGAAGATGGAAACAAACATGCTCTGATAATATATGCATTGTCTTTGAAATGGATTGACCGACACCAAAGAGAGCCTTCTTTATGGCCTAGTTTCAACAGTGTCAGACCAGAGAACGCCAGAAAGCAGACAGTAGAAAGACGACGCCACACGTATCAGAGCATTTATAGCTCGGGGTGAGCAGCTGCATCATGGGACACCTTTTGCCAGTAATAAAGTATGACAAATAAGAATAGGTTTTACCCTTTCTGGAAATAAAACAGGTGTTAAGATGTCCAAACGCTAAATAGATACCTTTATGCATCTTTCAATACGACAATCCATCTAGCACCTGCGCACGAGCTGATGTCATTGCCCCATCTGCGCAGTGGATGGGGCAATGTCCCTCTCAGGTGTTCCCTCCCTTTGGCTGCCACTCAGCTATTCGTATAGACCATGGGCCATGATCCCTTATCGCCACGTGTCCTGCCCAAGCAGACTTACTGGATTATTTTGTGTTACTTTTCTTGATGTTAACTTTGAAGCCCCATTTATCATGAATGAAGTTTAAAACTCGTGACATGCAGGAATATCTAAAGTTCCTCCAAGAGCCACTTGCTGTTTGGGCTGCATCTTCCTTAAAGTGGAATCTTCCAAAAGTTTTTAATAATGGGAAAAAACTACACACACAACCAAAGATTCCCATCTGGATAAATAAGCCGAATCACATCACCTTTGTTATTTATGCCACTGTTTTCCTTTCTCTGCCTTATATGTACTCTCTGTCTCATGCGTACTGCCTCATTCATTGTGACCATTAATCTGAAGGAGGATTTGCTTGCATATACCATACATATGTAGTGATTGACTCAGAGATACTAAGAGTAAGAGGCACTCTGTTTATTAACATCCTTAACAGTTCACACTTAGTAACTATAGCTCCCAGTCAGGACAGCTGGCAGACTGCCCGACTGACGACGCCGAGATGGTGAAGACGTAGATGGCGGCAAAGACTCCAGCAGCAGCACAGCGAGGGGATCCCACTCCAGCCAACAGCCCGGAGCCTTTGCTCGGGGTCCCCTTTTATCCTCCCAGCATGGCCTCGCTCCGCCCCTACCACGCCCCCCTTCTAGAACCTACTAGTGGGTTCCCGGGCTTCCCTCACGTGCCCCCTCTGTAACCTTTCCCCTACATTCCTCTCTCTGGTCTATCACGTGACCTGCTGTCAGACAGGGCTGCTGCAACTGCAGATCCCCTTCTCTGCCAGCAACAAGCGCTATGCTACGTAGTGATCAATTCCATGTCACTACACATACATAGCAGACCGTTGTGGCAAGTGCTGTTAGCAAGGAGCTCTTAAGGCCTGCATATCACATGAGGGGGTAATGTGGCCAACACCATGCCTGGCTTTCTTTGTCTTCCTGGTGCTGATGTTTACTCACCACACCAGGTAGCATTACAAGGCCTGGGGTCGGTTTTTAAATAACTAACTACTGACGTTAGCCGTGGCTAGGAATCGAACTAAGGCCAGGGGTTCATCGTACAGCAGCGTTAACTACAGCGATAACGCATACATACATACATGTATGTGCAGTGAACAATAACGCACTGTATAATATCTACAATGATAATGCAACTGATAATGATGTTGATGATACAGATGGAATCTGCAGTTGCAAATAATACCAGTACTGCTGCTGATGATGATGATGCTACTGATTCAGCTGCCAAAGATGATGATACTACCGTTGCTGCTGATGATGGTGATGGCTACTCACTCCACACCGCTCGTCGTAAATCCGGATTCCGGAGAAGGAGACGGACACAATGATCCTCGGCTTGTGTTGCCCATGGGCCCTCGCTACTGCAGCCATTCCCTGCAGCAACAACCACAGCCACCAAGCAGCCTCCGTTATTCAACCACACACGCAGCCCCGTCTCCGTTATTTAACCACACATTTAGCCTGGTCTCTCTATTTAAAGGAAGACTCAACCAAATAAAAACCGAGGTCTTCTCTAGTAGCCGCATATGGCTGGTTGTGTCCTGGGCTGTTTGACATGGGTTTGAGGTTTCCTTAATGGAAAAAAACACCAGATAGCACTGTAGTAATGTCACTTGGAATACTACACTGGTGCGTCTGAAAACCAATTTAACTTCTTTATCTCATAAATGAAGCTTCAAGCTCGTGTCAGACAGCTTGGGGCATACATACAGCCTGGGTATGCATCTACAAGGGCTGCTTGTCTTATAGGTTGAATTTGGCTTTAAACTTAAATAAATTATACACGGTTCGTACTTTTCAAGCAGATATGACTCTGTTTGGGTATATCTGGTATAAGGATTGAGTGTTGTGCGGATAACCAGGTGCGCAGATATTTACAGAGTGCCTTAACGCAAGGCACTTTACGTAGTTTAAAAGTGGTACAAAAGCAGGGCGATTTAAATGGCAAAAGCGTGCAAACTAGCCAACGAAAGAGTGACCGTAACAAGGGCATATGGGGTCACGGACGAGCAGGGGAGCAACGGGATGGAGTGGAGGGACGAGAGGAAGGAGGAGGAATGGAATGGGCAATGGAGAAGAGGTGAGTTTTAAGAGAGGAACGAAAGGAGGTTAAGGAGGGGGCCTGCTTAATGTGCAAGGAAAGTTTATTGAAGTGGAGGGATGCAAGGAGGGAGGAAGATCGAAAACGAGATTGGGCATAGAGAGAAGGAGCGACAGAGAGAGACAGATAGAAGATTGTGAACGAAGAGCACGAGGGGGGGGGACATAAAAATAGATGAGAGAGGCAAGATAAGGTAGGATAAAAGGCCATGGAGAGATTTAAAGAGTGTTAGGTATTTGAAAAGACAACGGTGCAGTAAACGGAAAGCGAGTGAAGTTGATTGAGGAGAGGTAAAGTGTGATAATTAAATGGGAAATTTAACTTTATGGCTTCGTGGATCTGGAGGGTTGTGAAGATGCAGCTGTGTCGTGGATACGCAGGTGTTTTGGATATTAGGCACGTGCCAATTCACCTCTCTGGTGGTATGATGAATTGTTGTGATTGGGGGAGGGCGATTGCAATTCCATTCAAGAATCGATTCTGTCACGTCTCGTTTTTAAACGTCTCTCTTGTGGTAATCGTTTCTGTTATTTTCTCGCTTATTAAAGTTTGTCCTTGCCTCTAACCTAAATGTAACATCAGCATATAATTTGCAAACATTTTGCATACATTTTAAATAACCGATTCCTACACATATTGTATCCGAGCTTAATAATTAATGTTAATTGACAAATTGATGCGTTGTTACATGCCTAATCTGTTAGCCCGCATATGAAGTTGTTTGTGGAAAATCCAGTGTGCATACACGTAGGTTTTGTTGATACGTGACTGCACTCTTATCCAGGCTCATGGGTGGATCCTCTTATCCGCAGAAAAGTGCGGATCATCGGATACATTTGCTGCGACTTCCGTGCGACTCCTTTTACGTGCGTTTGAGCACGGATAATGGGATATGTGACGTGCTTCCAGGTCAAGTCAGGTCATGCCCAACTCGGACCCAATCGGATGAATTTTGCCAAGACTTGTGGTCCATTCCTCTTATCCGTACAAGTCTGTGTGCAATGCGAAGAATAACCATGCGGAAATTAGGAAGATCTATGAATCGATTTTCACCGTACACAGGTTTACTAAGACGTTGCTTTTTGGACGTGCGGTTTTCCAGATTGGCTGCTTTTAGAATATGCGGGTTTCTGGATATGAGGGTTTTGCGGATATTGGGAGCAACATTGCAGTTATTCGGACAGCACCTTCAGTTTAATCATGGAATCCTGACACATGCGGTCGCCGCGTGCCGCTGCCACCAAGTCGACCCCGATCATCTTGGCCCGGTAGCGAACGCCGTCGCCCTTGAACCGCTGAATCAGCGCTGTGTCGCTTTTATCTTGACCTGGGGGAGGGAGGCAGTAGATGGATCATCATCATCATCAGCAGCAGCATCAGTAGCGGAAGCATCATCAGTAACAGGAGTAACAGTTGTAGCAGCAGCTGAAGCTACGGGAGTAATAAGAATAGTAGTAGCACCATCATCATCGATCATCACGAATAGGAGCATCAGCAGCAGTAACATCATCTTCATCATCAGCAACAGTATCCCTTGTCCCCTTAGACAGGAATGACAAGAATTCCTGTTAGCCGCATAAATCATTTACATAGCAGATGTCTCATTAATTTCCTCATGAGTAATGAGTGACATGGTTTAGTGTGCGTGCTGGTGGGTGTCTATAATACGGCCATTATAAACTATCAGACAGAGACAGATCCATGACCCAGGGCTCCAGCCCGACATCCCAGTGGTGCTGGTTCAGTGGCACTTCTTCTTATTGCATACAGCAAAGTGAATAGCAACTTGAAGATCTATATCCAAGTTTGAAAGCCATGCGATGTTGGCAGTGGTTCACAGTGCGGTCTATGGTTTGGTCAGGGTCTGCTGAGTTGATGACATTTGTTCATATTTTGAGAACACTTAAGAGGTGGGCCACGTGAAGGCTGTCATCTCCCACCCAAAAGTGTCTCTGACGCGGCCATTATGAACCTGTCATGGTTCGTTATGAACCCTCCCGTCTACTCACCCTTGCGACTCTGGGGAGAGTTGCGAAGAGCACGGAAGGGGCCTGAACGGTCCAGAGTCAGGCGAAACAGGAGAGACGGGGAGAGAGCGAGAAAAAGGGAATGGTTGGGAACAGAACAGAGGAGGGATTGTAACAGGATAGGAAATTGGAGGGTGAAACGTGAAAGCAAAACATGAGAGAAACGGGACAGAAGAAGACAACAACAGAATGAGATGATGATAGAACAAGACACAGATGAGAACAAAATGCTGTGAGAACAGAATTAGACAGGACCCGAACAAAAGAAAGGACAAAAGATAAAAAAACACAAAATGAGACGAAAACTGAATGACAAGAGAACAAAATGGGCTCTCGCCAGGATTACAAATAAGTAAATAATTACAAATAACAAGATGAGATGAGTACAGAAGAAAATCAAACGAAACATTTCTACTTCAGATCATTCACAAACACTCCGATTAAACGTCGGGCTGCAAAGCATCATGGGAGAATCCCACAAGGCAATGCACTGTCCATTCACACCACTGACACGTGTGTCCACCACAACCACCAACAATAGCAAGTTTTTTTATACAAACGTTCATATTTTATTTTGATATTTTGTTTCACCTTTAACTCTTTAAAACCATTTACATATTTGTTTTATTTGACACCTTCAAACATTTTCTGCAATCCACAGAAAAATAATGACGGAGATTAAAATGTTTCACTTGTAAATGTCTCTCACAGCGAGCAGTAACAACGTTGCATCGTGTCACACAATGGCCCCGGAAGATCACTTCACAGAGATACTTCTGAAGTCACTTCAACAACCAATTAGCCACAAATATGTTTTATTGCATTGCAATCCAACTGATATGTTGATCCCTGAGAACTATATTAAGCTATATTAAGTCAAACACATTTAATATGCTTTAGTGTACAGTAAATGGTGTCCATAAACACAATTCACACTTGAGAAAGCAGTGTTAATCGCAGGATTTCAGTCGTGTTGCCTCAGTGTTTCTGAAAAAATCCATCATAAGCTCCCTACACAGCTGCCTAAAAATGAGACCACTTGACGAAGCAGCCAGTACGAGAAGTGACACAAATAGCGCATTTTTTTTTCTCTGCTATGGTCTCGTTAATATAACAGGTGTGAAATTCATCAGATTTTCGCCACAGTCTCTTAACCGCGGGTGGAATGCGTAAATTACCCTAATTGAGCAGAGGTGATTTTATAGTCGTTCAATTGCAGGTCTATTTATATTTTATTTTTATTGCCAATTATGACCCAATTGTGCTCTTTTGGGAGCTTTTTTATCAGGAGGTGAATAAACGCCTCCTTTGGAACTGCTACAGGTGGCAACAGCCCTTCAAAGGAGACACAACAGAAAGGAACAGCCCTTCCCTGGCATATAACAGGTGTGAAATTAATCAGATTAAACGTCTCCTTTGGAACTGCTACAGGTGGCAACGGCCCTTCAAAGGAGACACAACACAACAGCTCTTCCCTGGCAGCTGCAGGAGCAGGCTGCGAGTCCTGGGCTGGCACCAGTGTTAAGCTTCACTCAGGGCAAAATAATTTTAAAGAGACTTTTAGGCACGCTCTAGCAATGCCACCGTGGCATTACTGCCACAGTGACTTGTCACGTCACTCCAGTGACATCACAATAGCGGGGCCATTTTTCAACCGCCTAAAAGAGACAGAGATAGATGCCAAGTTCCAGGGTTCTTATCCCGAACCCACATTCTCAGTGGTGCCGATTAAGATTTCCAAGTACAGCCATTATGAACATGCTGAGCCACTTGGTAACTTGTTATATCATAGAATGTGGCACGGTGTGTGTAAAATGCCAACATACACGTGTACTTTATGGTGCGGTGATGTTTTACGAGGAGGCAAAGTTCACAATGCTTCCCAATGTTACAAAATATTAACCCAAGGAAGTCACAACTTTCTGGGCAAATATTAAACTGAATTTTAATGAACAAGGAGGAGCTGGTTTTAGGTGGCTCGGGGGGGGGGGCAGCTCAGGGGGAGGCAGCTCCGCTGAGGCCCTGTCTTCATGGTTTGAGCCCTTTGTCTAGATTTATTTATATCTCATTGTGTTTATAATGGCCAACATGTCAGGTTAACAAAGGCTGTGTCAGAGAAGTCAAGCTGGCACCCATAAAAGTCTAGGTTTGAATCTGAGTCTCAGCCAAGTGTGATCAAAATGGTTACGTGTTGTGAAATTAATGCCAGCTTGGTCACCATTGACACTTCAAAATGAAACCCATAGATCACTGCTTTACAATCATTCAGATTTTTTTTCTCACTTAATTAGGCTGAACCCAGCTATGAAGCTCAAATTTACAAACACCTGAAAAGACCGATATGAGATGAAACGGTCTTTTAACAATGCAGCATCAAACGCTTACATGCGAATGGGTTGAGGTGTGTTTGTGTGTTGAATGAGCCTGTGCTGCGCTACAAACCCAGAGAGCTCAGTTCATTTCCTGCTCACGGCCAACTCCAGTGACGATTATCTGAACCGGTCCTGGGCCTCCCCTAGGTCAATTCAGCTTCAAATTAGTGCCTAGTGCGGTGTGTAAACATCGCCACTGGGGAGACACTGGCGGTCGAGCATGGTGCTGGTCACCCACCCTGTCGTGCGCCATGCCGAGCTTCATCGATGCTCGCTAACAGCACTTTCCCCAACATTCTAATTATGCTATACGGGAGATATTTGTCTCTGTATGTAAGTGAGAAATATGCGCGCATGAACTTGTGTGTATGCGTCCGTCACGTTACCTCTTCTTCTTTCCTTCTTGCCAAGCGCCCCTCCCTGTGCTTCACTCTCCATAGACATCCTCGCCACAAACGGGTGCTCGCTAACACACCCACAACAATATGGTCAGTAGATCCATGATGATAATGATGACGATGATGCTGCTGATGATGATGTTGGCAATGATAATGAAAACGATGCTGCTTCTTATGATGATGCTGCAGCTGATGATGACAATACTGACAATGCATTTTCTAAGCACACCCACCTCCTGTATACTCGTTAAGCGGCCTTGGTAAGTTAGCGACTTGAGTCGGTGAAGAGAAATGGGGACGAAATGAAGCGGAAGTCACGCTGCCTGTGACCTTTGAACGGTCGTGACCAAGGCAAGGTCAGGGCAATTATGTCATCGTGTTTGACCTGCGAACGAGAGTGTAGACATCCTAAGAGTCAGGGTACATGTACAGCCTTTTGTGACCCCACTGCTAGATGAGGGCCTTCCTAAGCCATGAAGTTCATGGGGAATATTTAACCATACTTCACGATGCTGGCCAGCACGGTTTGGTGAAGATAGGAAGCGCAGATGGGGAAGCATAGAAGTACAGTACAACAATGGATTTTGTTGCACTGAAGGGCCCAGAGTGTCCCTCCTCCAATGAAGGTGCAGCAGTACTCATCACTGTCCGTGGCCCTGAGCTGCCAGTTCGTGTTCACATTTTCAAGACAGGGGCAAGTCGATTCACAAGTTAACCACCATCGTTGGTGTAGACCAAATTGCCACTGGTCGTTTTATAAAACCCCAAGACAGGGAGCTGCTGTTGCCGCTACCGGTAACCACTGATGTTGGTGATTATCATCATCATGACTCATTATCATCATGAGTTGATCTTTGATCAAGATTTGAACTTGCAACAATGTTATCGTGAGTTGAGCATTCTGACCACAGTGACACCTGCTCAGGTATGAGTGATGAGAACCCAAAGGGAGAATTAATCTGGTTCTATGAGCTTCAACCATTAATAAAGACCACTAAGGGAACCTTAGTCTGGCTTTATGAGGGTTACATTTTATTAATGAACCCTAGGTGATCCTTAAACTGGCTCAAGGAGCCACTGACCAATAATAAAATCTGTAAATGAAGTGAAAACCCATAATAACAGGAAATAGCGTAGCCTGGAAAACCATACATTTAAAAAGCACACATAAAAGTGTACACAAAGCACTCAGCCCTGTGTGCATTATCCCAACACAATCAGCAGTTCCTAAAAAACTGTGCTGTGTTCGACTTGTCTTCGGTCACCATTTAAATACATGTGTGCAAATGTGACCAGCTGACAGGCAGGAGTGAGACATAGAGATAAATACTTACTGTACATATATGTTTCCCAGAAGCAGACTGCAGCAGTGAGCATTGGTGACTATATTTTACCATTGAGACCAAAGAAGCATGAAACCGGTTGTCTCTCTGTCTCACTGCTGCCTGTCAGTCGATCACATTTTCTCAAATTTATTTTGATGGTAACCTAAGACAAGAGGACGAGAATGCAAATATTCAGGAACTACTAATAGTTTTGCATAAGGGGTGAGTGCTTTTTTATACGTTCCTGTGAATGTTTTTTTTTACTCATGAAACCACTGTCATGGAAACTTAAAAGAGCCTTTGTTTGGCTTTATGAGCCTCAGGCATTAGTACTAAACCCTAAAAGAGCATTAGTTTAGCTTTATGATCCTTAGCCAATGACTGAAGCCAAAGGAAGACATTGGTTTGGTTTTATGGGCATTAGTAATTGACACTGACACCGAAGGGAACTATAGTCTATGAGACATTAACAACGAACCCTCAAAATCAAGAATGGAAATTCATCCCTGATTAAATATGTGTGGAGTGGTGCTCAACTTTCTCCACAGCCCCAAATCAGCAAGAAATTTCCAAATCCCCTTGCCGAGGGACAGCCATACCAAATGGTGACCTAGACTGTTGACTTTACACGAAGTATTGCAGGTCATAAATGCAACATTTAAACATCTCAATAAAGTAACGCGGGACTGTGAAAGTGTACCACAGAAACAGGAATATAAAAACTAAACTAAAAACTATTTTTATTTTACGACGTCAGGTCCACAAAGCTATATAGCTATTTTTCAGAAGCGACTTGACCACAAATGATATCTCAACGAAGTGGCTTATCACGTGGAAATTTATGGCAGCCAAATACTCTAAACGCGAGTTTCTAAATGTGGAGGGGACCGGAGAAAAATCCACACAATCACGGGGAAAACATGCAAACTCCAAAAAAACAGGCCCACGACCCTTTGTATACCAGGCGAGGTAGTTAACATCTCGCCACCTTGGAGCCCCATGGTGGCGAGTTCAGTGGCTGAGCAGCGAGTGAGTGGCATCAAATGACTAAAAGCACGACAATTTTTTTTCCCTAAATAATTCTGTAAGCCGATTAACAATATTTGGTGACAGGCGATGCATATGGTGTGTCTGTATGTGGGTTTATATGCATGTACGTGTGCATATTTGGGTTAGGGAGTGGTAGTGTAGCAGTTAGCACTCTGCGCTATGAACCCGGTGACCCAAATCCGATTCCCGCTCACGGTCAACACTAATTACGATCATCTGAGCCGATCCTGGGCCTCCCCTAGAACGACTCAGCCTCAAATGAGTACCTGGTGCGGTGTGTAAAACATCAGCACTGGGGAGACAAAGGCGGTCGGGCGTGATGCTGGCCACCCACCCCGAGGCCCTTATGCAGAAGAGGCTGTGTAAGGGCCTCGAGGCCGCACAGAGCGGTGTCTGTTTTGACAGGGAGCGGCGAGGTGAGGAGGGAGGGATTAAGAATGGGATGAATACACAGAAGTTGTGTGATTTATGAGACGTGTGACCTGATTTAGTGGTGCATTGTGTAAAACATCAGCACTGTGGGACCAGCCAGGCGATATCATGGACTCTATCCGATTGCTCACCCAAAATCGTATGACTGGACCGTATGTTCAATCATGTCACACTTATGACTCCCTGCGTGCGATTGGTCGCTAGTACGTTTAAAATGGCAGTCGGTATACTGAGTAGGAACCTAATATCCCCCGATGACAAACACATAGGCTCTGTGTATGACAGGTCGGCAGGGAAAACATGTTGTGGATAAAAACTACTTTTTAAGCCAAAGGCAAGCACCTTCTGTTTGTTTTTCATATGAGTTTGAAGCCACGTCTGAATCTGTTCACATACATATGTCTGAATGTGTGTTTCTGTATGTCAGCGTGTGTCTGTGTCACTGCATGATACAATCTGGCTGGGTGGTCAAAGCACTCGATTCTCTATCGTAAAAGTCGTAAATTAAGTTCCCAGTCGGGAGTCACCTCTCCTGACATGATGATCATCATCATCAGTGTCCCCAACATCAGCAACAGCTACAGTACCTGCATCATCATCATCATCAATCCTCCGAGGCTGATAAAATGAGTAACCACAATTTGTGGAAAGTCAACAGTTGCCATTGGGTGTATGGATTGCCTCGCCCCCGCCATAGTAATGAGCAATTTCCAGGGCCACAAATGGACATGAGCAGCATGCCATGACCATCTGGATAGGGAGCCAACAGACTGATGATACTAAGTCAATTATCTATCCCTTATAAGAACAGATGGAAATTTAATTCGGAATATGATGAACAAAGAAGGCAGAAAAGTCAAAGAAAATAACTTTCGGAGGGACACAACTGCAAAGCACAACAGAGTACAGAGTAAATCCTTAATATTTGCGGGGGATACGATCCTGGAGAACGGCGTAAAATATTACATCCGCGAACATTAATACTCAAAGCTTATGAGTAAAATAGGTTTAGGGGGCATAAACAAATATTGCCTATTTAAGGCTACCAATATAAATTATAAACAAAGATAAATAAATATTGCACCGTACGTTATTCCCACAAAATTGTAAATGAAAGCAATGGCGTGTAAATGGTGTGGCAGACAAAGGCAGACCGAGAGGGAGAGAGCGGTGTCGCGTGGGAGCAACTTTCACATTGCTCCCACACCTCACTGCTTCCTGTCGGGTTAGTACAGAGCTATGGCCGAGAATATTTAAAATACAACCCCGCAAATTTCAAATCGCATGACAATAAATGTGTCGCAAAACCGCAATTATAAACCCGTGAATATTAAGGGTTTACTAGTAGTGTGTGTATATATATAGGGCAGTTGTTGAAGGCGGACTGGAGAGCGGGTTGGGGTGCTATTGGATTTTATATTTATTTAATAATGATTGGTAACATACTATTGTGTTTGAATAATAACATTTTCAATCAGTACATATTAACTTCTATGACATACCTGCTATGTTTCGATTTAAAGCTTTCGTGACTGCAAGGATTCATCTTCTTTGGTTATTTCGGTAAAGTCACGTAGAATGAGAATAAAATAATAACTTGATAAAATAAAATAACACAATTAAATTCCCACGACGTATTTTATCAATTTATTATTTATTCTCATTCTACGTGACTTTACCGAAAGAACCAAAGAAGATACCTGCTATGGCTAAGAAAATGTAACAAAAGCTTAAAAAGTATCGACAAAAAACAGAGAGACACATTTTGATTTAAAGCTTTCGTGACTGCAGGGATTCATATTCTTGGTTCTTTCGGTAAAGTCACGTAGAAGGGAAACAATAAAATAATTTTCTTGCTGTGGTTTTCACACCTGATGATGATTGCTTGTGTTGCAGTCGAAACGTCGTGAGAATTTTATTGTTTTATATTTTTATTACTTTATTGTTTCCCTTCTACGTGACTTTAACGAAAGAACCAAGAATAGAGAGACACATGTTGAAATGTATACTGAGAGACAGAAAAAAAAGAACACGTGGATCAGAGACCAAATGCAAACATACAAACTGGGGACTCGGGTAGGACACGTCGCTCGGAGGGTTGACGGCTGATTGATGAGAAGGTATGCAATAGCAACGGGATGAAGAATCGTTCCCGAGAGGATGACCCACCGCAGAGATGGAGCGATGAGATTAGTGCATGTGCAGGAGTGGGATGGATTTTGCCATCAACGAACCACGGAGGGTGGGGAGGGCGGTGATGTGGAGAAACCTTCATCCAGCAGTGGAATGAACAGAGTGAGTGATGAAGACGCTCAAGCTCACCAACAAAGATGGGCAGCATCCCACGCTTATTTGGATCGTGAAACAACATAACAAATAATTCCATTAATTTATCCGAGAAAACCACATAAATCTCAAGGCTCTTTCAGGAGGGCTATGAATTTGAATATTTGGTCAATTCCATTTTGAGCGTTGTAAGCAAACCAGAGAAACCGAGGAAAAGCACACACATATACAAGGGGAAAAACACTCAAAGATCCAAACACATGAGGTCACAAACCCACTTGCTGTACTGTCATCTACTTGGCACCTCTCAGCCCGAAGCCACATGATCTACTCACCCTTCCCTTCAAAGCGATGAATCCGAGGCGTGTGCGATCACGGCGTTTTTTTTTTATACGTAACAAAAATTACATGGAACATAAAATGGATCCTTACCAGTTTCCGATGCACAGCTTGAAGCTTGACTCAGTGTAAATTTCCGTGATGAGTCTGAACAATTGGAAAATGAAAAAAAAATGTATAATGTCTCTCATGTATGAAAAAATATATCGTTTTGTTAGCTAATGTAAACCCCGTGCGCATGTGTCAGCGATCAGAGGCGAACGCTGTAAAATTACAAATCGCCCAGATGGTGAGCCCTGGGGGGGTCAAAGTCCACCCGGCTGATGTGAGGTCAAAGGCTGCTCTGAATGGCCCAGTATCACATGAGGCCTTTGGGCTGTACCATTCATATAATAGACACAGGGGGGGCATTTCTGGAGACAAGGGTGTGGTCTGGAATGGGCTTTTTAGTGTGTAAATAGCCCACAGCTCTCTTGCAAGAGCCCCGAAAAAGCTGATGGCTCGGTGAAATTCTTGACTGAGGTAAAATTATAAGTATAATCATTATCAAGTCAAACGTTTCAGTGCCCCTTGACCTTAAAAAGCAAGAGGCAGCACTCAACTCCATTGGTGGACCTGAGCTGGCAGGTGAAATTCCACATTCTCCTGATGGGGGCTAGTTTGTTTATAAGATTGACAACCACTTCAGAGTTCCTAGAGAGTAGTGAAAATGATGTTATCCACTCCGGTAGAAATGAAGATAATAAAGATAATTTTATTTTGTTGTGGTTGAGGAAACAGCTAAGGAGAAATGTCACTATGACTGAAAATGTATTCTTGAGGAACCTTTCAGGGTTCAGTCTTATCAAACGGTGAACACCTCATTTATGAATGCAGAATTCTCAGTCAAATACGCTTAGTTTTTTTTTCTAGAGCACAATCTCCTACTCTCAAACCCGCTCCGGCTCTTTTATCGCCAGTTGTGCCAACCATGTGGAATTCTAGGTAACAGAATTCTGACCTTGTGCTAAATTATCTGAAGCCCACATGTGCACACAGTCTTAGAGGCAATCATATGGAAAAGCAATATCTTCTTGACACCTTAAAAAAACCCTGAAGAATTCCATATTCCCATGGTGGGGGACAGTTTATCTACAGGATTGACGGCTACTTTCAACTTCCCACAAACCAGCGCAAATCATTTTATCCACTCAAGCGGAAAGATGATGATGAGGATTTTAAATTAAAAAAAATGTATTTCCTGGATTCTATTCCAATTGCGCTGTCAGCGTTAAGTCGTGAGATGAAGAAATGTTCATTTGGAATTCTCACAGAGCAGTGCATCACCTCAGAAAACAGTTTGCAGAAGCAGAAATTCCCAATCGAATGATCTCTGATTCAAACTATGGGGGGGACAACGCCCTTTGCCACATGCCCTGCGATAGAGATGTTTGTAGTAGTATGGCAGTCACACCAAAATTTAATTTAATTGCTCCTACAAGGGCTGGAATGCAGCCAAATTAAGTGAAAAATCTAATTTAATGTGACAGTTTTTTTCTGCATGCACTGGTGACCGTGCTGAGACCGTCAATTCATTACACTTGAAATCCAATCTAATTACGGGTGGCTGCCCAGATTCGAACCCAGGATCTCGGCCGTGCCTACTCATACGTGCTCTGAACCTCGAGTCACCCGGTCACGTCTCCTCCGAGCACCTTTCCGAGTCATGTCTATTGACATATGTCAACCTACTGAGTGGCAGGATATCCATTATACCTGTGTCAGGCTGCGTGCAGCATCAAATGCATCAAATTCACGCTGTCTGATATAGCTATCGTGGGCCGGTGACCTCCTGAACAGCAAGGCCTTTGCTACTTTACATGGGTTTCAAAGCGCACCTAGCCTGGCACAAGCACCATGGTGACATCGCCACCAATTAGTGGTGAATGTCGGTTGTTGTTTTGTCTGTATAATAGTACATGCATGGTGTATGCATTTGTACGCGTGTGACAAATACAGATGTATTGCTTATATTGCTATAGTTGCCGAGGTTATTATACACCACATGAATAAGCACACACGCACGCACATTATACACGAGACATTATACTAAACACACACATGTATACACACACCCAGTACAGGCGGAACATATCTACACACCACAATTAGACACACACACCTATAGATATAAACACACGTATGCACTCACATACACACTACACCCGCACACAGACATATACTCGTGCACACGCGAGCTCTATAAGAGCCACAATATATCATTTTCCTATTATGCTCACTTGAGTGATCATGCCAACGATTGTGTGCATGGGCCATGGCCGATATGCATTTGTACGTGCGTGTAAATGTGTCTGTGTGTACGCACATATATGTATACAGTAGCGATGTGTGTGTGCATCATGTGCATGTGTGTATACGCATATGTGCATGCGCTCTATCTTGTACATGCGTATATTGCATGCCCTTCACAGGTAATTATTGCGTACATACATTTGTGTGCGTGTGAAACCGTGCACATAAGTATTGCATACATGTGTGCGTTGCTGTGTATGTAGAGGTGGCACGTGTGTGTGTGTGAGTATGTAAGTGCATGCGTGTGTGTTTGTATAAATTTATAGGTATGTGTGTGTGTGGCTGCCTAACGGTCCATAAGGATAAATGGGGGATCTTTGTCTTCACGCATTTGTTTATATGGGTGTGTGCGTGCGCTGTACAGTCGGTGGGGTATAGGCACGTGGGTGCGTAAATAAGTCGTTAGTTTACCCGCTAAAAACAGGTTACGGGAATGACACACACATAGAAATGTCACGCAATACGTGTAACGTTTTTTTACCATTTTAAATGAGAAACGGAGGGAGCTGCCACTGTGTTATGGTTAGGACAGTGGACCTGGAATCCAAAAGGTCACCAGTTCGATTTGATCTGCAGGCGTGACAGTTGAAACAATGAGACAATTTTGTTTAAATGCCACCCCCCCACCGTCTATGCCCCCCCCCCCCCCAGCTGTGTAAATGGCTAAAACCACAGATTGTCCACGATCAGCCGTGTCGTGTGCGATGGGGGATCTGGTCAGCGTGGAAGAGGAGCTCAAATACGCCTCTGGAACCCGCTCGAAGAAATGGAGGCCCCTTCCACCAGCAGTGGCGATGAGCAAAGCCATTGCAGGGCTGCACCCTTTATCTTTTCTACCAAGGAACGCGGGCAAAGTGTACCACGCGGTGACTTGGGCCACCGCTGTGCCATTCTTGTACGTTCGCAGGCGCCAAATCAGTGCATTCGTTATTAAAACTTCACCGGAAGCGAATGACCGCTTCCTGACTTTTGCAACCGGTAACCAATTCTGCAAACGGTTTCTGTTTTACCGGTAGTCGTTTCACAAATCTCATTTTTGCGTTTGCACATACAGTATGTATCACCGGAGAATTCCTCCTCGACCCGTAACAACCCTTTAAATTGCTCGAGGAGTCATTAAATGGCTGAAGAGTCGTTAGTCTACGCTGTGCAATTTATGCGAACGAGGTCGAAATTATTGAAAATATTACTCTTGACCCAACAAGAAACCTGTGATCGCACACCGCTCCTGATGCGCTATGATAACTCTATCTCTATCATTGTTGATTATAAATACATATCAGGCAAACATTTGAAAGAAATTATTTTCCATTGAACACACTCTATTTTGGTGGATAATTTGTTATCGTTGAATGTCAATGGGCTTTCCGCTATGGTTGTAGGTTCATAACTGGACTGTTGATGATAAGGAGGAAATTGCATGGGTGTAAATGTCAGAAAATTTACTACCTCTGCGTTTGCCAAGCCCACAGTACAGACCCTTGTTTTTAAAAAGAAAATATAGAAAATTTTACGCTAAATATGACAGTTTAATTTCATACGTGATGCTCTGCACACGTGAAACAATTTTGCGCCTGCACTGCCCTTACATGCCTGATCATCTCATGCAGGTTTTAATCTGCATTGAGATTTATAGTTTGGTCAGCATGGTTGCAAATGTTTTAAAAAGTAGGAATAATATAAAACAAGAAAATGCATGCATATGCATGGATTCTGTAAAGCTTTCCAACATGCCTCTTCAATGAGCAATAATAACGTTACGTTTCAAGCTGCTTATCGAGGTCACGCAGAGAATGACACGTGACGTCGCGAGATGACGGCACAGGTAGTGACGCGTGACAGCTGACATCTTTGGCCGTTATGGCGCAAGAAATGACACGAACTTTAATTCCTGAAGCTCTCTCGTGGCCATCAGACCTCGTCATTGGCTTTTAGCTCCTGAACATATTGCCATAAGCAGGATACAATGGCGCAAGAACCAAGGCGAATCTTTTCAGTGCTGATTATCACGTGCATGCTTTGGGCAACCGTTTGATCAATTTCTCTAGGGTAAGTGCTTAATAGCAATATAACTGAATACTAAAGTTGAATTCTTATTGGATCATCGTTATGAGAGTGATCATACCCCCCCCCCCATCCAAATTTTACATAGACAGAGATTAACAGTGCTAATCGTTCAACCTTGGTTAGAAAGCTTTAGAAAGCAATAATAAATTGTGGTCTTTTTTCGTGCAGATTTACGAATGCATAGCGATTCTAAAGTTGTGTTGCACAATATTTAATGGTGCTGGGTTTTTTCTGCATTTGCGATTCGTGATTAAACGTTGCTCTTCCCTTGGAGAGCGACCTCTCGGTCCTAATGGGCTATTGCCTGGTTATGAATAAAGGACATGAATGAATGAGGCATGTTCGTTTAAGTATGCTCGGGCAAACTATATGCCAACACGATTAGCACGGTTGGCTACATAGAAGTTCAAGATACATGCATTATCTTTTACGTTACGATATTCCATTATCTTGTTGGTCGTCGTTTAATCAGTTTCCCTTAAGTCTGAGTTCGTATTTTTTAGTTTTAGTTCGTATTTTTATTTTATCACTTTTGCACTTTGTTGCACCTCCAGTGCAACTAATGATTACTTAAAAGTTATTCAACTGCAGTTCACGAAGCATAAATCTGCCATAACTCTTCTGATCATTGCAACTTATAATCTGTCATGTTTTTAACGGACACGCTGCCAATGACACTTCAAAAAAATTAAACGAACAACGAACTGCTGACGTTATATAACCATCATACAGTCAATTTCTCTGGTAAAAAAATAGCTAAGCACTCATTCAATGGGTAATTTCTATTTGTAGAACATTAATTATTGTGTTTGTTATTCCAGAAATATTTTGTCAGGAAATGAAATACTTAAAAAAATATTAGTCACAATAGATAATGAAGACAATGGTGTTTTGCAAAACGGACAATAGGATTAGATTATTTAGAACCTTTTATCGTACAATATGCATTAGTTTATGAACTCGACAAAACAAATACCCCTACGCATTTCATATTTAGTCAGGGTTACGATGATCGTATGAGCGATGGGGAGAGTGCTTGTTTCCATTGGTGAACCTAAGCTCGTGGTGGCAATTCCATATTCCCATGTGGCAGCCATTCTCCCTGTAGGATAACCTATGTTAATATAATACATACACACACACAATGATACCCCTGTAGAGTGTATCAAATGTATTACCCGTTATGTACACACATGCACGGAGACAAAGATTCTCCATTCATCCACATAAAGACTGTGGAGTTGTGGCCATCATCACGCCTGACCGCATTTTTCTACCCCAGTACCAATATTTACACGCAAAACCAGGTGCTTGTGTGTGGCTGAGTCGACCCAGGGGGAGACCCATAACATGTTCGCACGTGACTTTGCCACTGATTTTATCCAAGACGGGGACGCGAACCAAGGTTACGGCGATAGTCGTGCAGCGCTTGATGCACTCTGACACACGCACACATGCTCGATCTATGGGCCTCTGCACACACACAGTTTCCCTGCTCAACCCATAAAAGCCAAAGACCCAATCCTTATTGCGCTCACGTCTGCAGTTGTGAGCAGGGAAGACACACACATATACACACATATACATAGAGAGAGACATACACACATGCACACATATGTACACAAACGTCACACGCACACATGTATGATACACCAATGCACTCATATGGTATACACATATGCACACTCACCTATATTAAATGTCACTCAGACACTTAGATCATAGAGCCATACACACATCATACGTGTAAATACACATACTCACCTGCATTCAATTTCACACATACACTGCGTAGACACACATATATACATATACACAAACTCACCTGTAATCAATTTCACTCACAAAGGTACACCATATACTGAATGCATACACATTTATACATACACACTCACCTGTATTGACACATACATCACAAGTTGTATACATACACTTACAGAGTATATGCATATACACACACACACACTCACCTGTGTTAAAATGTCACTGACAAACGTGCATCATACACTGTTTACATACACTGACACTCACCTGTAAAAAAAATATCCCAGGGCCCAGGTAAGGCGTGTGACAGGGCGAGCTGCTCAGTCGCTCACCTTCCGCAATGAGCAGCCTCGCAATCTGACAGAAAACCCACACAGACACAGGCAGAGAGAGAGCGAGAGAGCGAGAGACCCCAAAAAAATTAATGAATCACCCTCCCAAAGTATAGCAAGCCCCTTTAAAATGGCCACTATATGCCTTTAGAGACCTAGGGGGGAGGGGGATTCCTGAAAGGAATTTAAATTGTACATTTGGCCAACATCATCATCATCTTGGAATTAATGACTATTATTTTCACATGCTCTTTTGAGGGCGATGCCACAAATGTAATTTTATGTGGCTTGTATGTGTGTATGTGTATAGATATTCCACATGTGCACGGATATGAACAACCTATGCGCGTGTGTACGAATATCCTATTCCGGGGTGGCGATGGCCATGCACGCCTGTAATCCAACACCATAGAGGCGAAGGTTGTGGATCGCACACATTTAGTGAAGCTTCCTTCCCCTTGGGCGTCCAGGTCGCCGTACCTTGGCTTTCCAGGAGATGGCAGTATGGCAAGCGGATTAATCTCCATCTGTTTCCATCTGTACGGGGAAAGTGTTGCTCGTCTCGCACGAGTGGGGTTTATCCGGGTGCTCTGGTTTCCACGGTGGCGAGATGTTAACTACCTCGCCTGGTATACTTGGAGGTCGTGGATTCGATCCCGACCCCGAAATATTTGGAATTTGCGTGTCTCTCTCCCCGTGATCGCGTTCATTTTTTCTCCGGGTCATTCGTTTTTTTTCCCCTCCACATTTAGAAACAACACGCGTTTAGAGTATTTGACTGCTAGAAATTTCCACGTGATAAGCCACTTCGTTGAGCTATCATTTGTGGTCAGGTCGCTTCTGAAATAGAGCTATATAGCTCAGTGGGCCTTACCTGGTATAATACCAGTTTATAGTTTAGTTTAACTTTTTGTGCAAACGCTCGTTAATTGGCTACAAGCACCTTTATACAGCAGGGCACTATTTAAAAAGCTGCAGAGCTTGGGCAATTGTTGGCACCGGTTCACCGCCTGGCTGCTGCCCTCCCGCTTGCCTGTGGTTCTTCGCGCCTCTGAATCATAATAAAATCACTGTGCGCATTCCAAATGTATCTATTTAATTATGCATCCTACAGTACTGCTATGCGTATCCTATGGGTGCGTGTACGCATATGCACTATAGTAATACGGCACTAAATACTAACTACCCTGCACTATATACGAGTGTATAGATAACGTACTTATGTTTAAGTGCATAAATGTTCTGAGGATCCATGCCATCTTTGTGTATAAGAAATGTCCTATGTGGGAATGTCGATGTATTCATTTTCACGTTACATGTAAATGTGTTTATATTAATGTCCTATATGTTTTGACGTATTTTATATATGCTCTGTATAGGTGTACAAATATCACACACACACGTGTAGAGGTATGGATATCCTAGACAGTATTGTGTATGTTAATGAATATCCTGTGTGCGTACGTGTGCTAATTCCCCCCGTGTTCGCATGCATATGAATACATATTTAACATGCGCTGCTTTGGCGTATTGTGGCTGATTAATAAATTAAAATGAAGGCATCTGTTCCACCACCAAAAAATATCAAATAACAATTTAGTTCATCTGCCTATAGGCCTCTCTGGGCCAATGGTGTTCGGCAGCATCTATTAAAGAATGCAAACTACACCAGGTTTAACTTTCTAGGTCTCCACTGCAAAGTGTGGCTTATTAAATGCACGCATTTGCGTGTACTAATGTCCTATAATGTGTTGAATTCGTCTATTTATATACTGGACAAATACACACTCACCTGTATTAATTGTCCCAGGGCCCAGGCATAGCCGTGTGCTAGGGCTGGCTGCTCAAGATGCTCTGTTCCCACAACGCACAGCCTCGCATTCTGACAGAAAACCCCCACACACACACAGGAAGAGAGAGAGAGAGGGGGACCACCCAAAATAATGAATCACCGTCCCAAAGTACAATGAGCCCCTTTAAAGAGCAACTATGCCTCTTCAGAGGCAAAGGGGGTCCCTGAAATGGATTTTAATGAAGCATTCTGACAAACATTATTTTAAAGCTAATTAACATTTGAATGTTATTGTGAAGGCAGTGTAAATTATATGATTGAATTGTATGTGTACGGTCTGCCAAAACAACTCGCAACTCTGTGTTTTGGTAGGAATATTTGATCCAATCTCTATCTCTATTTTCATCCAATTTGATCCAATTTTATGGCTATGCAACTGTGATGGGTGCTCGATCACTGTGGCTCGTCGATGCCCTATTTTGTTTCCTCTACGTTATTTGATGTAAATAGGTTTTCCTGTACAGCGTCTAGGGAAACTTGTAGTATTAAGACGCCACATAAATCCAAATCATTATTATTTCTGTTATTGTGGTGCAAGACAGTAACACTGCAATGTAATGTGGGAAATGCCATCTGGGGAGAGGCTGGCACAGTAGTGGGCTGATTATCCTGGCAGATCCAACCGAGGTGGTAAGGTCACATCCACCACAGTATAAAAAACGGAAGCCCTGGCTTGGTGCAAGGGGCTGCTACGAGCCCTTCCACTGTAACTCAATTATCACTAGACCATGAAATAAAAACAAAAGCATGTGCCCTTGGCCACACTTCAATTAGTAGAGCCAGAAGACTGAAATCCCACCCTCTGGAAATCTCCATAAACAACGGGCAACTGCTTTTACTGCAAATACCGAATGACGGACGGAATGCAAGGGCTGATCAGTCAATATTCCTTTGATGACCTCCTTCGCCAGGTGACTTTAATCCCCAAGTGGAACATTGCGTTAAAACCTGGGTAAAGTGTATTGTAATTGATGGACCAAACCAGCTTTATGATGGCAAGAGGCTACAAGATGTATGTGCTTGTAATTACAAATTCGCTGTTCTTTCACCGGCACATCTACAGGCAAGAACATCGACTGGACTATGTAGTGAAATTGAAAATACAACATGAACTCGACACCAGCAACTACCATGAATCTGAACTATCTACTAACTTATGACTTGTCATCTCTACGATTCTCCTGACATTTTTCCAACAGAGGAGCAGGCATCCACCTAGGACCACTTTCATACCAGCAATACCTAGATCTCCCCTTAGCTGTTCAAAATTGTAACCAAGTGTTTGATCACCTCTTGTAGCGAAGATTGGCATGTTCCCCCTCCTAATAATGCAGGGAATTGGATGAGGTTAAGGACTTTGCTCATACAGCTGATATGGAAGTGCTGCAAACCATGCTTATTTGAATAGTCAAACATAATAATGTAATACAATTATTCAGAAAAGGCCAATTGCACGTGGGACGAAACCAGGGAAACTGGAGAAAATCCATGTGTAGTGACGTTAAGGGTGTCACTATGGTGGTATCGCCAGGCACTGTCATAAGAGTGCTACTGTGCATCTGGAACCTCTCTCTGGGGCCAGAGTGAGTACGGTATGCGTACGGGCCCTAGGGGGCATAGTCTTGGTGGCAGCCTGATAAAGGGCAAGTCAGAACGTGGTAGTGAGGGGGGCCCCGAGGGGGGCTTGAGGGTCACGTGACGATCCACCGAGATTCTTTGGAAAGGGTCTCGAGGGGGGCGTGGCCGAGGGCGGAGCGGGGCCACACTCGGGAGCATAAAGGGGCAGTCCTGAGAGCGTTCAAGGCTGGTCTTTGGAATCAACCCTGGGTGCTGCGTCTCTTCGGGCTTCGTTCTTCATCATGGGTCAAGCAGCATGTAGGCTGACTGACCCATTCGTGTAGTTAACTCGCTACTTGCATAGTTAACTGTCTAGCTATCAATTACAGTTTAGTTAAGTTACCCTGGTGGGGAGTTATTAGTGTTGCCTCCAACTTCTGTGTGTGCCTCCGTACAACACACTACAACAGGAGTAAGAAGTGTTAAGAAAACTGTTAGATGATAGCCTAGTGTAGAGATGTTAACTAGGAGGAAGCTACTCACCAAGTTGTCTTCGGACAAGGAAGACGACGATGGGGTGATTCCCCAGACGGCCCCGGGTGCTCAAGCCCTGGAGATTGAGCACGAGGAGGACCTGCCGCCGATGCAGCAGGCCGACCCGGACCTGGCCGATTTGCTGCCGCCAGCGAGGGCGCGTCGATCAAAGAACGACTGCCTCGGCGACCTTCCGGCCGCCGTGGCAGCTCAAAGGAAGACGACACGCCGGAGTTGCGCCGAAAAAACTCCGCCGCCGCTGCTTCCCGCTCACAGGAAACCGATGGAACGCTGCCCACGCAAGCGGCCGCCATTTTGATGAGCGGGCAGGACAAGGGTTCTCGCCAAATCGGACCTCCCACCAAAAGCGCTGTCTCAAGACCGCGCTCTCAAAAAGAGGCTTCCATTAGTCCAGGAGTTTACGGCTGTGGGTGGCGACTGGGAAGCCTTCTGGTGCCGCTTTGCCGCCGCCTGCGATCTCTTGGGGTAGATGGATAAGCAGGTGCTGCAGGCACTTCCCACAGCGCTGAATGACAATGCCTTGGCGGCTTTCGATGCCATCCCGTATGAGTCGTCTACTTCAGGTGCGGCCTGCCAGGACACGTCTCGATGGGCTGCCGCGCTCGATGAGGGAGACCCTTCACGTCGCCGTCATCCTACGGTCGACCGTCCTTCTCTCTGCTAGGTCCTCAGGCGAGTTGCGGCGCACCACACACACAGCCCTCAGAATCACCTCACGCATTGGGTTCGGAGTTGCGGGTCGTGGCTTCTTGTCGGAGTGCGTCGCATGTCGGTCGGGGTTGTGCGGGCGAGGGTTGGCCGCGGGGTTCCGCTCAATTGTCGACCTTGGCCCGCCGTGTTATCGCCGCGGTGGCAGGATCATCCGCTGTTGTCGGGACCGTCGAGGGTGTAGAGGTGTGGGTACTTGTTGAAACCGGTGCATCTGCAACCATCATTTCAGAAATGACTTTTAATTGTTTGCCACCAAATCGCGCGCCATTTCGCCCATTGACATCCCCTGTTTTGCCGTGAATGGACAGTCCTTAGGGATTATTGGTCAGATATCGGCTACAGTCTGCATAGGTGACATTCGATTGACGGGTCTGGTACTTGTTTCAAAGTCCCTAGCTGTACCCTGCCTATTAGGGACTGATTTTCTAGGGGAAATGCCGCTGAAGATCCTTGTGGATCAAGGCTGTATTGAGTTACCGTCAGGCCGCCGAATGGCGTTTTTGTCATCGCCGATTCTATTCCACATGGCTAATGCATCGGTCCTAGCGATGGCCAACCAAACAGTCAAAACTCCCACTGGTGCACAGATGCTCATTTTCTTGCATCTGAAAAATAATCTCGACCGGCAAACGATTGCGGAAGGGATGTTATCAGTCCCCTTAAACAAGGCGGTTCGTGCTCCAAATTTAGTGTATGCACAGACTTTGGTCGCACACGATCAAAGAAACATTATTCCAGGTTTTGAACATCGGTTCAAAGACGTTGGTAATACAAAAGGCTGCTGTTTTGGCTCACGCATCGGCCGCGTGTTGTGGGGAGGAAAACGGTGGGACTTGGGGAGGTGCAGTGGCTGTGGGGCAGGGTGAAAATGGTGATGAGTCATGGCTTGACTGAGAGAAGGATTTATCGGAGGCGCAGAGGCTCGAGTTGCGTGCGCTTTTGAAGGAGTTCTCCGATGCTTTTTAGCAAAACCAAATTCGATATTGGCTGCATGCCTCTTGCTACAGCACCACATCGATACGGGAAACTCCGGCCCCATTCACCAAAACCCATATAGGTTGAGTCCCAAGGAGAAGGACCATGTGCACCACGCAGTTGATGAGATGTTGGCTGCTAACATCATTTCCTCGTCAAACAGTCCATGGGGGGCCCCCATTGTGCTTGTTAAAAAGCAGGATGGGAGTCTGCGGTTTTTGCGTCGATTTCCGCAAGCTCAATAAAGTCTCCGTAGCTGATGCGTACCCGCTCCCATGTATGGATGACTCGTTGGATGCTTTGTTGGGGGCGTGTTTCTTCTCCACACTTGATTTTCTGTCTGGGTTTTGGCAATTGCCCTTGGACGACAGCTCTAAGCCTAAAACTGCGTTCTGCACACCTCAAGGTTTGTTTTAATTCAACTGGCTCCCAATGGGACTCCATTCAGCCCCTGCGATGTTCCAGAGGCTCATGGAATTGGTGTTAGCAGGACTTCAATGGGACGTGTTTGATTTACCCGGACGATGTCATCATGTTCGGCCGAATGTTCGATGAACACCTGCGGCGGTTGCGCACGGCTTTCATTAAAATGAGGTCCGCGCAACTCAAATTTAAGCCGCATAAGTGTCATTTTCTGCAAACGTCGGTCCGCTACCTGGGGCACATTGTTAGTGAATCCGGGATAGCGACGGACCCTGATAAAACTGCGTGCGTGCGCACTTGGCCAACCCCCAAGTCGGTGGGTGAAGTGCGCAGTTTCGTCGGGTTCACCTCCTATCGGCGTTTTGTTCCTAGATTCGCTACAAGTGCAAAACCTCCCCACGTTCTCACGGCTAAGGGGGAGACATTTTTATGGGGGGAGGAGGAAGAGGCTGCGTCTGCCGCGCTGGGAGGTGGCCTGGTCAATGCACCTCCCTTCCCTACCCTGATTTTTCCTTACCTTTCATCCTTGATACCGACGCCAGTAACACCAAGATTGGCGCCATGTTATCACAGGTAGTGGATGGAGTGGAGCATGTGGGTGCATATGGGAGTAGGGTCCTGTCCCCAGCGGAGCAGCACTACTGCATAAGACGCCATGAGTTGCTGGCTATTGTCCATTTCGTCCAGCAGTACCGTCCGTACCTCTATGGAAGAAAGTTTGAGGTACGCTCAAATCACGCAGCTCTCCAGTATGCGCAGCGTGTCGAACAGCCGTCCGGTCAGCTCTCCCGTTGGTTAGAAGTCCTTCAGGACTACTCGTTTGTAGTTTCCGATAGAAAGGGTGTTCGCCATGTAAACGCTGACGCACTATCACGACTGCCACCCAGTGATCAGTGTGCGTGCATTTCGGGTGAAGGACGGTGCAAACCCGCTGAAACAGCACCGCCTCACGTGGTTGTAGCTGCAGCAGACGTTGCACACACAAGCGCTGCTGACATGCAGGCTCACACACTCGGTCTCACCAACGCTGAGTGGGGGTGACTCCAGGTGGAGGATGCCTCCTTAATTAAAATAAGACGCCATGTTAAGGACTCTGAGGATGATGGGGTCCGATGAGCTTTGTCCACGGTGATCCTTAGAGGGAGCCTGTTAATGAGATGGGAGAGGAAATTGCATAAATACAATGTTGTTGTTCCCACCGTCCTGCGGGGCAAATTGATATGGGCAACGCATGAACGAGTAATGCATCTTGGTGTCCAAAAGACCTTGTCTACTTTTATGAGACCTCCTTTGCCAGAAACAAGATATAGGAATAGGTTTTACCGTTTTAACTGGCACAAAAATTGACACCTTTATTCAAGGCATCATGTTTGCAATAACCACAACACAAGCAGTCAAAATGCAAACAAAAAAGACAACTCTGATAATAATATGCACTGTCCTTGAATTTGATTGGTCCACACCCAAGACAGCTTTTCTTAGAGCCTAGTCTCCATTGGTGTTGGACCAGAAGATGCCAAAAGGCGAAGTACGCCTTTTGGCGTCAGTTTTTGTGCCAGTTAAAAGGGTAAAACCTATTCCTATACCTTGTCTACTCTTCGCCTTAACTTTTTATGGCCCGGCATGGCAGATGTCCAGAATGTTTTGAAGGGATGCACGGAATGCGCTCGTCGAAAACCTCCGCACAAATCGGCATATCCCCCTCTCAAATCGATCAGTGTGACCCGTGTGAATGAGCTCGTTGCACTCGACCTACTCAGTCCATTTCCCACCACCTCACGGGGTAATAAATATTTATTGGTGGGTGTCGAGTACCTTTCTTGGTGGCCGATGGCCTGGCTTGTTGCTGGACCAGTCGGCTGTGACGGTTACCGATGCATTCCTCCACAGTTACGTTTTGGATAAGGGAGCCCCCGAACGTGTTCTCATGGACCAGGGCAAAACATTTTCTTCTAAATTGCTCAAAGTGGTATGTGGCTTGTTGGGCACCATCACCCGCAGACTGACGGCATGGTGGAATGTCTGCACAGGACCCTGACATCAAAGCTGTGCTACCAGGTCAATGAAGACCAGTCTGACTGGGACCTGAACGTTCCAGGTGTTCTTGCGGCGTACAGATTTAGCTCCTCATGCTTCCACCGGATTATCGCCGTTCTTCCTTATGTATGGGAGGTAGCAGGATCCACATATTGAGGTTCAATTGAACCCGGAGCTGGGAAATAGCAAAATGCCTAACCCCGTACGCCTTACCCTCAAATGCTTGTCGGAGGCTAGGGAAGCTTCTCGAGGAAATTCGGCCTTCCGGCAAGCTACGAACGAACGGCTGGTTGGTCTCCGGGAATCTGGGACCAAATGGTCACCAGGTGATAGGGCTTGGCTTCACTGCCCCCAAGTTCTGGTGGGTACGTCCCCCAAATTGTATAAGCCTTGGCGGGGCCCCGTGAAAGTTATAGAGGTTAAGAGTCTGCAAAGTGTACGCATCCAGTTCGGTCACAGGCGCTGGTTTGTGCATTCGTTGCGACTGAAACCATTTTGTCTACCAGGCGGTATCCCTTCATTTCCACTACCCAAGGGCTGTGTGTTGGGTGCGCCCGATGAGCGGGGGGCGCGTGTCCGCGGAAGTTGTTCCTCAGGGGAGTTCTGCTTCTCCCTCCACAGGACCCCAGCGCCTAGAGCCCTTGGAACAGCCGGTTGCACTGCCCTGTTTTGGACTGATAGGGGAGGAGTGGCCGTCATCCGCTCCTGCTACTCCTGCCGGACTTTCTTCTTCATCCCAGGAGGGGCCGCGCCCATTAGGCCATCTTCCACCTACCTCTGGGACCCCAGGCAAGTCCACACTCACCCCGCTTGGGGGTCCGGTGATGAGGAACTGCTCCAAAACTGCACGGTTTAAGTGACCCTGGTCGGCGAGCAAAGTTTTCTCTCAGCCATTGTTGTGGTCTCACGCGCGAGCCAGAGGGGTCATTGGCTGATCCTGGCCCCTCTCATGCCGAGTGTGGGGACTCATATGCGGGGACGGGGTTGCGCTGCCGCCAGAGGGTCGTGTCGGCGCGTTTGTTCTGCTCAATTTATCTTTTTTTTGGCACGTTCTTGGTGCGTTCGCCGTGCCTTTGTTCTCCCCTTACCTCTCCTTTTGTGTTCCATCGCTCGCTGCCTTCTTCGTTGCCATTGGTGTCGCTTGTTGGGACCCACGCGGCATTTTCCTTTCGAATCTCTTTCTGTTCAAAACTATTTTCCTTTATATTCTTCAATCTGGATTTGTTTACGGTTATTGTATATACATTAAGGTTTCGGGATTGCGGCTTGCCGGGTGACGGGCGAGCACACACTGACTAGGAAATGACTGTACGCGATCTTGCACTTCATACATTTCTGGTTTTCTTCCTTTCAAATCAGGGGTTGTACAGCCGGGTCGGCTGTGTTTCATAAAGGGGGGAGGGGGGGTGATGTAGTGACGTTAAGAGTGTCATTATGGTGGTAGCGCCAGGCACTGTCATAAGAGTGCTACTGTGCATCTGGAACGCCTTTCTGGGGCCAGAGTACGGTATGCTTACGGGCCCTAGTCCTGGTGGTGACCTGAGAAAGGGCAAGTCAGGCGATGGTAGATGCGGGTGGCTTGAGGGACACGTGACGCTCCACCGAGATCATTCGGAAAGGGTCTCGAGGGGGGCGTGGCCGAGGGTGGAGCGGGGCCACGCTCGGGAGCATAAAGGGGCAGTCCTGAGAGCGTTCGAGGCTGGTCTTTGGAATCAACCCTGGGTGCTGCGTCTCTTCGGGCTTCGTTCTTCATCATGGGTCAAGCAGCATGTAGGCTGACTGACCCATTCGTGTAGTTAACCCGCAACTCGCATAGTTAACTGTATAGCTATCAATTAGCAGCAGAACCAGTGTACGTTTAGTTAAGTTACCCTGTTGGGGAGTTATTAAATAAACGTGTTGCCTCCTGTGTGTGCCTCCGTACAACACACTACACATGTACAGTAATTCAGATTTGTTCATACCATCGTTCACAGGGACGTGAATTGGGGCAGATGCTGCCCAAGTGTGGAGGCCCAAAAGAAGGGTGACAACACTCAGCGCTCTACATGTATTAAGGAATTTATTGCTGTACTGCCATCTACCAGCTATCTAGGAGCCCAATTCTGCAACATTCATCATTTCCAGGCAGTCTCCCATCCCAGTACCAACCAGGACCACCCCTGCTTAGCCACTGAGATATAACGATATTGGGACACTCAAGGTGACTTGGCCAATTATAAAACTGCCCAGCATACGCGAATACAAAATAATTCTTCTATGCAAGATTCAATGCACGTATCATGAGCATAAGAATCAATTTCAATAGATGCATTATTTGCCATGTGTATGTCATTCATATCTACAGCCTTGTTGTCACTACACTGGTCTACACAAGTCATGTCGGTCATGAAATTATTTGACTATACTTCACCACGCTGGTCAGTGCGGACTGGTGAATGGAAACCCAGAACTGGTTAAGATATCACTCACCACCACCACCGCTGTTATCTGTTGCCGGGAATTGAACGCAGGTCGCCAAGCCAACAGCACAGTGCACTAACCACTAGGCCATCGCTTCCCACATATACCTATACAAATTAAGACAAAGATCCCCTGTATAGCACATGAGGGGGTGGGTGGCGAACACCACGGCTGGGCGTCTTTGTCTCCCCAATGCTGATGTTAACACACTGCACTAGGTACTAATTTAAGGCTGAGTCGACCTAGGGGAGGCCCAGAACCGGTTCAGATGTCACCAATATTGGCCGTAAGTGGGAATCGAACTCAGGTGGTCGGGTTCGTAGCTCAGTGTGTTAACCACTTCAAACACGCACCTATACACTTACAAACATACATACAATATACCTACAACTACATTCTCATATATACCTAAAAATGCACATACCTATACACATACACCTACATACTCACACGCAAACGCTCATATGCATTCTAAAACCCTAACTTGAGAGCCCGGGTATGTATTATATACATGAGCTGTAGTTTATGCTCGAGTGAACTGTCACCGAAAGGGAAAAAGTATATATGCGTGTATTGTGTAACCTCAAGTCAGTGTCAGGTTACTTAGATACCGACCCTGTTTGGCCACCCTAAAATACACACACTCACGCCAACCAGCAGCTCACAGAGAGACGGGGACATAGAGAGGGACACGAAGAGACACGGGGAGACACAGGGGGAAATCGTGAGACACAGGGGAAAATCGTGAGACACAGGGGAAAATCGTGAGACAAGGAGACACAGAGCAATAGGGAGACACAGGGAGGAGATAGGTTGAGACAAGGAAAGGGAACAGGCAGACGCAGAGACAAGGAAATAAGGACACGTGAGGAGAAAGAGACACAAAGTGATAAACGTGGATACAAACATACAGAGGTACGGAGAGTTAGGTTACACATACATACACAGAAACACAGAGGCAGACAGACACTGGGAGACATACAGAGACTCAGGATACACACAAACAGACCTAAGTAACAACACAGACACACAGACTTAGGGAGAAAGCCACAGGAAGACAAATACACATGCAGACAGAGACACACACACACATACACAGGGAGACAGACACACGGAAAAAAACGTGGAAAGAAAGACACACACAGTTAGACCCAGTAAAGACACCGAGGCACACATACACATATAGATACACAACATAGAGACAGGAAGACAGATAAACGCATTGCGGCCTCGGAGGAAGGTAACACGCCCAGTTAGACTCAAGTAAAAACGCAGAGGCACACAGGGGCTTAAAAGCAGAGGCATAAAGACAGCGACGCGCAGAACTTGTAGACATGGGGCCGCCAAGTCCACCTCCCTGCCAGGAGATGGAGCGTGAGGCGGAACCTTCCCCTCTGTATTCCTGCACCCCGGAGAATCCCCTGGAGGTGGAGGAGGTTATGCAGCGCTATGTGTACGACTCCCGGGGCCTGGGCGTCACCTTCAGCAGCCTCTTCCCGCAGCACGGCACGACCATCGTCATCCTAGTGCGGGTCAGTGGGTCAATCGGTCAGCAACCGGGGCCAGGCGGTCGGTGAGTGACTAATTCATCGGGGTAAAGAGTAAACATCAAGATGGAGAGGTAAGTAGGTGGATCAATATGTATGTGAGATAATACATTAGTGGGGCAAGAGTTTATATTCAAGGGGTCAGACTATCAGTGGGAAATTTGGTAATGCAGCAACTGAGCACAGAAGGTTGCGTCATTGGGTCAAGAGGCCAGTATGTCAATAATAGCTGGTTCAGTGGTTCAATGAGTCAACAACTGGGTCAAGTAGTCAGTGTATCAGTGGGGAAATAGGTCAGCATTGCAAGGATAATAAGTGAATTTATGGCTCGGTCAACGGGGTGAATGGTGTAATAGTAAAGAGGTCAGAAAATAACTGGGTCAATGAAACATAGGTTAAAGCACCATGCAAGGAGGTGGGTTCGTTGTATTAATGCACAGTGTGTGCGAATGTTTGTACGTATACGTATGTAGTCAAGTCAAGTAAATTTTATTCTTGTATGTATGTGTGAATGTGCCTGTGTGTACGTGGCCTCAAAGTGCATCTGGCCTGGCACAAGTGCTGTGGTGACGTCATTCGCCACTTAGTTGCGAATGACGGGTGTTGTGTGTACGTGTGAGTGTATATTGATGCATGTGTGCATGTATGTGTGTGTGTACAGCACTTCTTATGCTACGCATGTCAGGAATATGTTCAAGATCTTGGTCGAATTCCAGAAAATCTTCTCCAGGTGATACACTGTCAAAGCACACACGCACGCACAAACACACAATGATAATGATCACTTACGTATCCTTATAGTCAGTTGGGGCAAGTGTTATTAGTACACATGCAACAATTCACTTTCTTTACGATTCGATTGTCACAATTTGGGTTCATGATTAGATGCAATGAATCGATTTGCTTTGCCGCTGTGGTGCATGTAGCACCTGGAGTGGATGCAGGGGTCATTCTGGGCGGTGATGTCGTCTCGCGCTCGTACTTGTGGAGCTTAACGGTTCGAATCCCGTGGCCTTTTTTTTCTCATATTAATATAGCGGGTGGCGAGATGTTAACTACCTCGCCTGGTACGCAGACAGTCGTGGAGTTTGCATGTTCTCCCCTTGGTTGCGTGGATTTGTCTTCGGGTACCCTGCTTTTTCCCCTACACATTTAGAATAAACATGCGTTTAGAGTATTTGGCTGCTATAAATTTGCACGCGATAAGTCAGATCGTTGATCTATCATTTGTGACCAGGTCGCTTCTGAAAAAGGGCTATATTTGCTCAGTGGGCCTTAGGTTGTAAAATAAAAATGTGTTTAGGGTGTATTAACCGCAAAAATACGCGCCGTCTACTTTCGCAGTGGATGTGTGTGATGGCGTCATCGTCCAAATGTTAAAACTTACACCCAAATTACTCAATGGGGATTATACATAGCAACCACCGCGCCCCCCCGCCCCCCGGTTGTGATAAGTTGACAGGACTCTTCCTGAAAAGAGTCACGAGACTCAGTGAGGCTTAGGGGCCGTCCATAAATTACGTCACACACCTGGGGGGGGGGGGTCAGACATTTGTGACGATGTGTGACGAGGGGGGGGGGTTGAGAAATGTGACGTCACATCAAAATGCGCAACTTTAAATAAATATAGACAACACGTTCTGCTTAATTAAATATACTTTTTAATAAATGTTTTTCCTACAACATCAGAGTGCAGCGCCACATTAAATACACACTACAATGACAATAGTTTAAAGCGATTTGAAGCATGCTTTATTTTTTGGGGGGTGGGGGGGGGGGCGGCAGAGCTTTGTGACGTCATATTTGAGGGGGGGGGGTCTGACTTTTTGTGATGCCGTGTGACGAGGGGGCGGGGGGGTCAAAAATCGTCCAAAATCACGTGACGTCATTTATGGACGGCCCCTTACCTGGGTAAACAAGTGTGATAATAATAAAAAAATACATAAATAACATGTGCCGATTGTATACATCGTAATAAAATTGAAAATAATCCATTCGTACAATCAATTATTTGATTCGTGTTTTGCGAATGTAATAATTGAGTTCAATTTGATACCTTAAGACCGGCGTGGTGGAATTGTATAGGCAGCAGCTGACTGTCTCCATAGCACAGCAAGTAACAAACATACTGGGTTATTGTATCGAGCTGCATTTGACCCAGAGGAAACCCAGATGGTATTTGTCACTGATGTTAACTCTAACTGGGTTTTGTACCCAGGGGGCGAGTTTCATAGTGCAGTGCACGAATCACTACATCACCGGTCCACACCATACACAAAGACAAATGTACACATACCTACAGAAACACACATAAATACAGACGCTGACCGAATACCCGCCATTCGCCACTAAGTGAGTGTCACGTCACCATGGCGACTGTGCCAGGCCAGGTGCACTTTGAGGCCACATTAAATATTGAAGGCTCGCTGACAGGTCAAGGGATGGACCCATGTACAAATATACATGCATGCATGTACTGTTTGTGTCTAAATGCATACAAATGCCCTTTATTTATCCAAGGGCTCTTTTTCACGAGAGTCCTGCATCTGGATTTTGCCAAATCAATCAACACGATAATTACCCAGAGCTTTTGTCATCTATTCCCTGACTCCTCCCTCAGCCGCCAAAACGCATGTCTAGGGCAACAAATACCAACAACTATGGTCACTGGGGGGTCGTGTGACAGTCAAAGTGTTAATGAGCATATTGGCCTAAGGGAGGAAACCAGAGAGTGTCTACAGGAGATGGTCACCGAATCGCCGCGCTTCAAGATGCGCTTCTGCGGCCGTCTGGAACTTTCTTCCCTACGATATTAGGAAGCCACTGGAGTTTTGTACTTTTAAATCATCTAGGTTGAAAACTCATTTCTTTATAACTCCTTTGTGTGGTTAGTTTGTTGTCCTTCCACCACACCTCCGATTAGCACGGTACGTATGGTGCGAAAGAAGTTCAACATTCTTACATACAAAACCAAAGAATACACGGGCATAGCACGCAAAGGTACAGATAGAATGATTCAAACATCCATTCCTGTGATACCATCTCCTGGCCACGTCACAACCCGAGCCTTAACATCTGCTATTCCTCGACAGTCTCCCATATAATTACCAACCAGGCTCACACCTGCTTAGGTGTCGAATTCCAAAGTGATCGGGCACACTCATGGTGAAACACCCATATGCCTTCGCATACACATTTATCATGTATATGCACACATGTTTGTGTACATTTGTGTACAGTATTTCTGTGTGTATTTACGTGTGTGCATGTGCGTGTTTTTTTGTAGGAGGCAAACGTACGGCTGGTAGTCATTGGTCAAACTATGCCACGTCATATTAAGGTAAAAAAAATCCGATATATAACCCCCGCCTCATCCAACATGCACCTCTCGTCCAATCTCAGATAGCACAGAACCCAGGGAAGTGTTGTGGATGTAATTGGGAAAAATATCATCCCATCTCATTTGGATAGAGATCTCGGGTAAATGTTGAGGATGTAATGAGGGATAGAAGTTTGTGATGAGTTGGACGTGTGTGTAGGATAGAGGGTGGAGGTTACTGAGATGGTATTAGAATGGCACCCATAGGCTGCCGACCAAGGGGAAGATCTAAAAGCAGAGGGTGGTGGCAATGAGACCATAAATGCGTACCTTAAAGGACACGTCGACCCATGTTGTAACAAGGGGACGACCTGAAGCACAGACCACCGATGTCAGGTGTCGACTCTGCAACAGCTGTGGGATCTGGCAGGAGGGGGGAAGCAATGGCGAGGTGTCGGGGCATCAATGAAATTGGATAACCTCTTGTCCCAGACCATGTCTCAAATTTGTGTTGCGTGATATTTCGTGTTTCATATGGAGCAGCGATTCCGTGAACTCACGGGTTACAGGTACGAGCTATTTGTGGACCCAGATCGAGACATTTACAAGGCACTTGAACTCAAGATGGGAGAGGATGCTGACAAGATCTGTAAGTGCCTTCCTACACCTCCGTGTTCTCTCTTCTCCTCCCCATGTGTTTCCTTTGTTCCCTTCATTTCTTCCTTCTCTTTCTTGTCACTACTTTCAACCCCGAGGTCTCTCTTATCATCCACGTATTCTTACAATAACACCCCCATATCTCCATTCTCCTCTATATGGCTTTCATTGTCATATATTCCCTCCTTTCCCACACCTCCCTTCTCTTCCCTGTCTCCCTTATCTTCTCCGTGCCTCCCTTCTCTCCATATCTCCCCTTCTCCCCGTGTTTCTTTCCTTTATCTCCCCCTATGCCTCCCTTCTCCTCCATGTGTCTATTTTTTTGCTTTCCCAAGTGTCCCCAATCCTCACATCTTCCTTCTCCTCCCTGTTATATCCCCCCCTGCCGCCCCATGTTATCATTCTTTAATCCATGTTTCCCTTCTCCTTCCCATGTCTCCACACAGATAAAAGTCCCCATGTCCACTGCGGGCTGTGGTGGGGGGTGGCTCGAGGTCTGTGGAGAGCCATGTGGAGCGAAAGTTTTGATTTCCAGGGGGACCCGAAACAACAGGGAGGTGCCTTAGTGCTCGGGCCAGGTCAGAAGAACCGTCACCCTAATTGTAACACAAACTCCAATACTAACCATAACCTTGACCCCCAACTATATAACAATGACCCTAACTCACACTACAAGTGGTGTCAAATGCATTTTTTTAAAATGGTTTTAGTGTTCTCATCTCCCCTGCCCTACGTGTGCGAGCTCCTTTGGGTTAGGCTTCCAAGTGAGAAGGGTGGAAAGAGGTCAAGCCTCAGGTGTTCTTTCCTGTAGCTGTGTTCATAATTAAAGAAAATGGTTGTGATTGACCGCAATGGCTCAATAGAAAAGCAAACAAACCAGTAACAACATTAGCCCTAACACTAACCCAAATATTAAATCCATCCAAAACCCTAACATTAAACCTTTCTCGAATCATACCATTATCCCTAGACCCTAATTTTAAAACGAACCAAGCCCATAATATTAACCCTAACCCTATTACTAAACCTCACATAAGCCCCCAAAATAAACCTAACTCTCATCTAAAAACGAAACAAAACATTAACCAGAACCTTATATAGTTTATACTGTTTCTGCTACTAATGAAGATGATCATATTGCTCCTACTGCTGCTGATGCCAATGATGACCATGACGAAGATGCTGAACGCTGTTCGCGGTTGCAGGAGGCCGCGTGCTCTTCTCTCACCGCGACGAGGCTGTGCTGGATCACACACCCATCAACCGCCTCCTCGCGGTCGCCGGAATCCCCCCCGTGGACTTCACACACAAACACATGGTCAAACACGTGTGACCCCGACCCCTGACCCCTACAGGAATCTAATACCAACCCGAATACGAACGCTGACCCTACTAGCATTGACAGTAACACTACAGTGAGGGAAAAAAGTATTTGATCCCCTGCTGATTTTGTACGTGTGCCCACTGACAAAGAAATGATCAGTCTATAATTTTAATGGTAGGTTTATTTGTACAGTGAGAGACAGAATAACAGCAAAAAAAATCCAGAAAAATGCATGTCAAAAATGTTATCAATTGATTTGCATTTTAATGAGGGAAATAAGTATTTGACCTCCTCTCAATCAGAAAGATTTCTGGCTCCCAGGTGTCTTTTATACAGGTAACGAGCTGAGATTAGGAGCACACTCTTAAAGGGAGTGCTCCTAATCTCAGCTTGTTACCTGTATAAAAGACACCTGTCCACAGAAGCAATCAATCAATCAGATTCCAAACTCTCCACCATGGCCAAGACCAAAGAGTTCTCCAAGGATGTCAGGGACAAGATTGTAGACCTACACAAGGCTGGAATGGGCTACAAGACCATTGCCAAGCAGCTTGGTGAGAAGGTGACAACAGTTGGTGCGATTATTCGCAAATGGAAGAAACACAAAAGAACTGTCAATCTCCCTCGGCCTGGGGCTCCATGCAAGATCTCACCTCGTGGAGTTGCAATGATCATGAGAACGGTGAGGAATCACCCCATAACTACACGGGAGGATCTTGTCAATGATCTCAAGGCAGCTGGGACCATAGTCACCAAGAAAACAATTGGTAACACACTACGCCGTGAAGGACTGAAATCCTGCAGCGCCCGCAAGGTCCCCCTGCTCAAGAAAACACATATACATGCCCGTCTGAAGTTTGCCAATGAACATCTGAATGATTCAGAGGACAACTGGGTGAAAGTGTTGTGGTCAGATGAGACCAAAATGGAGCTCTTTGGCATCAACTCAACTCGCCGTGTTTGGAGGAGGAGCAATGCTGCCTATGACCCCAAGAACACCATCCCCACCGTCAAACATGGAGGTCGAAACATTATGCTTTGGGGGTGTTTTTCTGCTAAGGGGACAGGACAACTTCACCGCATCAAAGGGACGATGGACGGGGCCATGTACTGTCAAATCTTGGGTGAGAACCTCCTTCCCTCAGCCAGGGCATTAAAAATGGGTCGTGGATGGGTATTCCAGCATGACAATGACCCAAAACACACGGCCAAGGCAACAAAGGAGTGGCTCAAGAAGAAGCACATTAAGGTCCTGGAGTGGCCTAGCCAGTCTCCAGACCTTAATCCCATAGAAAATATGTGGAGGGAGCTGAAGGTTCGAGTTGCCAAACGTCAGCCTCGAAAAATTAATGACTTGGAGAAGATCTGCAAAGAGGAGTGGGACAAAATCCCTCCTGAGATGTGTGCAAACCTGGTAGCCAACTACAAGAAACGTCTGACCTCTGTGATTGCCAACAAGGGTTTTGCCACCAAGTACAAAGTCATGTTTTGCAGAGGGGTCAAATACTTATTTCCCTCATTAAAATACAAATCAAATTATAACATTTTTGAATCGTTTTTTCTGGATTTTTGTTGTTATTTTGTCTCTCACTGTTCAAATAAACCTACCATTAAAATTATAGACTGATCATTTCTTTGTCAGTGGGCAAATGTAGAAAATCAGCAGGGGATCAAATACTTGTTTCCCTCACTGTATAAACCCTGACACTTATTCCTTCAAGCTGATCTTGAGTCGCTGAGGATGGAAAGAGTCAAGGGCAAGGCCGTCGTCTCTTTGAAATATTAGCAGCGTTGGTATTAGTGTTTGAATAGTAAGTGTAATATCAGTGTAAGCAATAGAAACACTGCAGTGATATGACCCTTATACAAAATACAATTGTTTCACAAACTTCGTGTGCATTATTTTCATAAAATAAGCAGCTGAACTTTAGAGTATTTATTTATATGATGTCTGGAAGGCCCGGCTGGTGGACTGAGTTAGTTTGCGTGGAGAGATGGATTTTTGTTTACTGATGATGTACTGTTAGTATAGTAATACTAACAATCACCCTAAAGCTAGAGAAGCATTGACCCTAACCATCACCATAAATCTAACAGCAGCTCTTATATTTTTTATTTAAAGCTTTCGTGACTGCAGGGATTCATATTCTTGGTTCTTTCGGTAAAGTCACGTAGAAGAGAAACAATAAAATAATAAAAATATAAAACAATAAAATTCTCACGACGTTTTGACTGCAACACAAGCAATCATCATCAGGTGTGAAAACCACAACAATAAAATTTGAAAAAAGTGGCGTTTATTTTAACGTTAGCACCATGGAGAGAGATTTGGCAGTTTGTTCAGATGGACGAGTCCATCTATGTTCGGAAAAGAGGAGGGGGGAGACGAAAATAATGGATGCGGTCTGAAAGCCACCGTAAACGTGAACAATCAATCAAGACCCGAAATGGTTTATCAAATCCTTCCAATGATTGCTAAGCCAGAATCCATCTTCTCGGTTGAAATTGTCTCTGTGTTTGTATATGTGGATAGCCTCATGAACGAATCTCTCATGGTAGCCAGATGGCTTGCAAAGAACCTCTGTCTTGGAGAAGTCAATGTCATGTGAGCCTACTGAATTATAACAGTGATCTGCCATGGCCGAGGTGTTGGTCCTACCGTGTTTTAGGTCTGCTTTGTGTTCACGAAAGCGGTCCGAGACATGTCGTTTGGTTTCTCCAATGTAACTACTACCAGAGGCAACTTAGTTTGTAGACGCCAGGGTACTGTATGTCCGGAATCACATCTTTTACAGATGGAACCAGATCACGGATTTTATGTAATGTGTTGAATCGGACCTGGATCTTGTATTTATTCAAGATTTTGGAGATATTTTTTTGTGATCCCCGCAATGTAGGGTAAAGTGATGGTTTTGAAAGGCTCCTCAAGAGGGCCCTTCTTCATGGTTGGAGTAATAGCTTTGCGGATTGTGTAGTCGGAGTAACCATTAGCCTTAAGAGCTTGGTGTACGTGCTTGAGTTCACTGGCTATGTGTTCCTGGTCGGATATGCATTGGGCTCTATGGTGCAGAGTCTTGATGAGGGAATTCTTCTGGGATGGTGGTGGGAATCCGGTTTCAGGTAAGCATCCGTATGGGTAGCTTTGCTCATTGAACCATCAGGTCTCTTTTTTATTAGGACATCCAAAAAAGGTAGCTTGCCATCTTTTTCGACTTCGATGGTAAATCTGATGGCTGGGTGTATGGAATTGATGTGGTCGAAGAATTGGTCTAGAGCAGGCCGGCCATGTGGCCAGATGACAAAAGTGTCATCCACGTACCTCTTCCATAAGGTTGGGCGCAGAGTGGCAGTCTGGATGGCGTCAGTCTCAAATTTCTCCATGAAAATGTTGGCTACAACCGGGGATAGGGGGGAGCCCATTGGGGTGCCCTCAGTTTGTTTGAAGAAAGTTCCATTCCAAGTGAAGTATGTATTGGTTATGCAGTGTCTCACCAGGGGTGGTACCTCAGTGTTTAGTCCTTGATGAACCAAGTCTTCAATGATTGCAATGGTGTCAGGTACAGGAATTTTGGTGAATAAGGAAACTACATCAAAACTGACAAGCAGGTCGTCTGGGGACAGGGAAATACCTGTGATTGTCGATACCAGGTGAGTATAATTTTGTACCGCAGAGGTGGTTTTTCCAGTGAAAGGCCGCAGGATTTCAGACAGAAAACGAGCCAGTTTGTAGGTGGGGGAGTTGATAGTAGAGACGATGGTACGAAGGGGTGTATCTTCTTTATGTATTTTGGTAAGCCGTATAATCTTGGTGGCCTGGCAGCAGAAGGGTTCAACGAAAACTGTTTGGTTTGATCAATTAATGCGGATGAATCAGAAATGATTTTGTTGGTTTGTATGACGAGGCTGTTGGTGGGATCTCTTTTTATTTTTGTAGACATCGTTGAGTAATTATTGAATTTGTTGTTATATTCTATTTTATCCATGATGACAGTGGCATTGCCTTTGTCGGCTGAGAGGATGCCAATGTCATCCCTCTTTTTTAATTTATATAATTCAAAACGCTCATCTTTGCTGAGGTTGCTAGCTGGCATCTTAGCGTTTTTGAGGGTTGCAGCGATTTCAGATCTTGCTACGTCTGCAGTGATGATTGCTTGTGTTGCAGTTGAAACGTCGTCAGAATTTTATTGTTTTATATTTTTATTATTTTATTGTTTCCCTTCTACGTGACTTTACCGAAAGAACCAAGAATATAGCAGATCTTATGTTAAACCTAAACCCAAACACTAACTCTGACCCTAACCCTAAAACATGAGCACAAACCCTATCATAGCAAAGCAAAGCTAGACCCAGACACGGACCGTAACACTAATCCGTAACATAAAAAAAATATCCGAACACACTGGCCTTAAAATGAACCACAACCATTACACGCACAATCACTGAGAAAACTCGAACCCTAACACTGGTCTGAGCTAACATTAACATTGACACCAATCCAAACATTTCTAACGTCATCTCGTGAGTATTCACCAGGGGGCAGTATTGGCCTAATCCGTGTTCATAAACAAAGATGCCCATTTATCCTTGTAGACTGGCAGCCTAAATGATGGCACGGTTGCCTAGCTACTCTTGCATTCCCAGTACTATTCACACTCTGGACCAGGTACATACCCATTTAAGGCTGAGTCGACCTAGGGGAAGCACAGCGCAGCTTTACATTATAGCCACTGTTGTTATCGACTTCTGTTCATTGGGTTCGCAATGCCAAGGAAACCAGCGTGACACCCACACAACCCAGTGTAAGAGAGACACAGGAAATACCACATTAATATGACAGAGTCAAGTATGTTCTTTACATATTCCTCTTCGTACATATGGAGTCTTGCAGAGATAAGCAACTGATTTTTAGAACAGCAACACGTATTATAAATTTATGTCAAGGTGCTTTAGCTTTTCAATGGCAGCGTTTGCAAGCTTTAGGAATTAAAACACAACCAATGTGGAATTATATGCTATTCTATGCAATGTATGGTGCTCATTTTACATAACATGTACATAATATATGATCGGGATCACCCTGTGAATGATAATGAAGATGCTGCCGATTATGTTGCTGCTGCAAGTGATAATGGTAACAGATGTATATGTTGCTGGTGCTGATGGCAATGTTGCTGAAAATAATAACGGTGAATATAAATATGCCGC